GTGCGTCTGTGTATGTGTGTGTCGCTGTGTGTGGGTGCAGGTGCGTTCATTGCTGCAGCGTGCAGCGGTAGCTGAGCGTGTGGACGTCATCCCTGCGCAGGTGCCCATCGCCAAGGTGTACGACAGGCAGGACCGCAACACGTGTGACGTGTCCATCAACAACACCGCCGCACTCGAGAACTCGCAGCTCGTCGGCACACTCAGCAGAATAGACACGCGCATCCGGCCGCTGGGGCGATTCATCAAGTACTGGGCCACACGCAGGCAAATCAACAACAGGTCAGCCGCCGGGCAGGGCGAGTGAATGAATGGGGCGATTGGTAGATGGATCGATGGATGGATGGATGGTATCTGTTGTGTGTAGGTCTCAGGGTACACTGAGCACCTACACCCTGATGCTTCAGCTCTTCTACTTCCTGCAAATAAGGGACCCGCCCATTCTGCCGCTCTACAAGTAGACACACACTGGCACCATCAGCACCCACCGATGAGTGCAGCACATCACATGCTATCTGCGCAGGCTGCTGGAGTTCCCCGAGGCCGCAGCTCGTGAGTCTGAGCAGAAGGACATGGACGAGACAATCAAAGACCTAGATACAGGTGCGTGGGTGAGGTGGACGCCCCCAAGACGCCCCGGCACTCGGCCACGTCGCATTTGTGTGTGGTGTGACCGATGTGTTCAGACGAGAGTTCTGACGACGACAGGCCGCGGGATGAAGAAGGTGAGCAGCGATGGATGCACTTTTTGGCTACAGACATGCATCGATGGCTGTGTGTGAGTGAAGCTATGGGAGTATTGTCTTGTCTTGTCTTGTGGTCGGTCAGATGCAGTGGCGGCCGACGACAGGGAGTTCGACCACATGTCAGGGGAGCTGCGGCCGCTGCCGTTCCACTCAGACGTCAGGTCAGCTGGCCAACCAGACAATCAGCCAGAAAGTGGCTTGTGACATTGAATGTGTGTGTGCAGGTACATATCTGAGCATTTGTTTCGTGAGAATCGCCGCAACCGCGACTCACTGGGGAAACTCATTCACGAATTCTTCATGGTACGTCCGTCGTGTCATGCTCAAAGAAAAGACACCCCAAAGGAAAATTCTTCTCCTGTCGTTATTTGTCTGTCAGCTGTGGGGTGACGAGCAGTTTGCCGGCGGCGGCATGGGCCGCACCGTTCAGATCTACGACGCTACCAACCACGTATGTGCCACGATGGCAGATGGCAAGCCCATCCACACGAGTGGGTGCACATCTATCACTCTGTGTCTGTCCACTCATGTGTGCAGTTGAACGACCAGGGTGTGTTGGTGATGAAGTGTCCCCTGACCAAGAAGAACGTCAACCCTTTCACCATAGAGGTCTGGCAAACCATCTTCCAGGAATTCAAAAGGGCCAGGAGACTCCTGCTCACCGTGAGGGCGACACACATATACGCCTACCCCCCGTCGATGGATGCATCTGTGTCTGCCTGTCTGCCTGTGTGTGTGTGTGTGTGTGTGTGTGTGTGTCAGGGTGCATCCCTCAGTGAGGTGTGTGAGGCAGCGGCCGACAACCCCATCAGCCAGCGCGATCGGTGCCGGAGGCAGGAGCGGCTCAAGGCACAAATACTCGCGAAGGAGCTCGGCCTGCTCAAAGGCACCGCGCCACCCACCCTATCCTTCCTCACCAACATGGCCTCTCCAACCCCTCCCACCACCCCTCCCACCCGGCAGCACACACCTGACGTCACCCAAAGCACTTTGACAGACGAGCCATCTGCTGCTCCCGAGCCCCCTGCTGTTGAGTTAGAGGAGGCGGCCTTGGTGATGGACAGCGGTCATGATGGCGACACCAGCAGCAGCAGCAGCAGCATCCGGGAGGATGCCTTAGCGGCAGGATTTGAGGAGGTGCCTCCCTGGCTGACCGAGGCGGCTGAGGCGATGGCCATATCGGCCAAGAAGGCCGCTAAACAGAAGAAAAAGGCGGCTCGGCAACTGGCGGCAAACAAGGCTGAGGCAGTGCAGGAGATCCCTCTTGACCCGGCAGAGGCGGCCCCCACAGGAGAGGGCAGCAGCGAGCCTGCTGAGGTCCATCCTTGGATCACCGCCGAGTCGACATGGGATGAGGACGAGCCTACGGCCACATCCACAAAGGCCGCCAAGAAGAGCAAGAAGAAGCAGGGGTTGCGTCATGGGTCGAGGACGGTCCTGCCTAATCTGGAGAGTGACATGGCTGATCTGGCTGACCTCAGGGCACAGAGGCGTGAGATCGACCAGCGGATCAGGGCCCTCCAGGAGGCCGTCAGGAATCCGGTCGAGAACCACACCAAGCTGCAGAGACAACGGCGGGGCAAGGGGGAGGGGAGCGGGGACAGCGCTGCCCCTCCAGGCCCTGTCGCTGCTGGTGGTGCTGGTGGTGACAAGTCCGGTGGCAAGGCCAAGAAGCGGAGAAAAGACGCACAATCGCAGACGTACGTGGCCTAGTGATACAGACACGCTCAGATCGTGACGCATCACAGATATGTATGTGTTTGTGTGTTTGTATGTCTGTTTGCTGCAGTGACGTTGCCACCGAGGACGACGGCAGTGACGATATGTGGATGTCGGTGGGGGCAAAGCCAAGAGATGATCAGCCGACGACGTCACCATCCCCGCCATCGGCCCCACTGCCGTCGGTGGGTGACGACGGCAATGAGGTGGTGGTGGTGGCAGCCAGGCTGAGGGGGGCTGGGGAGGGCATGAGTACAGGGGTCCAACACAGTGATGCGTGCGTGGGGTGAGATGCTTGTGGTGGTGGTGCTGGTCGTGGTGGCGGTGGTGTGTTGCTGCCGTCCTCCGGATGGACGATACGATAGATCGCATTCGTGTTGCCATGGCAATAGGGCTGGCTGGCAAATTTATATGGGAGCGTCCAGGCCGAGATATGAATCGATCGATGGACTCATCCATCAGACACGTGTGTTCCTCGGTTCTCTGGCAAGTACCGATATCGATGCAGCAATGCATTGCAGGCACATAAGAGAGAGGTCCGACCTAGCAAAAATGGCTGTACATTACCCGCTCACTGCTCTGCTCTGCACACACTACCGCCCCTCACTCACTCACCCCCCTCACCCTCCCTCCTCCTATCGTCCCCCCCACCCCGTCGCGCGTCGCGCCGGCGTGGTGGGCGCCGACTCCACGCCGATGGCCGTGGGGACAGCCAGCCGTGCGGGCACGGGCACACTCGGCCGCCGGCCACTGGGGCTGATGGCACCTTGGGCAGTGAGCGAGCGGTCGAACACCGTGGGGGCGTGGTGCGCCGGGGCGGGGAACGCCACACACGGCATATCGTGACGCTGCATGACAGCAGGAAGGTGAGAAACCTGGAAGTGTTGACGGCCGTTGTTGCTTACGTCGTCAACTTCGCGAATACAGCCCTTGGGAAGATGCGCTGACAAAACACCACATCCATACAGACAAGAAGGGAGAGCCGCCCAAGTGAATATCATGCCGTCGGGGATACACATGCATGTGTTGCGCACCAGGGTCCACCGTGAGTAGGGGGTGGTCTGCCGCAGAATCGTCACTATCTTCGTCGCCTGCAGCGGTCCTCTGGTCGTGCATGAGGCCCTCCTTGCGCTCGTCATACTCGGGCGGCTCCTTGAACGACGAGAACAGCCGAGCCACCATCCACCAAACCACTGACATACACACAGAAGACAGGTAACACCACACACACAGAAGGCGTCATTGTGGTCTGTGGTGCCATGGCTGGACTCACCGGCGAATACGATTTGCAGCAGGACGATACCCACAACAATGAGCATGGCCCTGATGAATGAAAGGACAGCCAGATACATGTAGCCATCGCATCCATCCATCCATCCCATCCATCCATCCATCCATGCCATCGTCTGTCTGGGGCGCACGCACCATCCGAGTTTTCCGCCGGGCATCACCTCGCACTCCTTGCGGTGGAGGCAGTGGCCATTCTTGCAACACCTGTACACACATGGCATTGGCGTGGATGCACACCCTCTTTTCCATCCCCTGAGATGCGCTATGCACATACCCGGAGTGGCAATAGAAGTTCTTGCATTTATCGTCCAGCTGTGCCGCACTGCAGCCGGATGCGATGCACAGCAGCACCACCAACGCAACCGCCCGTGCGCCGGTCATTTTTCCCTCCTTTTCTTCTTTGTTTACATGCAAGTTGTAAACGCTCACGGGATGAGGCTGTTTTTTGTCTTCGCGTTCACTGCAGCAGCCTCTGCACTGCGCAGCAGCACCCTTGACACTCATCGAAGTGATCCTTCCCCGTCTTTGGCCCTCTATGCAGCCACACGGTATCCTGGGCGGCCGGATGCGGTGTACACCAGATCCGCTGCCATCCTGGAGGGCATTCTCTCTCGCCTGCAGTCCCGCAGGTACCTCTCGTACGCCCAGACAGTGCAAGTGGCCCGTGAGTGCGTGAGGGACAACCCCTGCCTGCGCATCCTCGGCAACGCCCCTCATCGATATGACAAGACGGCGCAGGCGAGGCGGCTGACGGACCCAGAGAAGCGAGAAGTGGCGGATCTGCTAAAGCAGATATTGAGTCGACTCATGCAGCACACGTACATGGAGGAGTTCGCGGCAGAGACTGATACACCAAAGTATGTGAGCCGTTTTGTTGCTGTGTTGGTTCGTCTGTGAATGGGTGTGTCATGTTGTGTCGCGCGTGTCTGTGCATTGTGCATTGCAGGCACACTGTCAAGCAGCTGCGGGAGGTGCTGTCTGTCATCATGGCGCCCTGACTGATTAGATGGATGGACGGGGGGCAGGCCGCCTACGGGCAGGCGATTCTAGGTACTGTGTGTATCTGAACCGACGAGTGACTGACTGGAAATGTATAAAGAGGGACACATGAACGAATCGCATAAATCCATGCGGCGTCTGCAACTGTACCGATGGACAGCTCACAAAGACAGACACACGTGGCATATAAATGTGGGCTCAGCTGCCCAGCTCGATCCTTCGCCTCTTCCTCGGCCCGCCGTCAGCAGCTTCAACGTGCCCGGCGTCGCCACACCCTAACTCGATGAATGCGCGCAGGATGCCGGGCTTGGCTTTCTTCAGCAGAGACTCTATCCTAGCCATCATAACATCCCTCTGGCCTTTCTTGATCAGCGGCCCGAACACCCTCATGAAGGGCGCCAGGTCTGCCACGTGGGCATCCATCACGGCGGTGGACCTGGCGGCCGTGGACACCTCGCTGCTGGTGCACTCGGCCAGGTGCTGCTGGCGGTCCCAGCCGGCCATCCATGCCGTCAGCACACGTAGCGGTGACACGCCGTCTGCCGAAATGGTGGCCAGATAGATGGCCATGTGCTCAGCTACCTGCCGACACACACAGCCACACACGTGAAGACCGAACGGCGCCATGTGTTGTTTGCACGTCGCCCACCTGTCGTGTGATGGCGGCGCCGACGCCTTGTATGTCTGCCCACTGGCCCTCGCGGATCATCAGGCGCAGGCAGTGCAGCGCCAGGCACCTCATTGGATAGTGGCGGATGGTCACAGACGCCTCGACAGACGCTAAAGGGGTGTCCTTGTCCTCGAAGGCCTGGCGATGGCGACCCTCGAATGGGATGATGAGCGTGCTGGTGGTCGTGCTGCCGGGGGTGCCCATGACAAACTTCCGCACCCGCCCTGCCGGCTCTCCCAAACCTTGAAAAAATTCATGCGCCTTCTTCATCTTGATGGGCTCCTTGTCGGTGTCGATGGAGACGTCCACATGGAGCGAATAGCAGAAGACCGTCCTGCACACGAGACAAATAAAAGCAGGAGCTCGACGACAATCTCAGTCATCTCACAGTCATCACTAACCGCTCATTGGTCGGCCCGCAGTAGTCAGCAGTGATCTTGAATGAGGAGACGTCGGCCAACTGCAACTGCATGTCCTCAGCGTCATCTTCTGATAAGTCCGAATCGGCGTCATCCACGCTTGGGATGCCGTGCAGGGCGACTGAGTATCGCCCGTCATCCGTCTGGTTGCCTTCGCTATCTCCAGGCGACGTGATCTCCACAACCTGCTCCTCAGACAGCCTGCGCAATACCAAGATACAGCAAAGCACCGACCAATGCACCAATACGTTTCCTTGTCGCTCGCTCACTTGCTGCACTCGAAGACCTCTGCAGCCGCCTCAGGGAAGGTCCCCGATCGTGTCACGTCGGTGATGAACTTCTTGAGGCTCGACAGCGAGATGTCACACGTGCCAGCCTCCAATGAGCGAAGGAGGCAGGTGAGCAGCGTCACCATGTACTTTGCCAGAGTCTTCCTCGTCCAGGCCGCCTGCACATGATCCGCCTCCTCCACAACGAAAGGTGCGACGGCCCTCCGAATCTCCTGATGCTCCCGCACCAGCATCCTGCGCAAGAGGACACATGATAGATTAGTGCCTCAGCTTGGCAGACTCCCGATGCGCCCCTCACCTGACGAAGGGGTGGCGAAAGGATGCAGTGAGGATGTCTCGACAGAGAGCTGCGTGATTGAGCCACTGCTTGCGAATCATCTGCGTGGGACGACAGACAGAAGGATATGAGCATATGACCCTGAAGGTCCAGCAGGTGCGCCAGGCCCACCGGTCTGGCGATGGTTTTGCTCATGCTTTGCTTGGCTAAGGGCTGGAGGAAGTCCAAGGCCACGAGACAGTCAACCAAGTTCTGACAAAAGAGGGAGAGAGAGAGAGAGAGAGGACTGAGTGAGGCGAGTGAGTAGCTCCCACAGTGCAGCGCCTTCCTGCTCACCTCGTGTGTGAGGCCCCTCTGGATGTCGTCTTTCTTCTGCAGCAGGACGGTGGCGATTGGTCGTGATATCTGAGTGAGCGTCACACTCCGCTCAGACGACTCCGCAAACTCGCCATCGAGCAACTGCAGAGAAAGCACACACACACACACGCACACACACACAAACAGATGAGATGTGCATCTGACAGATGGAATCGGGCGTTGTTCGATGCACACCGACCACTTTGAAGAACGAGTATGACACACAGGCTCTGACACTACAAGCGGGTCGCCGCCATCCCCAAACTGCACCTCCACGGTCGGTGCTTCTGATGCGACGTCCATCTCTGCCCTCTTTTTGGTGCCTTGCTTTCAAGTTGGCGCTTTTTCCTCGCTCGCAACGGCAGGTCAACCCGTTGGGGCCGAATCAATTCAGGGCTTGCAGCACGCGCTCTAGCATACTGCAAACGATGAGGCAAACAAGCAGGCTGCGGCTGTCCAGAATTCATTTCAAGAACGCAGTCGGCCCGTACAAGCATCGCACCCATGCACACCACACACCAATCCCCGTTGCCTATCCACACATCCACACCCACTCATCCCCTCTAATCTGCTCACTGCGCCTCAATCCTGCGCCTCTTCCTCGGCCGGCCAGACACAGCTGACGGCTCACTGCCGTCATCGTCGTCGACAACGGAGAACAGCACACTAGACAGCACATCTAGGCAGTTGAACGCCACCTGCCCCACCGGGAGGAGCACATCCATCCTGTCCTCCACCAGACAGGCGAACACCCTCATGAACGGCACGATGTGCCGCTTGTGGGCCTCCAGCACGGGCCTGGCCATCGCGGCCTCGATGACCCGCCCTTTGTCCCACTCGTCCATGTGGCGCTGGCGGTCCCAGCCGCTCATCCATGCCGTGAGCACACGGAGCGGCGACACGCCGTCTGCCGTCATGTTGGCCAAATAGATGGCCATGTGCTCAGCTACCTGCAGCCAGCCACGTGACACACATGAAACGAGAATGGTCGATGTGACACCACTCTTTATCTCTTTTTCGTTCTTGCTCATTCGTTTGCGCACCTCTCGTGTGATGGAGCTGCCAACGACCTGTATGTCTGCCCAGTGGCCCTCGCAGATCATCATGCGCAGACAGTGCAGCACCAGGCACCGCATCGGATGGCTGCGGATGATTATATGGTTCTTGGCCTGCTGCAGCTTCTTGCCCCACTCGCCGAATGCCTCTTTGTCCTCATGGTTGTCCCACGACTCAACGTGGGTCATGGAGCAGCGCAGGAGGCCCATGCTGAAGATGGGCATTCCAGCGCCGGTGTGCGGGTCCACGTGGGTGAAAGCGAAGCCTTCGCTTGCCACGATGCACGTGTCTTCCTCGAGCCCCTCCTCATCGTCCCCACACGTGCCCACTTCCACCTGGTGGACCGAGTAGCAGAAGACGCTCCTGCATGCATGGTCATCAATCAAACGACACACAATCCGACATTGGTGTGTATCCCACAGTGGCCACAGACCTCTCGTGCATCGCGGGATGTCGCCGGATGGCCACCTCGATGCGGCGGGTGTCCTTCAAGAGCACATCCTCACTGCTCTTCGTCTCCTCAGCGGGAGGCTCGACATTCATGTAGTGTCCCGTTATGCTGTCGTCCTCCTCTGTGAGGCCGCGTATCCAGGCTGAGAATCCGTCGCTCCTGGCTGGCGTCACGCTGCCGGGCTTGTCAGCCTCGATGCGGATCTCCTCAGCCAACCTGCAGGCAGCCACATGCAGTAGACGGCCATGGCTAGAAACTGACGCATCATCGATTCAGTTGCCACCTACCGCTCACACTCGAAGACCTCTGCGGCCGCCTCTGCAAAAGTACTGGAGTTGGTGACCTGCCGGACATACAAACACACACACCACACACACACACATGGCAATTCAATGGCACGGCCATCCACAAGACATATACACAGACCCACCCACCTTCATCGTAAATCGTTTAATGGTCGACAGTGACGGACGATGGTTGCCCGATTCGATGCCCGCTAACAGGCGGCTGAGCAGGGAGACCACATACCTGCTGATGGTGTCAGGCCAGCTGCTGCTAGACCTCTCCCATCGGGCGCGGACGCGCTGGGCGTGCTCAAGCACGAATGGGCCACATGCCGTCAAAACGTCCCTGTAGTTCCGAACCAGCTCCCTGCACAGGCAGCCAAATATGGCGTTGCGTTTGATGTGAGCCTCGGGCATGGTGGTGGGTATTTGAAGGCTGACCTTACGAAGAGATTCTCAAAGGACAAGTTGAGAAGGCCGCGGCACAAACCACTACGGTCCAGCAGATGGTTGCGGGCGATCTGGGTAGAAGCACAACAGACAAACCCGTAACACACGCATACATTCCATCTTCGTTGTGCACAGCTGCCGTACCGATCTGTTCATGGCCTCCCTCACAGCCTTCCCGTCAACAGGCTGGAGGAAATCGAGCCCAACCAAACAGAGCATCAGATTCTGCAGCAAGAAGGGAAAGAATTCTCATGATGAGCAGTGCGCATGGAAAATGAATGCACTCACCTCACGAGTCAGCCCCTTCGCCATGTCATCTTTGTTCTGCAGCAGGACCTTCGCGATTGGCCGTGATATCTCCGTGAGCGTCACACTCCGCTCAGACGACTCCTGGAACTTGCCATCGAGCAACTGCAGAAGATACACGCCACACAAACACAGATGGGATGCATCTGACAGATGGAATGCTGTGTTTTTTGCTGCGCACTGACCCCTTTGAAGAAGGTGTACTGGCGACAGACCTCCTCCGACACCAACAGTGCCTCATCGCCGTTATCAAACTCGACGGCAACGCATCTTTTTAGCCTACTCAAGGGTCTACCAAATGTACTAAAGATGCTTCCTCTACCCGCCATGGCGCCAGGGAGCCAGGGGCAGAGGAATCTGTCGCTTGAGCTCGCGATTTCCTGGCCACTGGCCTTTTTCTGGCCGCGTACAAAAAATGTCTGAACGACGGAAGTCCCCTCCCCCTCCTCCGCCGGGCAAGAGGCACCCCAAACCACCACCACCGAAGAAGACAGCCAAGGCCAGGTTCGTCGCGGAGACGGCTGGTGCTCAACTGAGAACCCTCGAGGCTGCTGCTGCCCCTCAACCAGCGAAGCATGCTCAGCGGCCTCAGCCTCCAGCACGGAGGGTACAAAGGTAGTCAAAACGCACCATCGCGCCTTGCAGAGCAATTGCTTTTTCTGATGAATGCCACTCAGGCCGAGTGCGAGAGAGTCGCAGCCCGTTAGTGCGGCAGCAGTTCAGCAGTTCTATGAGCACATCCTCCGTCTGGCGGCGGCAGGCTGGCTGGGAGGATCCAGCAGCCAGACTGTGAGGGTATCCAGCGTCAAGGAGCTGTGCAGAGAGAGCGACAAGACCGCTCATGAGGAGCTGGCGAAGCGTCGCAGAGGGCCTGTCGCCTACGCCTGCGTTTCTCTTGGCGGAGATGGCACAAACGAGGGGAGAGCGGATCTGGAAGGGACACCATCAACATCTGAGTTGGTCGGCTGTGAGTGGGCAATGCTGCCCCTCAAGTGCTCATGGATGGCTGATGCCATGCGCAACGGTCGGTACACACTGCAGCTCAGCGGCAAGGAGTCAAGGAAATGTGCTGCATTGATGGCCTTCTCTTCATCTCAGGCGAAAAGCTGCGAGTCCTCGTGGGAAGATTGGCTCTCGGCCGATACCTGTCACACACGCCATCACAAACCTTGCCGGATGCCGTGCCTTACGGATACTCGAGCGTTGTTCGGGGCCTGCCGTCTCGCCCGCCACAGGCACAGGCCGGCAGTGATGAGTGGGCTGCAGCCACCGTGCGAGTGAGTGACGCTGAGCAGATTCTCCCTGTGGTACGGGTAGAGGCCGAGGCGGCGCCAAAGAAAGAGAGAGAGCCGGACGAGGTGAGCGGAGATAGATACGCAAGCGAATCGAGTCTTCTTTCCTGCATCGGCCTGCCTGCCTGTCTGCCTGGATTGTGTCAGCTGCTGTGTGACGAGTGCGAGAGGGAGATTGCCACCGTCTACTGCCCTGCCGACAGAGCACACCTATGTCGTTCGTGTGATGTGGCGGTGCATGAGGGGCCGTCAGCCAACCCGCTGATGAGGAAGCACAGGAGATACCCTGTCTCTGAGGTGCACTCATACACAGTCGATGAGACAGACAGACAGACAAGTAGGCAGGCAGGCAGGCAGACAGGCCATATCAAATGTCGATTGGTGTGGGTGTTGTGTGCGAGTTTTTCATTCAGTCTCCGCGTCAGTTTGGCCGGTGTCCGCAGCATCCGTCAGAATATCTAGAGTGGGTGTGCCTTAAAGTGAGTGACGGCGGATGGGCCGATGGCTGGGTGAGCGGATGCACCCATGCTCTGTGTGGCTGTTGCTGCTACCTCGAGCAGTGCTGGGTTGCCTTTTGTCCGCTATGCCTTCTCTTCGGGAGTCATTCAGACGTCGCAAGTGACCGTGAGACAGACAACAGTCGATCAGACCATCAGCTGGCATCCACGTTGTCTGCGCCTGTGCGTCATGCAGCCGAGTTCAAGATGCAGCACCCCCTCATATCGACGCAGGAGGCATACAGAGCCGCTCTCAAGAGGCAGTCACCTGTGAGTGTGCATCGCAACACCTCAGCAGCTGGTGGTCCATCTGTGTGTCTTGTGTTTCCCTCCAGAGTGAGAAGAAGCTGGCTGAGCGTCGCAGCGCTCTCCTGCGCGACCTCGACAGAAGAAAAACGTCAGCAATTCGACACACTTCCCGACCTCGGCTGAGAGTCGTGTCTCTCTCCGTTTCTGCAGCGAGTTGTATGACGTGCACGCCAACCTGGACTTGTTGCACACGCGGCTCAGCCGAGCACTCAAGTATGCCAGACGATGAAGAAGACAGCTAGATGGACACATGTGTAGTCATGACATGTGTGCATCTGTGCGTGGCTGGCTGCAGGCATCTGCTCGACCACATCCAGAAGTTCAAGAGATGCAAGGTACACACGCGAGGGAGGGGGAGAGGGAGACAGGAAGAAAGAGACGAGACAGCACAGCCCTTTTGCACCGTGTTGTGTGTCAGTTGGCGTTTCTGGAGTCGATGAAGAGGCAGGTGCTCGCAGAGCTGCTCATGATGGAATGGATTGAGGTGAGGAGAATGAAGACACGAGCTCAAACACGCACGCACGCACGAACGAGTGTGATTCGATGCTCTGTGTGTAGGACTTCTCCCGACACGCGCGACTAGCTCTGCCCCCCGACACATTCCTTCAGTGCCATCCAAGGACCCTCACACTGGTGGCGAGAGAGAAGGAGTCAGACAAACAAACGAACGAACAGCCAGGCACCCACATCTGCTCATTGCCGTGACTGCAGGTCGACTGGCTCTTCGGCGACAGACCTCTGCTGCAGATTGACGAGAGCCACCAGCCCCGATGGCTGTGCACGCCGCTGACCGTCCGTGGTACCATCAAAGTCACCTCATCTATCACCAAGCCGCTGGCACCCGGGGAGAGGGTGCATGCGCCTGGTCAGCGGCCGGCGTCGCCCTACCCCTTGGTGCCCATCTATGGCGACAATATGGACGAAGAGTATTTCAGGATGCAGAGAAGATGCTGACGGACTGTGTGTGTGTTGTGTGTTGTGCGTTGTGTGTGTTGTGTGTTGTGCGTTGTGCGTTGCGCGCAAGGGCTTGCGTACGCGACTAAGAAGCAAGGACAATTCAGGCAGACGCAGTGTGTATTTATGCATGCATAAGGGTCTGCACGGACATTCACGCACCCAGACACCTCCGCACAGTCTACGCTTACCCTCCCCCCTCCCTGCCCACCCCACAGACTCACTCACTGCCGCACCACCACCCTTCGGTACTTGGCAAGGAATCCGGGCATGATGGTGTGCCATTCGGCCTGCACGGCCTGCACCAAGCAGCGGCCGTCATACCAGCCCTGCTGCACCAGGTAGGCCTCCACCAACTCAAACGCACCGAAGATCTTGTCCAATGTGGTCGGCCTGGGCCGGGTGTCCGTCATGGATGAGGTGGGCGATGCGTCACCGGCATCGTCGTCAGGCGGTGATGGGGTGTCGGGCGGCTTGTACACGTTGGGCAGGCCCGCCTTGAAGTTGAAATACGCTGCAACAGCGAAGGCACAGGAGATGAGCCAGCGGCGTCCCTTCCCTCCCCTCCCTCCCCTCCCCTCCCCCTCTCTCTCACCCTGTCGTTTGTCCTCTTTGACGAATGTGAGCCATCCGATAATATTCTCAAACACTCCCTCTATGTCCTGCATGACAGACAGACAGAAGAATGCATCCACACATGCCGTACAGAAACACAGACACACAGACACTGTCTGTCGAGGGTACCTCTTGTGTCATGGTCGTGAGCTCCTCCAGGCCCGGCACACGCAGCGGGGCGTCGAATCTGCCCTGCCACGCCGTGTGGACCTTCTTCCAGCGATTGGCGTCACGAGTGGCCGCCAGCTTCTCAGCTATGTTGATGCCGTCCTCATCATCCTCGCTCTCGTCACCAACACCGTCAGCCAACCGCACATCTACCGACACGTCCTCTCCTGTCAGCGGGCGGAGGGACGCACTGGCCGATGGAAGCACCGGGGGGCGTGTCACCGCAGCACCGGACGCATCAGGCATCGCCTCGGCAGCCGAAGCGGCCATCTCTACGTCAACTCCGCTTGGATCTCGGTCTTCCAAACCGATGGCGTCGTCATGAAGGCTCTCTCCATCCATTCTAAAGGCTTCTTCGCTACGATATCTCTGTGCCGGCCGGGAATCCTGGCCTGATCGCGGCCAGGATGAGATCTGGAAGCGCGCCGGCCTCAGATCTGATGGATTGGAGGGTATGGAGGGCCTGTCGCTATCGTGGGGTGACCCAAACCAGCTGAATCAAAGCTGAATTATCGATGGCTTCGGCTCCCATCTTCGTGTAAGGGGTGCCAGCACGACTGAAAGCGTCTTAACAGACTGCCTGCTGCTTGTGTGCTGTGTTTGCAGGTACGGCTCCTTGATGGCGGACGAGGTGAGTGGACAGCAAACACACACTTCACGACTTCTGCGCATCAGCTGCCACTCTGTGTGTGTGTGTGTGTTCTGCTCATCGTCAGGTGCTGACGACCCTCCTATCACGCATCCCCGAGTCACGAGCAGCCTCTGTGAGAGGCTTCCAACGCCTGTTCGTCAAGGGTCAGACTTTTCCCGCCATCATGAGGGCCGACGCGTCTACACCCGCCACTACAGCTGCACCGCCAATCGTGAGAGGTCGGCTGCTGCTTGATGTGACCGACGTGGAGCGTCAGATCCTGGATGCCTTTGAAGATGATGGATACGAGGTTGAGGAGGTCATGGTGGAGTACGACGATGGCGCATTCGACTGGAGGGCAGTGGACGAAACACAGCCAGCAGATTCTGAGGGGTCGTCGTCCGATGCTGTCGCCGCCTCGTCGCCGCATCAGCATCAGCATCAGCATCAGCAGCACCACATGCTGGCAGTGGCGTACGTGTGGCCTCAGCAACTGGCGCACCAGTTGGATGACGTGCGCTGGAGCTATCGGCAGTTTCGGCAGATGCACCTTGAGAGGTTCGTCAGGATGGCCGGCGACTGGAGGAAACAGCTGCAGCTCTGACGCCTTGATGCGATAAACGAGAGCGGCATTGTTGCCCGCGCAGTTGCTTCTGACTGATGCACTGCTACTGACAATGACGGGACTGCTACTGACAATGACGGGGTAGCCGTGGCACGTGATGGTGGTGGTGATGTGTGAGGGTGAGGGTGAGTGTGGGTGGGCTTGCTGCCAAAGGAGTGGGTGGCATGTATGTTGCGTTTAGTACCAAGGAGATTGGCTACATAGAGAGCGTCAGTGTGGACGCATCCCATCGCTGGCTTGTATGCATCAACCGACCCTGACACGTATGGTCCTGCAATCCAGGACTGACTGAACATCTGTAGGTGTCAGCGTGTGTGGGTGATCCACATACACACAAAGATGGGTCATCAGTCAGTCAGCGGTGTTGTAGATTGCGTCATTCGTGTGATCAGAGCTATGGACAAAGCAGCCAGCCAGCCAGCCAGGCAGGGAAAGTAAGTCTGTACACATCGACCGGCCGACCGACCATATCCACCCACGCCTCTCTCTCACTCTGTCAGTCAGTCCGCCAGTCAGTCAGTCAGTCACATCTATGCTATGCACACACAGCTGCCACCCACCCACCACACCCGCCCCCCAATATGAATGGCTCGTCTATCGGCATGTCACTCATCCAACAGCCACCATCACCTCCTCTCGTGCGTCGTAGCACCAGACAAGTCGCTCGCAATCTATCAATATGGCCCCGCACTCACAGGTAGACATGTCGTGTGTCCGTGATAGCCTGTCGGCACCGGCGGCACAGCCGTTGGGCCACTGGCTTAGACATCAAGGCCGCAGCACATGCACCGCACAAACAGAAGTGACGCTGTAGACACATACACATACACACACACCCACGTGTGGGCAGCGCATAGCTGAGAGGGACAGGTGAGTCGTTGTGCCTGTCGGCTTACACATGGGATGAGTACGATGGACTTCTTTGAGGCCATGCAGATGTCACACTCAGTGCTCTCCTCTAGCCTGTGTGCAGCAAACAAGACAGACGACCAGCCACGGCCAGCCAAGGGAGAGAGACGGGCGGCCGCCCATTGTGTGTGTTGGCTAGAGTTGCTAAGATTACCTGTCCTTCTCGCGTTTGATGTCTTCCTTCTCCTTGAGTATGGCCTCCCTCTCCAGCCGCATGGCCTCGAGCTGCTGGCGCATCAACTCCAACTCACTAACCTCCCCATCACACCTGCAGCCAACCACACACACAGGCACAGTGACTGTTGTCTGTCCGTCTCGCTTCTTCGGCTGCTCTGTCCGTCAAAGCGTACCTGTCCTGACTACTGCGGCCCCCGGCTGCCAAGGGGGCGAGGCCCTGCTCGTCACAGCCAGCACGGCTAGTGGATGGTGCTGGTGTGGGTGTGGGTGTGTGTCGGTTGGGAGGCTGTGGGGGCGGGGCGGCCGGGCGGGGCGGCAGAGGGAAGGGCAGGGCTGGCGCGTTGTGGGGGCCGCCAGACACTGACGAGTGCGATGAAGAGGGCCGCGTCGACTCGGACGAAGACGAAGACGGGAAGACTCTCGAGCTGAACACACAGGCACACCGGAGATGTCAGTGCTGAGTGTGGTGGATCCCTTTGGTGGGTCTCACTTGTCATCTCGTTTGTCAGCCGTGTTGGTCTGCTGCTGCAGTGCATTGCCGCCAGTGCCTTTGCCGCCCCTCTTCTTGCGGCCGACGGTGATGAAGCCGCCGCCATCATCGCCACCACCACCCGCTCCTTGCTGCTGCTGCCCCCTGCCGCCACCCATCGAGCCAGAGATGGCCGACGGCACCGATGCAGACGACGATGAGTATGAGCATGAGGGTCGGGGAGGGGAGGGGGGCGACGGGCTGGGGGGACCTGGAAAGCCACGAAAATCTTCTGTGTCCTCCTCGTGCTCCTGGGTCACGGGCTCCACGTCTATGTTGTCAGCGCCAACACTGCGTGCAGACCGACAGACACACACCGTCTGCATGACAGCTTTCGCCCGTCTGTCCATCTCAGTCACCTGGATGATGATGCCATTTCGTTGTTGTCGGTCGTCTTGGTGCTGTTGGCCCCCCTGCCGCCCCTCTTGCCCTTCGATCGCCTCTTGTCGGCCCTACTGCCGCTGCCGCTGGTGCTGATGTTGGTGTTCTTCTGGCCCTCATCTATGTGGTCATCTGCCAACTCGGCCGCTAGATTCGCCTCGGCCCGCTCGTTGGCCGCCTTGTCTATCTCGTCAAATAACTCCACCAACTGACACACAACATACAGTTAATGTGCCCCGTTACCATCAATCTGTGTGTCAGGTCATGTATGTCGCCTACCTCCTTGGGCACTGTCAAATGCTGCTGGTGTCCCTTGCGTCTCCCCGGCTGTCTGCCGGCCGCGCGCATCGTCTTGACCGAGTCGTGCTGCAGGATGGCCTGGGTGACGCTGTTGGGACGGAACGTGCCCCCTCGGCTGCTCACGCGATCGCCATAGCTGCACTCAGGAACACACAGAACACGGACAGCACTGTGACTGACGTGCGAGAGAGGAAGCGCGTGATGGAAGCAGACGCGCATGTGTGTATGCCGACCTAACAAGAGCTTTCAGCAAGCCGATGGCGACGTATACGAAGGCTTCCACATAGTCCTGACGGATCTGGCGCTTAAGGAGCTCGAGCAGCATCTGACACATGGCTGCTGGGAGTCCCTCGCACACAGCAATCTGCATCCATTCATCAGCAGCCACATAAGCAAAATGCGTCACCACCCATCCTGCCTGTCTGCCTGCCTGCCTGTCTGACTGACTGACTGACTGACCTTGGCGCGATCGCCAGTGAGGTCTGTGTCCGACCCTACGATGAAGGGCAGGTTGTATGCACAGAAGAGCAAATTCTCGTCCGCTATCTTGCTGATGGGTTTGCCGAAGTCCGACACGATCGAGATGCATCGAGACCGGTACACCTCACTGCGATGCCCACACACTACGTTCACATACACGCAAAGACGCGCATACAGAGGCACTGCAGTCCATGTCTTGTTTCTGGCCCGTGCCCCACCCATTTCTCTCACCGGCCAACATAAGTGGGATGATAAGGGCCACCTTATTGCTGCCCATGGCTTTCGTGGCTGTGGCTGCGAAGGCCTCCAACGCCCCGGGCGATCGAACAAGACGCTGAACAGGCCCGTCAGCAAGACAGGCAAAGTAATCCACATCTGCAACCACAAACCGACACAAAAGGCATCAAGCCATGGAGACAGAAAGACGCAAAGAAGAAGGATCTGTCCCACCTATGACTTTGACGAAATCGTGGCAGAGCCAGAAGATGCTTGAGATCTTCCGGGCGGCAGCAAAGCGCACTGACTCGTCCGCGTCGGAGGTCAGCGTGGCGGCAAATGTGTCAACGTAGGGGTAGACGTCCTTCTGCAGCGCCTCCAGACACTCAGCACGCTCCGCATAAGACCCTGAACAAGACGGCCGGACACCGACCATATTCAGGTTGTGTGTCCCGACCGACCTACCTACCTGTCTCAAACACAAATTTCATGTGTGTGCTGATGAGGTCCCTGACGCCCCAACACCTGAGGAAGAACAAGAACCAACGACAACAGGGAGGGACATTATTACGGAGGGCCCTCTTGGACCGGCCGGCTGGCACTCACATTTTCTCCCCCGGGCGTGTCTGACACTTGATCAGCACATGCCAGAGCCCAACCCACAGGAAGGTCGGCATGGGTGTCGGGGGGAAGGGCGGGACACCCTCATGGACCGACGCCTCTGACTCATACGCAGCAGCGAGGAACTCGAGTGCGGCGGCGGCCATTCCGGGGCCCTCCTCCTCTGCGATCTTGTCCGCGAACTCGAGGGACCGCTTGAGTACGGCGGGGTGATGCTGCAGCAGATAGCCGCGGGAGTCGGCCACGTTGCCCTCCCGCCGGCCATTCTTCATCGCGCTGGCCATCAGGTTGAAGGCCATCCCCTCGAGCGGCCAACTCGCAGGCAGCGGCAGCGGGATCATGTCTGCAAGGGCACGGATGAATGGCCGTAGCCCAATGACCGGGATGAGCAAAGAGGCGACATGGTAACCTCCAGTAGAGTGCCACTGACAAATGCCGCCCAGCACGGTTCCCGCCAGTGCCTGGCGTCCCGGGTTGCTGCCGTCAATGAAGGCTCCAAACACACGCCGCAGCAGATGCTGGTCAGAAAGCTCCCTCTGCCCGTTCAGGGCATACTTGGCGACCGCTCTGAGGCTGTTGTCGAGGGCATCCTCTGACAGCTCGCCTGCCGTTGAGAGGAGAGCGATTGCCTCATCGGCGTCGGAGGGACGAGAGGAGCCCGTGCGAGTCATCGCTGTAAGGGAGATGCCGGGGGTACCAGATCACCCGACAGCATATAGAGCAGCCGAAACCCAGATGGATGAATGTACGAGCACCTGCACGAGCAAAGACCACGCACCAGTGACGCTGGGCCGCTCATGATGCATTTTCTTCCTTTTTAGCTTCTCCCACCTTCATGTCGGGTGCCGTGCAACGTCAGGCCCGTGATCTGTTCACTACAAAAGGAGATCCTTCCGCGAGCCGCAATGCGATCGGAAACGTAAATTACGGGGAGCGCCATCCAACGACACAAAATGGCGGATAGGGAGGAGGAGGGTGTTTTCAGGACGCCCGAGAAGAAGGAGGGGTCTGCCGAGAGGAGAAACAGACCTCCCAGACCACCTGCATCAGTGGGCTCATCCCTCAACCACAACCAGGGGTCAGCACACCACGACTGCACACACGAGGCCAGAGGCGGCACATACCGACACACCGCACCACAGAAAATCCATATTTGTTGCGTGTGGTCCATCGGATCACTGTTTGCAGACACCGAGGGCTTCTACCGTTCTCTTATCACCTTCCCAAGGCTGCCAAGGCCAAACAGGACTCGAGCAAGCCCCCCGGCCGTCCGCTGTCCCCTCCGCGTGTTGCATCTTCGTCTCGTTCAGACAGCCATGCCCCGCTGCTGGCCAAACAGCTGGCTGAGGGGGGGCAGGAAACAGTGGGCCGTGTGTCGCTGCTGACGTTCCGCTATGAGGGGCTGGCGCGTCAGTGTCAGTCGGCCATCATCTCCCACGGCAGCTCGTTTTCGCATCACGGGCTGGGGCGGGATGGCATGGTGACGAGTGCCAGTGGGATCGTCATGTCGGGCGTGGGGGTCAATGCCACGCTTGACGGATTAGTGGGTGCTGACGGGGAGCAGGCCAATCAGCCAAGAGACCCCGCGGCACACGAAGGTCAGTCAGACGGTCACAAGGGCACGACGCGATGCGGTCTGACACCAATGTGTACATATGCCTTTGTGTGGTGTGTGGTGTGTGGTGTGGGTACGCCCTCAGATGGTTCAGAGATGCCTAATGTGTTGAGTGTGGAGCCGCCCCGTCCCATCAGCGACCCCACATCCAAGCTCAAACCCAAGACAGACCGCCCCCCGCTGCCCAAGAAGCGGCCCATCGACCACACAGATGACCACCCCGCCCCCCTCACACCCAACATCAACCCCGCCAGCGAGCGAGACGACGCGCCGTCGTCCGTCGACTCCCCGCTGTGGGAGTTCCTCAAACAGCAGCGCAAAATCGGCGGCGGCGGCGGTGGTGGTGGTGGAGATCTGAGTGGCCGCTCCAGCAAGCCTGCTGCGGCGATGTCGTTCGCTTCGATGGATGGCGGCACTGCTGCCGCTGCTGCGGCTGCCCCCAAATCTGTGGCTGATGTGGGCGTCGGCGTGGGTGTGGGCGTGTTGTCGCCAGCGACCAGCAGTGGCATCTACCAGACCCCCCTGGACATCCCCCGCGCCAGCCGAGACAGCCGTCTGCCCCCACCCGCTGCTGCAGTTGCCGTGAGTGCAGCTTCCCAGACGGTGCAGGACTGCCAGCACACCGCTACCAACACTGACAGTGCCGTCGTCGCCAACGCGGGCGTGCAGAGCCGTCCCGCCATGCAGGACTCACACACGAGCCCCGTGGCAGCTCGGCTCACCCGATCTCAGGGCGGCGTCAACCTCCGCAGCCCACCAGCACCCACACCCGTGGTCGTCTCGTCCACACAGACCGACTTCCACAACGAGCCACTGCCGCCGGTGCGTTCTCACCAGGTGGTTCGCAATGAGGTGGAGAGCCAGACAGTGGAGAGAGCGGCGAGCGTGCTGCGACCCATGACGGCTGAGCTGGCCACCAACACCGACCGAGTGGGCCGCGCTGAGGCGGCGGTGCAGGGTGGCGGCAACGCTGCCTTGGTGGAGAGCAGGGGTGTGGGTGGTGGACGAGCCATGGTGCGGATGGAGGAGGCCGGCACCGGGCGTGAGGGGGTGCTGATGGTGGAGAGGGGCGTAGGAGGGGGCCGACGGGCGGGGGGAGTGGGTCCCGGGGTGGACTGTGGTGTGGGTGACAACGATGTCTATGGGGGTGGTGAGAAGAGGGCCGACGCCGACAGTCAAGCGGCGTCCAAGCTCGTGACCAAGAACACCCAGACGACTGCTGTCAGCGCCTTGCTCAGAGAGGAGGGCAGACACATGGAGACCCAGACCACCAGCACCATCGCACACGCCGCCCACAAGAGGGAGCAGACGGCCAAGGAGACGCAGACGAGCCCCCCCGAGATGATCAACAAGAAGCTGCAGGTCAACACCAAGCGGCTCGAGCTTCCTCTCGGCGTGAAGAGCGTCCTTTCAGGACCAGACGCCTCCTTCAAAGTCCGCACCGTCGAGACACAAACCCCTCCTGCCGGCCCTCTGCTCACCAACCCCACCCCCACACCCATCCGCATGCCGCAATCAGTCCCCGCAATCGCCCCATTCCGCTCCTTCAAGCCGGGCGCCACCCAATCGTATGCGTCGCCTGTAGCCGCCATCCATCACGGCTCACTGCACGGCGATGCCGAGCCCACAGCCCTCACCACACCGCAGAATCTCCCCAAGCCATCGAATCTGGCCGACGGAGGAGCGCCCAAGCGCCCCAAGCCGCCACCAAGTGGCGGTGGGAAGGCCAAGGTGGTGCCGGGCGTGGTGGGTGTGGGTGTGGGTGCTAGTGGCGGTGTTGGTGTTGTTCGCGGGGCGACTTCGTCAGGGGTTGGTAACCGTCATGCGATAGACACGGGCGATAATGGGCTTAGTCATGGCCAGGGCCAGGGGCAGCACCCAATACCGTTTCAGCTGAGCCGGGATGGAGTGGAGAGCAAGGTCAGCACACAGAGCCAATACACACACATATGGACGCAGAGAGAAAGCTCAATGATCTTGTGGTTGTCTGGTGGTGGGTATTTATCAGGGCGGCTCTCCCCATGTTGTCGGGATATCGCTCGCTGGCGGCGCTGCAGGTGCAGGTGGTGGTGGTGGTAGTGGTGCTGTGTCGTCACGCAATCGGGCCCTCTCTGCCGATGTCAATCAAGATGCCCTCGTGTCGCCCGACGCAAACAGTGTCCGAACGGTATGCACAGAGACATCACAACCAAACAGGGGCCAGGCAGGCCATTGGTGCATTGGTGTCCGTGTGCGTGCGTGTCCATGTGTATGTCTCAGGCGATCCACCGTGAGAGCAACACGTCCACCCGCACTGTGATCCGCCGCAAAGAGCTGACCGACAAGCCCCCCACACCCCAGCTGGCAGACAAGACCCCCACAGCCCCCAGACACCCCCACCACCACCAGCAGCAGCAGCAGCAGCAGCTCAGCCCCCTGCCAGCACTCACCGACTCCCCATTCCTCCCCCACTCGCTCATCAACAACCGATCAGCATCGGCAGCGGCCGCGGGATCCGGTGGCCATCCAGAGGACAGCAGTGGTCGTTCGAGCAACATGGCCCCGTCATCCTACGACCCCCCTGGCGACAGCAATGAGAGCAGCGGCAGCAGGCTGGGGGCGGGCAGGCTGAGGTCGCTGGCAGAGGTGACCGACAACGAGAGCGACCACCGGCAGCCAGCTGGGACGCCACTCGGACACGACACACAGCGGGGAACGCCGAACGCACCCATGTTTGTGCGGCGGCTGAATAAGGCCGGGGGCGGTATCGATGCTGGTGGTGCTGTAGAGAGGGCTGATGGGGTGGCGAGAAGGGGTCTTGGTGGTGGTGGTGCTGGTGTTGGGGGTGGCGTGAGAGATAGTGGGAGGGAGTTAGTAGAGGTGTGGACTGAGGAGAAATACGCTGACCTCGTCATGCGGTCCGCGCAGCAGGTCGGTTCAGAATGGGGGTTACGAAAGGGAGACACAGGAGAGCTACAAGTGTAAGTGTGTGTGCGTGTGCGCGTGTGTGCGTCTTAGGCTGAGGATGCCAAGAAGATGGTTTTGCAGATGGAGGATCGGTCAACACACACACACACACACATCCTCCCACACATGCACTCTTCATCTGCATTCCCTGTTGCTGTGTGTGTGGTGGTCGAGCAGGTTGATGCGTCGCTGCCGTGACATTCCGTCCATCGAGAACCCCCCGGCCGTTCCCCGACTCGACACGTTCCCACCACTATTCAACATCAACCTGCAAAACGGTACACACACACACACACACACGTGCCCACCTTCACACCGCCCATTGGCATATTCCCTTGAGCATGTGTGCAGCTGTGACCACCTTCATGGACTCCACCAGCAACAGCGAGGGGGGCGGTGGTCGTGATGGGGCGGCATCAGGTGCTGTTGCTGCTGCTGCCACGGGGGCCGCACCCCAGTCGGCGATCGTGCCGTCGGTGAGTCCTCCGCCGCCATCTCGCCCACCAGGTCCACCCATCGTACCGCAATATGCTATAAACCAACAGCAGCAGCAGCAGCAACAGCAACAGCAACAGCAACAGCAGCAGTCAAGAGGTCAGCCAGCACACAGGGGAAGTCGCTGCATCGGACACATCTCTGTATGTCCTTCCCCCCTGGCTCGTGTGTGCAGTTGATTTGGTGTCTGCGTTGGAGGAAGGCATCCTCACCTGGTCACGATCGCCGCAGCCGCCGCGGCCACACCCACATCAACCATACCCAAGTGACACACATCGATATGTCGACCGGCATCCCTTCACCCACACCCACTCCCACCCGCAGCAGCACCAGCAGCAGTACCAGCAGCAGCACCAGCAGCAGCAGCGGCTGAACCAGCATGTGTATCAGCAGGGGATATACGCGGGGGGCCCTCCCCGGCTGCCATCAGTGGAGGAGTTGGCGCCCGACCATCGCCGCATGGAGGCCAATGTCAACATCACCAGCTCGCCTGACGTCTACCCACACAGCGGACCGGGGTCCCCACACCCAGACGACGACATAGATGGGTGGGGGAGGGAGCTGGGGAGAAAGCCCACACACATAGATATCTGTCTGTCTGTCTCCATCTGTCCCTCTGTGTGTGATGTTTGTTGTGTGTGTGTGTGTCAGATATGGCGTCAATGTGAATGTGACTGACCACGTGGTGTCGTCCCTGCCCCTCCCCTACACCTTCCACCCCGACCCGCCCCCACCACCCAAAGTGGACCGCAACCGAGCTCACCTCCGACACAATATGCAGCCGCCCCCGCCAGTCCCGTTTGCACACCAGGCGGCAGCCATGCACATGCATCAGCAGCAACAGTACCACCACCAGCACCAGCAGCAGCGGGAGCAGCGCGGAAGCATCGAGCACTTTGGTGGGCCGTTGATCAGCCCGGTGCGGTACGATGCTGGCGCGGGGATGGGTGTGGGTATGGGTGTGTGTATGGGTGGGTCGTCGGCAGCTGCCGCCGCAGTGGATCACGAGACGTATCGTGTGGTGGGTATGAGCAGTGAGGGCGGGAGGGGTGGCGTCATGAGCCCCAGCAACGACCAGCAGCTGGCCGCCATGTCATTCGCATCCAACTACGTACCAAGTATGGGGGCGAAAAGGAGACATCCACAATATGCACACAACACTCACACCAAACCCATCCTCTGTGTGCTGTATCGTTCTGTCAGCCCCGCCAGCGCATGTAGCGATAGACATCCATCCGCCAGAGGTGTCGCGGCCCCACCCCACCCTCCCACCGCCATTCGACCAGGGGGTGGCCCCGTATGCACAGTACAGCCGGGGGAATGGGCAGGGGCAGCGGCCGAAGGGGCGGGCCGACGAGGGCGGCTTGCACTGACTGACCAAGGTAGCGTAGCAGAGAGAGATGCAGTGCATGGATGGATGGATGGATGTGGGTGGATGGACGACCGGCATTTTCTGAATGGATGGATGGACAAGGGTAGAGAGGTCGGATTGGATGCTGCTGATTGACGGTGCCTGGCTGCTCATGGTGCTATCGCTATCGCTGTTCGAGTGGACACACACATGTCGCTCGTGTCGGTCGGTCGGTCGGTCAGTTGGTCGGTCTGGTCGATATCTGCTGGCGATGGATAGACAAACAGACAGATAGATAAGGAAAGACGGGACGAACAAAGCTCTCACTGGCTGAACGGATCTCCCACCAGCCGGCCACCGAGAAAACCCAACACTGGTCATTATGTACAGCACCAAAAATTGTGCCTGCCTTGTTGCCCTCTCTCCCTCTGTCTCTTCCTATCGACACACACCCAGACTCAATAACCCATTGACCCATCGACCCATGCCATCCTCTCTTCGTCTCTTCTTGTATCTTCTCGGCTGGCCTCATATAGAGTTGGCGAGTGTCATGTCTTGTTTGCGCCGCAGGTATCTCCTGCGGCCCTCCAAATACAGCATGAACTGGATGGAGAAGAAGGAAAGGAAATCAAGGACACGGACGACGATGTCGAGGAGCTGGTACATACCTCCTCGTAGTCGCGGGGCACTATCGTGGGCGGTGGGGCATCCACCTGCACACACACAGACATGCACAGCCGCACACATGAACCGCTTTCTGCCGCCACTGCTGTGTTGGCGCTTGTGTGTCTGACCGGTTCATAGTGGAAATGGAAGACGTTGGATCGGTCGCGGACACCTGTGGTGGGGTCCACCTGATACGCATCCACCTGCACACATGATCCAATCGCACACGCAGATGGCGATCGGATGTTTTGCGACTCTCTCGTGTGCCGTTGTGTGTGTGTGTACCTACCTGCACTTGCATCTCGTCTGGTGCTGTGAAGATGGAGCGTGCGACGTACTGCACCATGGCACCCACCTCCACTGGCTTGAGGAAGAAAATGTTGTCCACACCTGCACAATCCACACACATAACGTGCTTCCTTGTCCCTGCAGCTCGAGTCATGTGCCGACTGACTGACTGACCTCTGAAGATGATATCCCGGGACTTCATGAGGCACTGCACCGTCAGCCAGCTCAGCTCAAAGGCCAGCCGAGCGATGTAGCCGCCGAACATCTTGCAGTGCACATTCCGGTGCGTCGGCTGCATCAGCAGTGTGGACTCCAGCCTTGTGGACGCCATCGCCACACCCCTCCTCAAATCGCCCCAGAACACGGGATCCGCCAGCATGGTGTCGCCGGCGTCGCTCTTGATCTGTTCGAATGAGATGGAGTTTTGCCAGAGTGCGTGGAGGATCTCCATCTCCTCTGGCCGGGGGGGCGATCGCATAAGGGTCTGCCGGCTCAGCCGCTTCCTATGTGCGTTGCGCTGCTCGGCTTCCAGGCAGCTGGCCTGCTCGCAGCTCAGAGGGGGCAGCTGGGTGGGCTTGGCAGTCTTGGCGTCCAGCGCCACAAAGACAAACATCGCACGCCCCACATAGTCGTCTTCCTGCATCCAGAGAACTCTGTGTGTGTGTGTGATCCTTTCTCTGTCGAGATCTCTCACTGGTCTCACCTCGTAGATGTGTCCGGAGACCTCGAGTGAGGTCTTGCCCACGTGTGTGACGTATGAGGTCAGCCGGAGGTCCGCGTGGATGCTGGGGTCGCGGGCCAGGTAGAAGCTGTCGATGCACGCAGTCACTATCGATATCGGTGTGTCCTCCCTGTAGCCACCCAACGCGTGACGATACGCAGAGTCGGCCGCTATGGTGTCCAAAGTCTGCACAACACACAAGACAACACACACAGAAGCATTGCAGCACCCTGACACCCCATGCAGTGTGACTGACCTCAAACATGCGCCCGTATCTGATGGCCTCCTTGTCTGCCCTGATGTACTCTTCTCTCAAAGCCGCGTTGGTCTTGAACGGGTAGATGACTTCGAGCCACGATGAGTAGACGCTCTTGCCCTCTGCACCTCCAGCCTCCTCGCTTGGCGGTGCATATGAAACCACAAAGCCCTCGACTGAATCAGAGCGGATGACCGTCTCGCGGGTGAGGGGAATGACCGCCTGGATTGTGCTTTTGTCGGTGGTTGTGAGTGCGTTGGCTGGCCGAGGGACAGGCGGAGCGTGGGAGCTCGAGTAGCATCGCGAAGCGATACGGCACAGCCGGTGCGTTGTGGGCAGCAGACGTCCATACATTGTCGATGAAAATCCGGTCTGCAAGCCAAGCTCGCATGTGTTAGGACATTTCGTGAAACCGGTCTCTCTCTGCAAGGGAACTTAGGAAGCTGAGGCGAAGAGGCGATCAGTCAAGAAGCAGCAGAATGGCGGCATCTTCGGCATCTCAGCAGCAGCAGTCCATCACTGTCAAGTTCGAGGCTCAGGATGGCACCAGCGGGCCCCTCGTCATCTCTCGGCAAGTCGCACAGCAGTTCGGTTTCTTCAATGCGGTGCGAACACACGTGCATGCAGGCTGGCGTGCGGAACACATGACATCGTTCTGTCCGGCAGATGCTTCGTGGCGAGTTCAGTGAGTCGAGTGAGCGGTCGGTGGTCCTGCGAGAGGTCTCCCGTGACGTGGCAGCGGTGGTGCTTCGGACGCCGAATGACATTGTCAGAGATCTGACACAGGAGGTGAGCAGCAGAATGATTCACTGCTGTCACTCACGTCTGCGTGTGTGTGGCGCGGCGTGGTGATCGATCAGAACTTCATTGCCTGCTTAGAGGCCGTTGATTTCCTTCAGTACGAGAAGCCACGGAGCATCCTCAAAGCCATCAAACCAAAGGTAGCCACGGAAATGGGAATCCATTCGTTCACCGACTCTCATCATCTGTTGTTCAGGTGGTCCGCAATAGGTGGCTGTCCGACAATGACATCGCCAGTGCGCTGCTCAAGGCGTCCTTCCGGCGACCTCTCATCAGGTTCGTTCACTCGTAGGCATCTTGGTGTGTTGCCTGACCACGCGTGTGTGGGTGTGGGTGTGGGTGTGTATTCAGGCGTTTCATCTCCGAGCATGACGAGGTGCTGTCGGCATGTGGGCCCTTCGTCCTGCAGAGTGCAGGAGAAGTCGCGGCGGTGTGGGACAACGCACCACCATCCACATCCCAAGACGACGGCACGGACAACATTGAGGATGGTGACGGTGATGGGAAGCCCACTGCGGCCAGCAGTGCACCACTCGAGTATGTCATGTCACTGCTGAATCGCCTGTTGCGTTCGTTGGAGGCTGGCACCTATGACGTCTCGCTGTCGAGCCTCAAGCGCTTCGCCACTGACGCGACGCGGTCGGGAAGCTTCCCTGAGGCGGCTGCCGATATCTTCGAGTGCACCAAGTAAGGGGCAAGCAAGCCGCCTTGCATGCTGCATTCATGTGTGGAGTGGATGCATGTGTGTTATGTATGGCTGTGGACATTTGCAGGTTGTCTGAGGAGAAGGCCGTGGAGATCACGTCACCCGGGGAGGGCAAAGGCGACAAGACAGATGACGGCCGATACGTCGCCGTTCTGCACGGCAGCGAGAGAGAGTGTGACGCCAAGCTCGAGTTCGACATCCGCAGCGGGCCCTACGATGAAGAAAGTAGCAGTGAGGACATGAAGTTGGCCGGCGTCAGAACATTCGACATCACTGCCGACTACTGCGGGCAGGCCAACGAGCGGTCAGTGATGACTGTGAGATGACTGAGGTTGTCGTCGAGCTCCTGCTATTCTCTGTCTCGTGTGCAGGACGGTCTTCTGCTATTCGTTTCGTGCGGACATCTCCATCGACACCGACAAGGAGCCCATCAAGATCGAGAAGAAGGAGTTTGATTTCTCTCAAGGATTGGCAAACATGCCAGTGTTTGTCATCGGCCTCCTTTGGACACAGCCTATCACCAACGTGCTCGTCATCCCATTCAAGGACAGCGAGGCCTTTGAGGGCAAGGACACCACTGTGGCGTCTGTCAAGGCGTCTGTGACGATCCGCCACTATCCGATGAGGTGCCTGGTGCTCCACTGCCTGCGCCTGATGATCCGCGAGGGCCAGTGGGCAGACATGCAAGGCGTCGGCGCCGCCATCACACGACAGGTGCGCAACGTGCAAACAACACATGGCGCCGTCCGGTCTTCATGTGTGTGGCTGTGTGTGTCTGCAGGTAGCTGAGCAAATGGCTGTGTATCTGGCCAGAATGACGGCAGACGGCGTGTCCCCGCTGCGTGTGCTGACGTCATGGATGAGCGGCTGGGGCAGCGAGCAGCACTTGGACGAGTGGACCCGCAGTGAGGTGTCGTACGCCGCCCTGTCCACCGCCGTGATGGAGACCCACATCCGAGACCTGGCGCCCTTCATCCGAGTGTTCGGCCAGCTGATCGCCGACAAAGGCGGCCGGGACGATTCGGTGGACAAGATAGTTTTGAGGTTGCAGGACGAACCCGACACCCTGCGCACATTCATCGAGTCCATGTTTGATGATGGGGCATCGGGAGGGCTCAGCACAGCCTCTGGCGGGTCGAGGAAGAGAGGAAGGATCAGCATCGGTGTCGAGTGCACGGTTGGCCGCCAGGAGGGCGGGCACCAAGGCAGTCGGTTTAGAGCCATGAAAGCGTTGTTAGTCGTATTGATAGACTGACTGATAGACGGACAGACATGCTACGTGTCAGCTACAATATTCGGTCCAGAGGCAGCAGAAGAGCAGGGCTTTACTACATTTGCAAACTACACACGTGAGCTTTGAATCACTTCAAGAAGAGAAAATCACTTCAAGAAAGAGAAATTGCCGGCGCTGTTGGCGCGCGCTTTACTTCGAGCAACTACTGCACACTGCACACGCGCTCGACAACAGCAAAGGAAAGGTAAAAGGGAAGTTCTATTCCTCCTTGTCATGCTGATCGCAGTCCTCGTCCTCGCCAACAACACAATCGCTGCTATGCTTGAGACGGCGGCCACCGCCTGAATGATATGTCCGAAGACGAGCAAATGGAGACAGACACGCAATGAGCTCTCTGTGTTGGGGTTCGGCATTGCGGTGGTGTGTCCGACCCACCCCCACGGCGCAGCTCTCTCTCATCGTGGTCGTCACTGTCGAGGCGTCTGCCGCCCCGGCCACGGCGCAGTTCACGCTCTTCCTCCTCGGTCAGGCGGCGGCCACCTTGCAGACAAACAAGACACGTATACACGAGAAAGAAAGACGTGCCGCAACGCACCTCCCCCACGACGAAGCTCGCGTTCGTCCTCGTTGCCGTCCAGACGACGGCCCCCTGCACCCAGGAAGCCACACACACGTCCTCAGTGTGTAAGGCCTTCTGGGTGTGTTGTTTTGCCTGCCCACCACCACCACGTCTCAGCTCACGGCCCTCCTCGCCCTCCTCCTCTTCTGTGAGTCTTCTGCCGCCGCCACCACGGCGAAGCTCCCGGACTCCGTCCTCATCAGACTCCTTTTCTTCGAGTCTTCTCCCACCGCCACCACGTCTGAGCTCACGGGCCTTCTCGTCCTCGTCATCCTCCTCTCCATCGAGTCTTCTGCCGCCGCCACCACGTCTCAGCTCACGGCCTTCGTCCTCGTCAGACGCGGCCCCTTCCTCCCCAGCGTGTTCTTGTTGAGCACGGAGTTCGTCACGCGTAGAGCCTTCTTCAGGCTGTGTCTGAAGATCAACAAATCCGTGCTCAAGGCCACTGGCGTTGAGGTATTAGTGTTGATGCCTACGTTGAGGCCACTGGCGTTGAGAGAGCTGGGGAAGGTAACCAAGGCAGGCACAGTGAGGAAGACAAGGCGAAGCTTCATCGTGCGGTCGTTTCCCGAGGAAGAGGCCTCTGGGAAACCAAGATCACTTCTTTGGGGGCCCGCGGGGGGGCGCAGTTGCCGTCTCACCGTTTTTTCCGGTCAACTCAGTTGACCCTCACAGGCAGCTGGCAACGTATAGCGAGACGGACCTCCAGACAAAATGAAGCGACAGCCGGAAGAACATCGTACTGATGTGAATGGTGATGGTACGGGAGAGACGCCTTTGGCAGATCTGCCTGACGAGTAAGCAAGGGGTCCTTCGAGTCACAGAGCAGTGCGCGTCCCACTCCATCCATGTATGATCTGTTTCCATGTCCTCCGTCAGTCTGTTGGTGTATCTGGAGCACTGTGTGGCACAGTTCGACGCCGATTTCAACAGAGTGGCTGACGAGTTCAAAGGTGAAGTGAAAGCTGTGGAGTGCATGCGTCTGATGACTGCTCTGTTGTCATGTAGCGCTGGTATCTGACGCTGGCCCAGGGGAAGGCGACGGCTCCTCTGCGTCTCAGTTCACAGCCGAGAACCTCAGGCGACGATGGCTGAAGCACACCAAGCAGCAGACGAACCAGCCTGCCAATGCCGCTGAAAGTGCCTCCTCGAGACCAGCCGACACGGCTGAGGAGAAGGAACGTGATGAACAGAAGATGAATGGGGAAGGTGGCGCCACCGAGACGGAAGGAAAACCTTCAAATGTGTCCGACTTCAACATCCTCCGAGACAGCCTGAGAGGTCGGCTTGCCCAGATCCAGGCAAATGCAGCAGCCAACCTGCCGTCGATGGTCGAGGGAGAAGGGACTGGCGGCGATGAGCAGCCGTCCTCGACGGATGCGCGAGGGGAAGCGGCAGATGAGACACACGAGGACGAGACAGAGAGAGAAGGCGCGGATGGGGACGCGGAGGACGATTCGCCTGTGGAAATCTACGATGCGACGAGGGCCAGAGTGACCGGCGGCATCCGCCTGCAAGACGCATCCCCACCATCCACTTCATCAGCCCGACCAGCGACCGATGAGACGAATGGAGACGCCTCGGTGGTGGTGCAGATGGCCCTCACAGAGACGAATGCGGCACCCATTCCACATTCCCTCCCCTCTGCTATGGACAAGAAGAGCGACAAGGGTTTGATCACGTCTCCGCCGACAGACTCAACCTTCCTCCCTGAGACGAACGAGACACAGAGTGTCCAGCAGGACACCGACGAGGCCGCCTTCAGCCAGAAGACAAAAGAACTCTTTGGCACGGACAAAGTGAGGGAGCTGTTTCCCGACCTGCCAAGATCGTGGACTCACCCGATGGCCAGGGACATGGGTGCGGGACCTTCTGCCGCCGACGAGGAGTCCGCTGCCACGATCCCGAGTTTTGACGCTATTCTGTTGAGCCAGCATGTCAACCCTGATGACCCTGTGGATGGGAACTTGGTGCAACTGCCGCCTGTAAGATGAGACATAAACAGAAGGGTATGCATATGGCGACATTCGACGTATGTCTCTGCCCACAGGGGTTGGAGGATGTATACAGTGCACTACGGCAGGGACTTGCAGGCAGGAACTACGCTGCCGAGGCTCCCCCGGTGGACCGGCCCCACAGCCAAGCACCGAGGTCTGCCATACCGCAGCGTTTCCAGCCGACCATCAAGCGAGTGAGAAGAGAACAGGAAACGGCCCCTGGTGCTGACGGTAGTGAAAGGAGCGAGGCGGTGTGTGATGGGGTCGAGCGGATTGGGTATGGGGAAGACGAAGGCCCCGATGGAGACGACGAGGACGATGTGGGCACGGAAATATTGGCAAAAGGTACAACTGTTTGTATTTATGGCTTCTTCATTCCCGCTTCAGGTTGGTTGGCTGTCGCTTCGTGCTCGTATGAAGCAAAACAGCCAAGACCTACTGTCAAAGAACAACGACATCCAGGAACCCACACGGCCGCTCCCACCTCTGGTCCGCACCGATCTATTTCCTCCCGCCCCTCCCGTCCCTTCCACCTTCCCCGAGCCGCCCACGCCCCCACCGTCACACGCACCATCGGCCCCTCTGCCCCGCGTCCCATCCCCTGTAGCCATCATGCGCGAGCACCCGACTATGGACGACGAACTGCCCTCGGATGAGGCACCATCGCCATCGGCCAGTGTCACTGCAAGTGCCTTCAGAGACGGCAGCACGGGGGCCGACAGCACGTCCCCCGGAGACGCTTCCGTCGGTGTGGCTCGGCTGACTCCTCGGCTCTTGACTGAGATCGAGAGGGAGGAGTTCGCCAGGGAGACGGAGAGAAGACGAGACGAGTTGCGGGGGCGGCTGGCTCCAATTATGTTGCCGCGAAGCCCGGAAACAATCGAAAGGCTGGCTGCACTGACGACACCAGCGGCGACACCGAGTGGTACGGCAGCGGCAAGAGGCAGAGAGGCAATCGGCAGGCGCTGGATGGTGCAAATGGAGGAGCAGGAAAACACAGAGATGGCGGCATGGACATCAACCAATGAGATCACAAAGAGCAGAGAGGAGGATCAGCCATCGAGCACCGCCGGCCCGAGTGCTGCACGTGCTGAAGGGGAGGAGGCGGCGCCACCTGAGGTGACGGATGACCAAGCCAGGCAGGCGCAGAAGGAGCGGCTGCAGTCTCAAATATCAGCGTGGTTCGCTCAGCGAGACGACTTGTCTCTCTTCCACCCATCTGTCAGCTTCGCCCCATCACTGCCGTCGTTTCCGGAGACACACCTTGACGCCTTCAAGCAGCTTCCGACCACCACGACGTTGCCGCCATGTCTCGCCCGATGCACCATCGCCATCCTGCCGTGGGGCTGCTCGTCTCGTGTGCTGACCCCGCCATCTGATGTGCAAGTGCTGGTACTGGAGACGCTGTTCCAGCGGGGCCTGGTCACGTCAGTGAGCCAGCTGCCGTGGACGTGTGTGGCGTCGTCGGCCCTCATGAGGCACCAGATGGCGATAAGGGCGGCCGCGCATAGGTCGGCGGCGGTGCTGCTGTTGGTGCTCAAATGTCAGGACACCTCTTCGGTGCTAGACGTGGCCATGGAGGGGTCGGAGCTGTCGCTGAGGGACGCGCTGTGGCTGTTCTCTACCAGTGCGGCCCTGCTCAACGACGCCATACCCCTGCTGATGGCACCTTTGTCGTTCTCACAGCACGGGTTTGCGTCGTGCAGTGTCGGCGGGTCCGACGCGCTTGGGACTGATATGCACGTGGAGAGCATCTGTGTGACGCTGCGCTTGCAACCGAGCTCAGCTCCGACTTTGCTGCCGTGGCTGTTCAAACACACCAGCCAAGAGAGCCTCCTGTGCATCGGGTCGGTGAGACACAAACAAGGGCATTTAGCATGACTATTCATTCATCCGATGTGTACAATGCGGGGGCTTCAGGCTTCGTTTGGTATACTCGACGCCGTCAACCATCCAGTCGTCCCCAACCCTCTCGCTGAAGCGCTCGCAGACGCCTTACCTGCCGACACTGATCTTGGCCTTGAGAGGACCTTTCGCCCTCACCAAGTGGCACGCCATCCAGGGACCGGCCGACCCCACACTGGCCAGACGCACTGACCCCTCGTCGCTCAACGCTTTGTATGGCGGCCAGGACCGGGGCAGTGCTGCTGCCACGAGCGTGCAGGCGCCACACCACGCCATGATGGAGGTCATCTGGGCATTCGGCGGGCGAATCGACCTGACAGACAGTAGGTGGGATGGCTGCACTGTGGGCGTGGGGGATCGGCTCCAGCAGCTGGTGTATGGGGCGGCCAACTGCAGACAGCTGCTGATGAAGAACAGTCCAGCTGTCTACCGTGTTGCCCTGAGCAACCAGCTGCTCCCGCAGTGTCTGCCGCAGCTCATTGGGGCTCTACAGTCCCGCTGTGGCGCCCTTCTGAGCATCAGCTCCCTCCCGTCCGTCTCCATCGCCTGTATTCCACCCCGCACATCGAGTTTCGTCTTCACGTCTGTGTCGGAGGGCGGGTGGGAGGCCCTCTCGTCGATCGAGGAGCACCTGTTGCGCCCACCAGTGCAGACCCAAGGATGGAGGGACCTCACGAAGGCGGGCGCCCACGCAGTGTCACAGAGACGTGATTCGAAGGAGAAGGACAAAGGGAAGGAATGTGGGGCTCTGCCTCTGTCCTTTCATCCCTTGGCTGGTGATGTGTCGGTCGACCCTCTGGGGCTGCTCATCCGGGGCGGTGACCTCAGGGGCCGGGGGATGGTGGCCATGGGGTCGGGTGGCGCAGGAGACGAAGACACGCCAGAAATAGCAGTATTCGGTGCGGAAAGAAGCGATCCCTTTCAGATCGTTGCAATGGGGACATGAGTGTGTGTCTTGCAGGTGCGTGTGGTTCGCTCGACGAGGCCCCAGGTCTTGCTGCGTTCCTTGCTGACGTCCTCTGCGATGGCAGCATCGCATCCCGCATCCGCGTGCCCGAGGACGGCAGGGATGACGTCCAATCATTCGACGACATACCACTCTTCGGTGAGACACACTCACACAAAGAGCTCTTTTGCAAGGTTCGTACAAAGAGGCTCGCTCTGTTGCTTGATGATCAGGTGGCGCCCTGCAAGTGATAGCCTTCACCCTCATCGACCTCAAGTACCACAACCAAATCAGCAACCAGGATGCCGCAGCGAAGGAGACATCGGCAGCTGCATCCCCACACGACGATCTCTCCTCTCTCTCCTGGGGCGGCGCCGGCAGCCTCTGCAGAGACAATGCCACAATGACGACTGAGGGGCGAGAGGCGAGGGACAAGGGCATCAAAGCCCTCATGGCGCCCCATCTCTGTGACCTCACCCAGCTGCAGCGAGGCGGGAGCCACCCCTGCCCCCTTGAGGACGCCCTGCGGCTGCGTGAGGAAGATCTCAAGGACGGGGTGATGTTCCTTTGTGCGGTGCGGGGCGAGCGGGCGATCGAGTCGATGATCGGCCCGCTGAACCGCACTGCACGTCGACATATATCCCAGCGAGCCAGAGCTCCCCAGCCCCCGGTCAGCCGGCAGCTGAGCGGGTCTCTTTCCAACGGATCAGGGCCGGTTGTGAGACCCGTTGAGGCCGACGATATCGTTTTCCTCACGCCAGATCAGAAGGTTAGGCGAGAGAGCGGGCACAAAACAGCTCGTCTGTATGGCCTTTGGCATGATGTATAGGCTGCCCGTGCCATCTGGCGTCTGTTCTTCGGCCGGCACGAGAGGTCAGTGCCGGTGGTGGGTGGCGGGTCGTTCATCGCCCACCCCGCCCGCCATCGGCTGTCCGAAGAGCGATACCACCCATCGCCCCCACTCACACACGTGGGGGAGGCTCTCCTGTTTTCTTCTGCCCTGCGGCCTGTCATGACATCAACGGTGGCAGTGCTGCTCGCCGGTGGGCTGTCGGCTGCCTCTGGTGTGTCGAATAGCCCGCCTTGTCTAACATCTGCCCTCGAGATGGTGGCCCATGCGGCGCCGACACACAACATCGAGATCGCTGGAGTGTACACCACACGTAGGCAGCCAGCAGGGGACACATGATGGTCTACGGTGGATGGCCTTTCTCTGTGCGTGTGCCATTCAGCGCTGCCGTTGACGGATTTGGAGGCTGCCATTTTGTGCAGACAGGAGTTGGATGACAACCGGGCCCACCTGACCCCCTCAGTGCGGGACAGCGTCACGGCGTTCTTTCAATCGCTGGCGATGTCCGCGCACGATGGCCATTTCATCGTATGGGTCACACTCAAAGGCACCAATGGTAACACACCACACAACGAGAGAGGCACGACATCTCGTCTTGTCTCGTCTGTTCACCGTGTGCGTCAGTTGTGAAGCGGTGGGCCCGTCTGTGCGGCTCTTCGTACGCCGCCCTCAATACACAGCTGTCCCGACCTGCACTCAAGAACCAGATCGGCCACATCCCACTCTCAACCACACACACACCCACAGCCACAGCCGCAGACACCTCGGCCTTTTCTCTGCCCGCCCTGCTGTGTGCGACATCCTACCAAGCAGCCCAGTTTCTGCTGAATCAGCTGCTGCGTCGGGGGGGCAAGCGACGTGCGAGGGAGAGGGCGGCCGGAAGTGGGCTGGAGGGGTATGATGAGGGTCAGGCCGGGGCCAGTGATGCTGCCGAGGCCAAGACGTGTGTAATTGTGAGCGTGAAGGCTGAGGAGTCGCTCGCTGGAGTTCTGGAAGGTAGCTGAGACACGGCCAGGTGCCTCTTTGGGGGTATACGCGGTGGTGTGGTTGGTTTCTGCAGCGTTTCTTGGTCATGTGTTGCGTGTGGATCCGCCGGTGGAGTTGCGTGCCGTCAAGACGCTGAGCCCGCCAGAGATCCACTCGTTCAGACACTTCCTGGCCCACCAAGTCAGTCATAACAAGGCTACCGCATCACCCACTGACTCACTCACTCATCGCCGATCATTGTCTCATTTCCCAGGGTGTCCTGGTGGACACTGCTGTGACTATGTCTGCTCCGGTGGCGTCTGCTGCTGGTTTGCCGTCTGTTGCTGTGCTGGTCTGCGAGGGCGTCCACGCCGCTGCCAGCATACAGGCACACACACAGAGAGAGAGACAGAGAGAGAGAGTGAAAAGACGCTGACCCTCTCCTGTGTGGTGCCTGCCTGGCAGGGTGTGTGTGATCGTCACTATCGTCAGCAGGCGGCCGTCAAGTGCGCTGTGGCACAGACACCCACCATGGTATGTATCTGCACACCGCCATCCAAGCGGGTGGATGCCATCAGCCAATATGTGCTGTTATCCACATGCTCAGGTGGCCCGTGAGCTTCGCGCCTTCTTCCCCGACCTCTATCCGCCCGTGCAGCGCAGCCAGTCCACACGCGCGCGAGGGTAGCCACTCAGCCATACACTGATGCAGTGTTTTTGGGATGGGAGTGCTCACTTTGTGGTGAAGTGGAGTGCAGTCAAGTGTGAGCCTTAGATGAGACAAACCAAACGGACGGACACCTGTTATCTATTTATTCGTTTAGACTGATGGCTCGGTCTCGGCGCTTTCACGCATCAGTCAACACGACACACACACACGCACACAGACACCAAACCCCCGACAGAGATCTCGTACTGTACAATGCACACCACCCACCCCCTCGTCTGCCTGTCCCGCCTGTACAACCAGTCAGTCCCATCTGCTGCCTATAACCAACCCAACCGACACCGCCTGACCGCGAACCTTACAAGCATCCTCTCTCCCTCCCCATCCCACGGCTCCCCGTTGTCATCTCCTCGTGAATGTCTTGAGGTGAAAGCACTTAGCAATAGCCTCCGACAGGTGCTTGCAGTTGTCGTCGAGCAGCCGATACTCGTTCGGGAACGCCTCAGCGACTCTTATCAGCGTGTCGATCTGTATCGGCTGCTCGCAGATCTCGCTGGCCAGCCAGACGGACGTCATCATGACGTTGTGCTTCTCCATCCGCAGCCGGAGCGGCTTGACTGACGTGTAGTGGCGGATGTGTATGTTGCCCGTGTAGGTCTTGTCGACGGTGATGATGCCGCCGTCACTGAGCTCCGCCTGCACCCAGTGGTGGTCGATGTACTCGTAGCCCTTTGTCGACCACCGCACCGGTGTGAGGGCGTTGTAGAGCAGAGTGGGCGATGCCTTGAGGACGCCGCCGAGCCAGTCAGTGTCGTCGATGAGGATGGGTGCGGCCAACACGCGCAGGTTGTAGCACCACTGATCCCTCCTTGCTGCCACCTCTGAAGATATCACCAGAGTGCCTGCATGCATATGCACCCGACACACACAGGCGTCAAAGAGCAGCCGCAGCAGGTTCGTGCCTTAGTCAAAGGAGCCTGCCTTTCTGACCTGATGTGCGCATGAGGCGCAGAGCGCCAATGAGCCCGAGGGGAGCGAGCGGCAGCAACTGGCTCATCACACCTGTCGCCGCTCAACGCTTCTTGACGCTGGCAGTTCTGTGTTTGGTTATATAAACTGAATGCCAAGGGTTTGGTTAGGGCTGAGGGTTTGGGTGTGCGAAAGCGAAGTCAGTTTTGGGCTTGTGAGCGCGGCCTACTCCCGGAGCCTGTTAGTTGTTCTGGCCGTATTGCACCACCATCCTCAGCTCCTCACGTCCACTCTCTACCAGATCCGGCAGCTCTGTGGCAGACAGGGAGGCCCAGTTGCTGGACATCTATTCCCTCGGACGGCGGTTCGCACAGAGCCGCTTGAAAGAAGGCCGCGCCGCTCCCTCAAAAGAACGTAAGTGAACACATGCCGGTGAGAGCTCACCCAGCGAGGAGGCATGGCCATGGATGCTTGGTTTCTTGCAGGTACCGGTTTGGTTGGTGGCCACGTGTCGGCTGGCAGACGGGCGTCTGGAAAAACACACAGGTGACCACCAAGGACGCCAGCCGCTGCCGGAGTGAGTCCAGTCCGCCTGCCATCTCATCTTTTCCACCCCGCCTGTGTGTGGTTCTATGGTTCAGATCGTAGCTTGTGAGGGATGAGCTCTCCGCCGTTTCATTCGCCCTTCCCCGCAGGCGGGAGCGGCCAGCCAGGTGCCGACCAGCCAGGTGCCGACCAGCCAGGTGCCGACCAGCCCCCCACATCATTCGACCCCCGCATGCCATACCCAATCCCATCGGTGGGTGGCCAGCTGCGTCCCCCTGCAAGTGTGGGCTCCTATCACGCCACACGACCAGGCCCGCGCCTTCCCTCGCTCTTGTACCGCCACCACTCCTACGCGCCACGTGCTCCGTCGGCCCCACGTGTGCAGTTGTCGCATCGGCCGTCGTATCAGCCAGGCTTCAATGCCGGTAGGGGCGGCGTGGGTGGCGGCTATCCTGCTCGGCCTCGTCTGTACACCCAGCCACCACCCATGGTTCGTCCCACCGGCAGCTCCACTGACGGTTCGGGCCCCGGCGTGACTCACTCTGGCGGTGCGGCTACTGGCGTGGGTGTGGGTGCGGGCAGCAGCTCGTACCGATCGTTTTTCCGGCCTGACGGCATGCCACCGTGGTTACTCCCCCCTCCCGAGTTGTTCGACCAGCACAGCACCGGCCGCAGTGGGGGTGTCAGCCAGGGGTATGGTGCTTCCATATTGGAAAACCACAACCACACAGCCATGCCGCGTGCACCGACTGTGGTCCGTCCGGCCGCCAGCGTCACGACAGGCCTTCCTCCTGCCATACGCGGTGTCAGTGGCGTGGGTGCGGGTTCGGGAGTGGGCAGCTATCGGCCCCCTCCTGGCCACTCTCCGTCTGCGAGCAGCATTTTCCCATACCCATCCCACAGCAGCTCTGGCATGCAGGCGGCTGGACAGGCGGCGGGACAGCCAATGATCGGCGGCGGGGTGCGTGACCAGGGCAATGGGCCCATAGCCCTGCCGGTGGTGCCGTGGCGATTTGTGCCGTGGAGTGTCATGACTCCTTCGGGTGTGCAACTCACTCGTACGGATGTTTCTCTGATGGTGGCCAACATTCTGGACAGGACGACCGGCATCCCACCCTGGATCAACGTCCGGTGGGACGAACAAAACATACGATTCGTCGCTACCGTGGAGGTCAGCACACACTCGACACCCACACTCACGCAGCAAAAGTGTTCTCACTATCCGTGTCGTGTATGTGTGTATCCACAGGGTGCTCAGTGTTCCGCTGTGAGTGCGCCGCACAGCTATGACGCCGACGGTCTGCGCGAGGCTCTGCACCGGTGCTGGAACGACCTCAGGGTGAGGCACCAGCACGAGGCCGCCGCCGCGGCCGAAGACGCTGCCCCAAACGCCTCTGTCGCAGCCGCTGCGGCCCCAGCGCGGCACCGTGACATGGACGATGCTTTAGACATGGATGTCGACTTTGACGATAGCAGCTCTGGCGTGCAGCCGACGACAGGGGGCGACATACGTGAGCAGGGCTATGGGCGTGCACCGACCTCTGGTCCAAGCGGCGTCGACAACAGCTTGCTCCTTGGTGGCGTGGCCCGGCCGCTGGGTGGCAGCCCTGCCACTGGAGGCATGATGAGTCGTGACCAGGACAACCCCCCTGCTGAGCGCCACCACACGAATTCCCCTTCGTCCCGCCCACCCCCTCCTCATCCCCCACCCCCGGCCTTTGGTTTGTTGGGTCGCTACCGGCCCCCCTCACCTCCCCCGCGGCCCGCTGTACCCCTCTCGGTCAACCCCCAGCACCGCCGGTCCGATCGCCGCAGGGGTAGCGATACGGATGACTACGAGTTTGAGGACGTGGATGAGGGCTACTTCGACGACCTGGACGACGACTTCAGTGACATCCCCGTCGAGGTGCTGGTGGAGATGGAACGAGCACTGCAGCGCGTTGCCGCGGGGGGGCCGGCAGCAGCAGCAGCAGCAGCAGCAGAAGCAGCAGCAGCAGTAGCGGCCGCTGCAAGTGCGAGTGCGAGTGCTAGTGCGAGTGCTGGTGGGGGCAACACGACACCCAACTTCCCTTCTGTGGTATGTTCCAGCCATATGCACACACACACAACAAGTGGGCACGCGGATATGCACTGGCTTGATGTGCGTTGTCTGTCGATGGATGGATGGATTGTGTGTCGTTTGAAGGATCGCGAGATCAAGGAGCTCATCGAGTCGCTGCCCGAGGACGAAATACCCTCCTACCTACCCAGATGCCCAATCACACTGGTACCACAACACACACACACACACACACACGGACAGACAGACAGACAGACAGACGACGAACTCTCCATGCCTCTCTCTCTGTTTGTGTGTCATTCCTCCCCCAGGACGTCCCGATCATTCCCGTAGTGACGATCCATGAGGGCCAGGTAAACAGCAAAGGGCAGGCCCCCTCCACCCCCATCTCATAAGACGCCCCCATGTCTTTACCCCAACAGACGGCCACCACCTACGACTGGACCGCGCTCAAGGAGGTCTTCAACGGCAATGACCCGCCCCTCTCCCCCACCTCCCGCAAACCGCTTCGTGTGGCCCACGACGTGCTCGCCGACCGACAAACTCGCCGCCTCATCGAGCAGTTCGGCCACCAGAAGATGGCCGAGCAAGCCATCGGCAGGAAGGTGGCGGCGGGCAAGAGCGTCAAGGGCGTCAAGGGCGCCAAAGCCGCCAAAGCCAAGAGGGGCAGGGTCAAGAGGCCCCCAAGTCGCAAGAGGGGCAAGGGCCGGCTGCAGATGGACGACGAGGGGGACAGTGAGGGGGATGGTGGGTGGGATCCGAGCGTGGAGCTGCCGTCGGACGAAGACGAGCCACACAAGCGGCAGCGGTCGCGACGGAAGAAGCAGGCCAAGAAAGACATGGCCGACGCTGATGGCGGTGGTCCGATGGATGTGGCTAAGCTCTTTGGTGAAGACGAGGCGTCGCCGAGTCCCAAGCCGGAGCCGCAGACACAGGCAGCAGCAGCAGCAGCTGCTGCTGCGGCCGGACATCCTATCGGTGAGAAAAGCAAAGCGCATCCATCCATTCATCCATCTATCTGCTACGAAAGGACACATTGGCACTCCGTATGCACGCGCATCCCTCCGTGCTCTGCAGGTGTTCCTCTGCTGTATTCGCCCAGTCCCGGCAGACCGTACGCCAGCCTCATTGCCAGCCTCACTGGACAGACATCCCACGGCCCGACAGGTGAGTGAACGCGATGACAACACAGGGGACTTTTAGCTTGGTTTGTGTGTGGTGTGTCCCAATTGACCAGAAATGTCGAGTGGTGACGCCATGGTCGGCGCCGGTGGGTCAGAGGTGGCTGTGACTGGTGGGCGGAAGTCGGCGCGCGCGGGCAGGAAGCGGCGGCGCCGATCTGTCAGTCCGTGTCTTGAGGAGGGAGATGAGGAGGCGGAGGAGGTGGCGGAGGGGGAAGAAGACGTAGCTCACAGATGCAGCAAAATGGCCGGTGAGTGAGAGCTGGCCAAGGGCGTCAAGGGTTACGTCCCTACCTACCTGGGTGTGGGGGAGGGTGGGTGTTTCAGTTACCAAGATGACGACAGGGGCGAGCCCACCAGGCCGCGCGAGAGGGATGAAGGCGACCAGGAGGGGAAGGCCCGAGGGCGGCAGAGACGGCGGGTTAGATAGTGTAGAGAATGATCTTGGTGTCGGCCTTCCTCCCCACGCACTGCAGGGCGAGCACCCTGACACAGGTGTGTATCTACACCCACACACACACACACAACATAACACAGGCAGGAGGCAAAGCAGGCGAACCAACAGACGCAACCCAATGTGTCCGTCCCTGTCTGTGTCCGTCAGGCTACGGCACGTTAGCCATGCAGCCCGGCGTGTCACCCGACCCGACGCTACTCACAATGGTACATGGTCATGGCAAAGATGGGAGGGAGATGCATGCTCGCCGTGTGCGCGCTCAGCTGGCGAGCCCCGAGTCGGCCGATATTGTCGCCAAGCTGACGGAAATCGCCAATCCACACAAGCGGACACCGTTCACCGCCACACGGGTGGGTAACCACACACGGACACCAGCATCTGGTGGTCTTGGCGGTATGTGTGTGTGTGTGTGGTTGTGTTGTGTGTGTGTGCAGATTCGTAGGCTGTCCGACTTCTTAGCTTCGTTGCCTGGGGCTCTGCGCGCGGGGATAGTGAATTGGGTGCACCAGTGGAATGGCATACCAAGCGATTCCCTGCTCCTGACTGTTGGACTCACCGGCAGCGAAATGCGCAAGCCACTGGTGCAGCTGCTCCAGGTAACCATCACACCACACGCAGACACAACACACAGACACGTGCATCTCTCTCTCTCTCTCTGTGTGTGTGTGTGTAGGCTGTCGAGGATTGGGGCAAGGAGGCGGCGTCTGCAGACACCAAGGCGGCTGATGACGGGCCGACATGACTCTCAAGACATACACACAGACATCTACACGAGACGGGGGCAGGGGAGAGAGGGGTCGCATCCATCGCATTCGTTTGTAGTCTGAGGGCGGGAGCTGCAGCTTGTTCCCAAAAGGTGTTTTTCGAGGGTAGACGGTCGATTCTGCATGGCTTCATGGAGTCAAAGGAGATGGCCGGCTGAGTGGATGTTTGTGTGTGATTCGTTCGGGTGACCGTCTTGACTGAAGATAAGAGTGTGGTTGGGTGTCTTGTTTGATCCTTTCCTGTCTTCGTGTTGCCTGTCATAATCTCCCCTGCACAGTGTTCACTGTCGCTGTGTAGGGCAGATGGCGACGGGCGGGCCGAAGACAACAAGGCGCGAACAAGACCCGGCACACTCAGTGACTGATACAAGTGGATGGATGGATGGATGCGTTTGTCTTTCGATCTGTCTGGCTGTCTGTGTGAGAGAATTTGTGCATTGTGTGGCTGTGATGACCTTAGGCCTTCTTTCTCTCTCTCTCCGCGTGCATCCGACGACACCCATGCCTGTGTGTATCCCTTGTGTGTGTGAGTTTAATGCCTTTATCGACACACACACCCGTCCAGACGTCAGTCACACCAGTTAGCTCTTTCAGTGACGCATGCCAGCGAGTCTCGCGCCACACACACCGTGCAGTGCACTTGTTGTTGGTGATGCATGTGAGCTTCATGTCTGTCTGGTCTCTCTCATCACCCACCCCTGCTACGACCAGACCGACGCAAACACACACACACACATGCAGCCAAGCACACGCACACCTATGAAGCCTATTCACTTGCGGCGTTAGCACAGTCACCGCCCAACGAAAGAACAGAAAGGAAATGACCGATGGCGATGAAATGACTGACCATTCATCCATTCCGTGGGATGGCAATGATGCACACGAGTCTTGCCGCAATGACTGACGCAGCTCTCCATGCATCAGCTGCTATACATCGGGGTCCGAATCACGCGAACCGGACCTGAGAGTCAGTCATTCCACACACACACACACACAGACACTCAGACACATACCTGGGAAGCCTCTTCAGCGGCATTATTGTAGCACACTCACCTCCCCGCGGTCGCAGCACCAGCACCCTCACGACAAACGGGTTTGCTTCCGACTTGCCCCTGCACACACCATTGACACACACCCATACACACCGTCGCTCCAGCCGTCGCTGTGTGAGAGGTCGACCTCCTGCGCGCACTTACGTGTCGCCGAACACATTCTCGATGTCCCCCTCGTCGTCAGCGGCCTCAAAGCCAACGATCTCGATGTCAGATGGCACTCCGGTGCCCGACAGAAACAGCTTGAGGTGGCGGACGCACTGGAAGGGGCGGTAGAACTTGTACTTGGACACGCTGGTCTTCATGACGAATGGCGAGTCATCGTACCTGATGTATCGCTGATCTTCCGGCTTCAGCGGGACAGGGTGCAAGGGCGGTCCCCACACCTCTATCCATTTTGCTTCTTCCACAGAAGTTTTGTACATGTGTCTTTCCTCCTCTGTCGACATCCTCCCTGTGTCGTCGTTGCTGCGGTCAGGCAGAGGAGAAGGGACGGAGAGGGAAGGTCAGCAGCTGGTTGTTTTGTCGCTACCGTCAAACTGAACTTTGCGACACAGATGCTCTTGGCTGCAGAGAGGTGCCACATCACCGCTTTCAGCTACGAACGTCCTTTGTCCCCACACACCGCATCCGTATCCACAGCATGTACGTCAGCAGCAGCGCATCAACCAAACCTGGTCTCTTCGAGACGCGCATGCGGCACCAACGAACAAATGGCGCCCAAAAAACACACACTCCCTCCCTCTCTCATTTGAATAAACAACACACGCGCACAGACGGACCGACGGACACCACACTAGTGCTCACACGGCCCCTCCCCCATTCACGTGTGGCCTTCGATGAGGCTGTCGAGGACCTCCTTGGCCAGCTGCAGCTTCACTGGATCAACCGTACGCAGAACCAGTGCATCATCTGCACACACACACACACAAGGACACAAAGTCAGCACATGACATCCCTGCTTGAAGGGCCACCATCACCCCTCGTGTGGGCATCGCACCCGCCGCACCTGATTCCTTCTCGAACCCCACGGATCTCAGGACGTCCTCAAACCCAGGCAGAGAGAAGACCTTCTCACTCAACACACGGTTGCTCCGCCGCAGCCTCCTGTACTTGTCGTCGTAGGGGCTCTGCTGCACGTTGCTGATGAGCTTTCGCAGCAACACCCACCCCTCCCGCATGACGCCCTCCAGACCCCCACTCCGCCCCTGTAGCACCAGCCGCTGCCGCAGGGTCTCCACATACTTCTGCGTGGCGTCGGCGATTCTTTGGAGCTCGTCGCTCTCGACAGGCATGGCGATTGGGCTGGTGTCGCCCTCATGCATGTCCTGGTCGGCCTCCTGCGGAGCGGCCGGGGACTCGACTGTCCCCTCCTGCTGAGTTTCGATCACGGTGTCGCCGCCCTTGTCTGCTCTGTCTTCGTGGCTGTGAGCCTGGTGGTCGTCACAGCAGATCAGAGGCTGGTGTTCGTCGGCCATCTCGGGTGTGGTGGGTGGGATGGGGGAGGTCGGCTGGGGCTGGTGTCTTCTCTCGGCGGCTTGTGCGGCGACCTCACGAAGGCTGAGGGGATCTGTGGGGGCGGGGTGAGCGCCTCCCAGTGTTGCCGTGAAGGACCAGTTGTCTTGAGGCTCGGCAGGGCCGCTCTCAGCCATGTTGAGAGTCCCCATTTCGCTCATGCCTACAGCACATTCACACCAACGAACGAGTGCATCGCACTGTCGGTCCGGGTCGTGTGGGTCCGTCCGTACCTGTGGTCCTTCCCGCGCTCTTGAACTGGTTGGTGACCTGCATGTAGTGCGCCCGCAGCTCGCTCATCAAGTTGTAAAAGTCTGAACCGACAACACATCACACAATGGTGCGTGTGAGGCTCTGGTCTGGTCTGTTATGAGTTGTACCTCTGTTGTGTGGACCGATGCGGTTGTGTGTGAGCTCGTGCAGTAGAGTGTTCAGGATCCTGCACACACCAAGACGATGAGGCCCGTCATGGCTTCATCACGACATGGACGTGCGGTGCAGTGGGTGTGTGGGTGTCGCTTACACTTCGTATTTCCTGAACCCCTTGAGGTCGTCAGTGCGCAGACGGAGATGAATCTTCTGACCTCTGACGTAAGCAGGCACACCCACAGCACAGCCACACACACAGACAAGGATGAGATGAGGTGCAACCAGCCCTCAGCTCAGCTCAGCTCAGCTGCCCGTCCGTCCCTCCCTGATACCTGCCCTCGTTGAGCCCGAGTATACACACGGGATCTTCCCCCACCTTGCCCTCAGGCGGCATCTCACACAGCACCCCCACCGTCCACTGGTACTCTCGCATGATGCTCACTATCCCGGGGTCAGTCGCCAGCCGCTGCAGCAGCCTCAAAGCCTCTGACTGGGGCGGGTGGCTGAGCTGTGGCAGCACCTCCAGCCTCTCGAAGCGGTAGGTGCTGTCCTGCTGGGGGGCTTTGGTGAGGGAGGCCACCGACACCTCGTACTTCCGCCGAGGGCCCTTGTCGAACCCTCTGGGGAAGAGCGCACACACAGACAGGCAGGCAGATCAATGCTGGGGTGTAGCTAAGGGTCTGTCGCGGTCAGCCAGTGTGCGCGCACCTGCGCAGTGGGTCGCTCTTGGAGTTCTGCACCAGGATGATCTCCTCCTCGCGGCTGGCTACCACAAGCACCTTGCTCCTCTCCTGACAACACACACACACACACACACAAACAGATCACCGATGCTGTCTTCGTGCCTCCATCGTCCTCCTGTGTGTGCCTACGTCGATTCCCGCGTCCTTGATGGTGTCTTCAGCCTTCAGCTGTTTCCCCTTGACGAACAGGCGGATGTGCTGCTGCTTGAAGGCAAACATGGCAGCGATGAAGTCGAACAGCTGGTCGCACGCCTCATTCGGGTCAACGGGCACACAATAGCCCTCCTTCTTGTACGTCACCACCACGTCCACCAACTCCGGACCGCTCCGGTCGACGGACGCTTCCTCCTCTGTCATCATTACACTCACTTGGCGATGCGCGCGGGACGATGCAATCCCGCCTCAATCTTCCTCCGCCTGGCTGTTTTTTGCGAGCTTTGCTGCTTGAAATTGTGTTACGTACTTTAATTTCGTACAGCTCCGGCGTTTGCTGACCACCGACAGCTTTCGCGCAGCCACGAGGGAGAGAGGGGCCCATCATTCCTTCGACCAGCCATTTCCGCCCTCTGCTGCCACACGGCGCTCTCCGTCCTGCCACGTCCTCGGCTCTCCCCTTCTCTGACACTATGAGGACGTCACATCAGATGGCGCTTGTTCGGTGACACAGGGGCCCGAGCAGGCACCCGCGGCCCTTCCCTTACGTCACCGAGGGGAGAGAAGCGCCTTCTGTCCCTCTTTGTCCTTCTGTAACGCTGCCCGGGCGGCCCTTGTCTGGCTTTTTTCGGTGTTTCGGTGCGGTTTTCCTGCCTGCTGACGCCTGCATCGCTCAGGTGGGTCACTGCTGGGGCGAAAAGCCGCTAGAAAAGCACTTTTCTGATGTGTGGCGTTGTTTGTTCTCTCCTCGCTTCTTCCACTCAGGGATGTGTGTGGGGTGCCCGTCTGCCAGTGGTCTGTAGATGGTCGGCCTGTGCATCGTGCTGACCTGCTTCGCCCTGACGTTTCTGCTGCTGTGGTGTCGATACTGCCTCTTCCCCAACAACACCTACCTCAAACCAGTGCCTCTCGTCACCCCGCCCACACCCAACACGCCCGCACTCTCCATCTCGCTCGGCAACAGCCTCCAGCCAGCTGCAGCGTCCGACCTCCGCCGATCTGTGTCGCCGTCCGGCTTGTTTTGGTCCGCTTCGACAGCTGCCGAGGAGGGAGCCGTGTGATGCTGCCGGGCATCTAGGATTGGCTCTCTGTGCACACGAGGTGGAGTAAGAGAGAGAGAGAGAGAGAGAGCCATGAAGCCATCCGGAACAGCAGCAAGGACAGACAAGCAAACGAGCAACAGCAATAGCAATGAGGGTGTGAAGAGGGACGACAGGCCTCATGTGGAGGGCGACAAGGCGAGGGAGAGGGGACCACACACCAGCCACAGCAACCACACCCAGCAGCAGCAGCAGCCGCCGCCGGCTAAGGGCCACCCACCCCCTGTTGCTGCTACAGTCCCCGAGAGCATCTCTTCCGTCCCTCTGCCGCCGTCCATCCCGCCCCCGCCCCCTCCTTGCCCCCCCTACGCCTATCTGACGCACCACCAAATCAACCTTCATCCTCACCCACACCCTCACCCTCCCCCACCGATGCCGGGATCCATGGACGCACCCTTCACTCATATGGTCAACGGCGCAGGGCTGCCATTCCCCATGAGCATGCCTTTCCCCTTCCCCCTCCCGCCGCCGCCAACACCCGACATGATGATGGAGAGAAGGAAAGACGACAGAGAGAGGAAGAGGGGGCCAGCCGGTCTGGGGCTGAGGGTCGACACCGCGGCCGCGAGGAAGGCGTCGCTCGCGTCAGTGGTGCCGGAGAGGCTGTCGTCGCCTCTGTCGAGCAGCCCCAGCCCTCCCTTTCGCAACACCTTTGTGGACATCCCCATCGACTACGACAGCGACGGCGACGATTCGTCCCTCAGGGAGCCCATGACCGCCCCACCCCCGATCAGCACCATGGCCTCCACCAGCTGGTCGACCTCGTCCTCATCTCAGTCGTCGCTGCGGCTGTCCTTCGCCCCCCGCCCGCCGACCCAGATCCCCTCGCCGTTCCGGCACATCAGCCGGCAGACGACGCGCACCCCCGCCGCCAAGCGGAGTGCGTCGCTGCCAGAGGTCGATGGGTCGACGTGTGACGCGGTGCAGAGGCAGTTTGTGGCGGCGTATTTCAAGCCCCCGCACGTCAGCGTGGGCAACGTCAAGGGCAGCAGATCGCGGCTGCCATCCCTCGACGCCAAGGAGGGGGTCAGTGTCCGTGAGGGCGACACGAGGATGGCCATGGGTGTGGCGAGGCACACGTCGATGCCCAACCTGCCCATGCCGATGGAGGGCATGTCCCCGATGCCCCCGCAGTGGGCGCCCTTCGGTCCGCCTGTTGGTGCGATGCCGATGCCGCCCTTCCCTCTGCCGTTCTCAGCCATGGGTATGATGGGCGCCGGCCGGCCGATGGGCCCCCAGGACGGCGGGGCGTTCGGCCCTTTGCCGTTTCCCTTTGGGTTTGGGATGCCCCTGCCCTTCCCTTTCAATGTCAATATCCCCATACCGATGAGCATGCCGCCGTCACCCATGCCACCCATGCCCGTGGACACACAACAGCACACGGAGAGGAAGAGTGACAAGAGGGACGGTGGTGGTGGTGGTGGTGGTGGGGTGGTCCCTCCGCCGCCGATGGTATCCCCATCTCTGTCAGCCCCCCTGCCGCCCATCCCGCCGCCGCCCTCACACGTGCCCAAGCAGCCACAGCCGCGGCACAAGGAGGAGAGGGAGGTGGTCAGCCCGCCACCGCTCCCACTCGCCGCCCGCAAGAGTGTGGCGGCCGAGGAGGGGCACATCAAGCAGTCGCCATCATCCAACAAGCGTGAGGATGCGGCCATGGGGAGGGGGAAGGAGAGGGACGCCGACACAAGACACGGACACGACAGCGAGGGAGGGAGCAGCAAGATGACCACATTGCGGGCGCACCACCAGCACCAACATCACCACACCATCCCCTCCAAGACCCTCCGTCTCTCATCCGGCCGCCTGGATGAGCCCCCCAACGGCGGCATGGCCCACCCCATCACGCCCACAGGCGCACCCTTCACCCCGTCCACCGCCTCGCCATCGAGCGACGTCACCTACCGCCTCTCCTCTTCAGGCACCACACCCACCGGCACCGAGGGCGGCGAGACCACCGCCCGCTCATCGGCTGGGGGCTGGGAGGGGGGGCGTAGTCCGTCGGACAACAGCAATGGCAATGGCAATGCGTTTTGGTATCCGCCGTCGAGGGGCAAGAGTTTGACCACAGTTGGGGAGCATGAAGTGATGCGCGATGGGGGCGAGGGTGAGGAAGGCAGCGGGGTGGCGGGGGGTGACGGGCAGCTGGGTGCTTACGCCGATATGGACAGGGAACTGCTGCAGCAGCAGCAGGACAATGACGACGAGAGAAACAGCGTCAGGATACTCACTGGTACTACTGATGGATGGATGGATGGATCCCCGCACACACACACACAGACAAATCGATGCGTTATCGTTTGTGTCTTTATCTGGCTGGGCTGCAGATGAGTTGTTGACCCAGATCCCCCGTGACGAGGATGGGAATCTGTTGTCCGTGGGATCCATCGCCCACGCCAAGGGCAACTGCAAGCCGTGTGTGTTCGCGCACAAGAAGGGCTGCCGCAACGGCATCAGGTGCCTCTTCTGCCACTACCCCCACGCCCCCAAGAAGCGCAGCACCACCAAACACACCCATCCCCACGCACACCACTCCATCAACTCAGCAGCCAGAAGCGGACTGGCAGCCCTCAAGGCCGGCGGACTGGGCGTGGGCGTGGGTGTCGACACCGAGACGCCCCCCTCCAAGCCTTCCACCCCATACCCGCGCCCCTTCGCGCTATCGCGGCCTTGCCCCCTCACCCCATCATCTTGCCGAGTGGATCGGTCGCTGTCGTCGCCACTGCCGGACCCCTCGACCATCAAGCAAATGAAGACAGCCCTAGATGGTGGGCCACACACGCCCTCGTCCGCGCCCCCATTCACTGGCGGCCCGTCCCTGCCGATCATCACGACACACGCCCACCACCTGCACCACGGCCATGGGCACGGACACGGCCATGGCCACGGTGATGGTGGCAAGGCGGCGTTCTTGCAGGGGTTCCCGGTGGGTGGGGGTGGTGGGAGCGGGAAGGGCAAGGAGGGCCAGTATGGCATGATTTCGCCTCTGTACGAGACACCCCACCACTCGTCGTATCGATACGCCCACATGCCGCAGCCGTACCATGTGACGGTGAGCAAGCGACAGAGCGAGAAGAGGACTGTGATGCACTCTGTGTGTTTGTGTTTGTGTGTGTGTGTTTGTGTTTGTGTTTGTGTGTGTGTGCAGAAGGAAGCGCAGCGTCCTCCGTCACCTGAACGGTCAGGCTATCCACCGAAACGCATCGCTTCACAGGTGGGTGAACACACACACACACCCGACACAGGTGGTCTCGATGAATGATACCAGCGTGTTTCTGGCTTTCGTGTGCCTCGATCCGATCTGCTGCAGCCTTTCTAGCCACCTGACTGCCTCCCTATGTGTGTGAGGCGGCAACGATGGGCGGGGATGGGGGAGAGGGGCGGGGCAATGATGCTATAGATCATCGTATTCATGTCTGCGCGGCTTGCGCGGCTGTCTCTGTCTGTCTCTTCAATCACACATACAGATACACACGCGTTCGTACGCACACACACTGTCTGTCTGTCTGTCTGACCGAGAGAGACTGCGTGGCTGCCCCTGCACACGTGCTGCTTTCATTGTTGTCATGGTGACGGCACACACACACGCGCGGCGACCGATGGATGGTTTACTTTCTGGCACACGTGAGCACGGCTGCCTGGGCATCTCTCTGTGTGTGTTGCTTATGTGTTAATTTATCAACGAGGACGTGAGTGATGTGACTGATGACTGGGTGGGTGGCTGGGTGTGGGTGGGTCGTGGGTGGACGGGGTACGGGGTACAGTACCAGTAATTCGCGATCGGCACACATCCATCTCATACATCAATGTCTGCTTGCGTCACGGGGGCCAGCTGGGTGAGGGAGAGGGAGGGATGTGGAATGCACCATCACACACCATACGGTTGGTCTCAAGAGAGCATCACACTGCAGCATTGACACGACGTGTACCACGACGATCATGCGGTTGTGTATGTGTACATGTGTACATGTACATGTGTATACGTATACGCATGCACGCATACGTATGTGTATACGTATGTGTACGTATTATGTATACGTTTATGTACATGTGTGTGAATAGTGCAGCAGCCGATCGGATCGAGCGATCCAACATCACATTGTGCAAGTACTAATTGACGGACAGATCAGATGGACGGGTCGATGGATGGATCGATGGGTCGATGGAAGAAGGAGTGCGTCTTTACGTCTGTAGGTAGGCAGGTAGGCAGGTCGGTACATGTGTAGGTCTTCAAGCGTGTACGTGTGTATGTCTATTGCGTATGTGTGTATGTGTGTATGTGTCTGTGCGTCATTCAGTGAGCATGCCGTTCAATGAGAGCTTCACGGAAATGTTTCAACGGAGGGATGGAGGGACCATGGCTCACGCATTCATTGCTGTCTGTCTGTCTGGATGGATGGATGATGGATGGAGGGTTGTCGGTTGGTCCTAATTCAGGGTGGAGGTACGTGACGATGGTGACGATGGTGAGAGGGAAGGGCCAAGAGGAGGGGTTTTATGTAACAATCCACATACAGAGATACATACATATACACACATATATACACAAACTGACTGGCTGGCTGGGTGGCTGGGTGGCTGGTGTGGCTGGCTGGCTCGCTCGCTCACGCACGCACGCGCGCTGCCGTTGTCTTTAATTCACACACACACACACACCGAGGGAGGGTCAGACGCCGTTGCTTCACACTCTCACACGGACCTTCATACACACACATGACGTCTGCCTGGTTGTCTTGACACATGTCACGGCACACGAGGGGAGGGGAGAGTGGAGAGGGAGGGAGGGCTGAGACGCGCACAACAGTTTTGGAGGACCTGTTTCCGCGTGAGACCACAAACGGCCGAGTGTACGTGGTGCGGCTGTGGGTGGAATGAACCAGATGCTGGAGGAGCTAATTCGACTGATGGATGGATGGATGACAGGGGGCACAGAGGGAGTGATGGAGAAGGCAATACGAGGGAGGGCAGGGAAGGAGTGGCCGTCTGTCTGTCGGTCGGTCGGTCGGTCGGTCTGCCTACATACTCTGCTATTTGTAAATGGCCCATCAAGACTGACTGACTGGCTGTTCGTCCGTTTCCGTTTTGTCTCCCTTTTTTCTGCCGCTGCCTGCCCGGTTGCCTTTCCACTCTACCTGTCTGTCTGTCTGTCCTTATGTGCAGCCGGCCAGCCACTCGACCTTCTCTCCTTCCCTGCTTACTTGAGTGCGTGTGTTGGCCTTTCGAAAGCGATTTTTCTTTATGTCTCCCTCCCTCCCTCCCTCCCTCCCTCCTCCCCTCCACCTCTGTCTCTTTCTTTCTGTCGGTGTGTGTGTGCCTACAAGAATGTCTATGTGTGATGTGTGCGAGTCCCTTGGGCCCCCAATGAATGCGTGTGCCTTGACGGCTGGCTGGTGTGCGTGTGTCTGTGTCTGTGTGCGTCCCTACAGACCTGTTTGCACCTCGGTTTGTCCGTTTGTGCGTCTGTGCGTCTGTGTAGTGGTGAGTAAGTCAGCAGCAGGATGTGACATATGTTCTCTGATAGCTAATGGCCGTGACGTGACGTGACGTGACTGAAGGATCAATGTGTGAGGGCGGCCCTCGTGCTTCGTCACAGAGTGGAGGCACGGGGGCGTTTTTGGTGGCCAGCGGACTGACAGACAGATACAAGGGTCTGTGTACATGCGGCTTCCCACCCCCCGTCTGTTGCTGCTGCCGGTGGTGGTGCTGTCTCCCTTCCCCTCTTTGTGCGGGCGGGTGGCTCTGCAACCATACATGACTGACAGGGGGATGTACGTGTCAATGAGAGAGAGGGTGACTTGCGTGCGATCGATGGAGGGATACCCAGACAGACAGACAGCTTCAAGACGGCTGTATGCCTTTTGTGTGTGGGTGCACACTCGTGTGGGTGAATGGAATGGGTGGGCTTATCCGGGCTGGCTGTGCCGCTGTGTGTGCGTGAGGGCGATGAATGAATGGGTCGATGAGGGCCACTACTTGCTGCTATGCGTGAGTGAGAATTCGGTGGAATAAACTGACAGGACGAGTGGAATGAATGAATGCATCGAAGGAATGACCAGCCAACACACATCAGAAGACAACCCGGTCATGAAGCCCATTGAAAGTATAAGCAAGCCTGTGTGGTGTGTGGATGGTCTCGCGACAAGCACGTCAGAAGGGTCCACTCGCACTCACTCATGGGTGTATGTAGGTAGCTCTGCCACATATGCTGAGCTCTCACACACACAGGCTCCATCCATCCATCCATCCATCCATCCATCTCTCCCTCCATCAAACTAGACTGTACACATCATCGCGGACCCAAAATCGGCTGCTGCCTCGGTCGGTCATCGCCACTCAGAATTGCACGCCCGGCGCGACCGCCCTCAGGAAAGTGCGTGCGGTCTTGACCTCGAGCATTGGGTCTTCGTCAGGCCCGCCCTCGCCCGATCCCATCTTCTTGACCATGTCGTTGTAGTTGGACCTGGCCTTGGCCTCGTCCCACCCCTGGATGTCACTGACGTCCTCCACAAAGGCCATCACATAACCAGGACCAACAACCGCACCACCGTTGGACACAACTGCAGACAGCCGACACACAAATGGGTGCGGCTTGCGGGTGCGCATGTGGGTGTGAGTGTGGGTGTGGTCCACTGACCGGCTGAGTAGAGGTCTCCTGCGTTGTTGTATAGCTTGGCGCCGCCCAGTGCGGTGCCGAGAGGCTTCCCCTCCACACGCAGCACACCGATGTCATCCAGTGTCAGCAGAACGGGCTCGTGGCCAGGCAGCACCTGCACCAAGACGCAGAGGGATGCCACCAGGCCGTCATGCCCACAGTCCGTGGCACTCATTCATTCGCTGTCTGCCTGCCTGACCTCGATATCTCCGACTTCCTTGAGTGGCAGGACCACTCGCGAGGCCTCAAAGCGATAGGTGCCCAGCTCACGCACCACCAGCCAGAACTGCAGCGGCTCAGATCTGGACGACGCGCTCATCCGCAGCGGAGATATAGACCTCCTGCACCACACACACACACAGACAGGCAGCCAATCAGTCAAATCGGCAGATCTGACCCAATCTTCGCCAGATGCAGGTGCGGCTGGCTCTCTTGCAGACGTGCAGATGGTCTCTCTTACCTCATGTATCTGCCTGCTGCAGATCCTGGGGGGGTCTGGAGGAAGGCCTGTGATGGTGCAAAGGCATGGGCGAGGCCAAGAGGTGCCGCCGCGAGGCAGATGACCAGCCACACCAGCTTCATTGTCAAACCACAATGCCTACTGCCTCTTCAAATCAAACCCAATCCGCACACCACTGCGAGCTGTCGGGTCCCTACCCTCCGTAAAACCCCTCGCACAAACGCGCGCTCGAATTCCTGTGTGTTGTTTGTTGTCGCGAATTCGCTATCGCTATCGCTGTCGCTGTCTATCTGTGAAGTGCCTCAGCCCGTACCGACACTTGAGACCTTTGAGATACCTCTGCCGTCATGCAAATCTTCGTGAAGACCCTCACAGGTGAATACGGCACATACAGGGGAGGAGGGAGGCAGGGAGGGCAGCCAGGGGTCGTAAGGGGAGCCAGCAGAGGCGGGAGAGCCGGGAGAGGGGCATTTGCGGTCAGCCTGTCGTGTCGCAGTGGCGTGTCATGTCTCATGCCTGTGAGGCCTCCTGATGACGTGTCTCTGCTCGTGCGTTGTGCAGGCAAGACGATTACGTTGGATGTGGAGCCCTCTGACACCATCGAGAATGTGAAGGCCAAGATTCAGGACAAGGAGGGCATCCCCCCCGACCAGCAGCGTTTGATCTTCGCCGGTATGCCCCGCTGCACCCACACCCACACCGCACACACAACACCTCAGCAGCGGCGCCTCACGTGTGTGTGTCGTGTGTGTGTGTGTGTGTGTGGTGTGCAGGCAAGCAGCTGGAGGACGGCCGCACTTTGTCGGACTACAATATCCAGAAGGAGTCGACCCTCCATCTGGTGCTGCGTTTGAGGGGCGGTATGCAGATCTTCGTCAAGACGCTTACTGGTCAGCCACGCCACGCACCAGCCGCACTCACCCCCACACGGCTCATGTGCGTCGGTGTGGTGTGTGCAGGCAAGACCATCACGCTGGACGTGGAGCCCTCGGACACCATCGAGAACGTACGCCTCACGAGTCAACCAAGACACCACACACACGTCACCCCACTCACCGGTGTGTTGTGGTCTGTGTGCGGCGTGTGTGCAGGTGAAGGCCAAGATTCAGGACAAGGAGGGCATTCCCCCCGACCAGCAGCGTTTGATCTTCGCCGGCAAGCAGCTCGAGGACGGCCGCACCCTCTCGGACTACAACATCCAGAAGGTCAGCCACATACACACCCAGAGACACACATCATGAGATGGCCTCTCGACCCACACGTGTCTCTGTGGTTGTTGCCGCTTGGCGTGCAGGAGTCGACTCTCCATCTGGTGCTGCGTTTGAGGGGCGGTATGCAGATCTTTGTCAAGACGCTCACTGGTCAGCTGCGCCGCGCTCACCCACACACGTTGCAGAGGGCCACAGACATGTGTGTGGTGTCGGTGCGTTGGTGCGTTGTGCAGGCAAGACGATTACGTTGGATGTGGAGCCCTCTGACACCATCGAGAACGTGAAGGCCAAGATCCAGGACAAGGAGGGCATCCCCCCCGACCAGCAGCGTTTGATCTTCGCCGGTATGCCCCGCTGCACCCACACCCACACCGCACACACAACACCTCAGCAGCAGCGCCTCACGTGTGTGTGTGTCTGTGTCGTGTGTGTGGTGTGCAGGCAAGCAGCTGGAGGACGGCCGCACTTTGTCGGACTACAACATCCAGAAGGAGTCGACCCTCCATCTGGTGCTGCGTTTGAGGGGCGGTATGCAGATCTTCGTCAAGACGCTTACTGGTCAGCCACGCCACGCACCAGCCGCACTCACCCCACACGGCTCATGTGCGTCGGTGTGGTGTGTGCAGGCAAGACCATCACGCTGGACGTGGAGCCCTCGGACACCATCGAGAACGTGAAGGCCAAGATTCAGGACAAGGAGGGCATTCCCCCCGACCAGCAGCGTTTGATCTTCGCCGGCAAGCAGCTCGAGGACGGCCGCACCCTCTCGGACTACAACATCCAGAAGGTCAGCCACACACACACCCAGAGTCTCTACACACATCATGAGATGGCCTCTTGACCACACGTGTGTCTGTGGTTCTTGTCGCTTGGCGTGCAGGAGTCGACCCTCCACCTGGTGCTGCGTTTGAGGGGCGGTATGCAGATCTTCGTCAAGACGCTCACTGGTCAGCCGCGCCGCGCTCACCCACACGCTGCAGAGGGCCACAGACATGTGTGTGGTGTCGGTGCGTTGGTGCGTTGTGCAGGCAAGACGATTACGTTGGATGTGGAGCCCTCTGACACCATCGAGAACGTGAAGGCCAAGATCCAGGACAAGGAGGGCATCCCCCCCGACCAGCAGCGTTTGATCTTCGCCGGTATGCCCCGCTGCACCCACACCCACACCGCACACACAACACCTCAGCAGCAGCGCCTCACGTGTGTGTGTGTGTCTGTGTCGTGTGTGTGGTGTGCAGGCAAGCAGCTGGAGGACGGCCGCACTTTGTCGGACTACAACATCCAGAAGGAGTCGACCCTCCACCTGGTGCTGCGTCTGAGGGGCGGCCAGTAGATAGGCCCACATCGCACCACCTCACACCCAAAACACACCACACTTAGATTGCATGACTGACTAGCGAGCGGTGTTGGAGGCTGACTGAGAGTGCTTCATCGACGGACGGCGGCGCATGGCATCCACACATACCAAACACACAGATAAGTTTCGTTCGACCGAGAGCAGACGGGCGCGGTTCGTGGCGTGTGCGCGTGAGGTGGCGTGCGGGAAGTTTTGGCGTGGCTCGTGTGCGCGTGTGGGCGGCCAATCGGATGCCCACCGCGCGTATGGTCTACCTGCCTGGCTTCCCGTGACCATTCAGTGCTTGCCTGTCTGTCTTGTTTGGTCATGAGTGAGTGCCGTGTGCGTCGTGGGTGCGTGGGTGTGATCTTTTGTGCAGTCAGTCTGTTTGTCGCCTTTTTCTCCCTGATGAGCCCCAGGCTTGTTCATACACACGTCGACGGGCCGTGAGCGCGTGTTTCCCACTGTGTCTTGTCTTTCTGACTGGCTGTTTGTTATGACTGGAGAGACTCGAGTGTCGGTCGCGCGCGGTTTGTTTGATGGCAGATTGTGTGAGTGTGTGGACCGATGCACTGCATGCGGAGATCGAACCCATGAAAGCATCTTGCGCGGGAGACGCCTTTCGGAACGAAGCAAGCTAGAGGGTTTGGGTTGCGCGAGCGTTTCGGCGATCCCGCCAGCGATTCAACAGGGCTAGTCCGTATCGTGACTGGCCCATTGTGACGCTTCGGACGACCCCCCCACTTCATCCGATTCATCGTTCCGCGTTCGTCTGACCAAAAGATGGCCTCCCCTCTTGCCGTTGGGAAGCTGACCATCCGCGTCCGTAACAAAGCCAACAGCACAGTGCATGTCCGCGTCTGCGACGCAAGGGAGCGTGACGTGGTGGAGCAGGACGTAGAGAGAGTGGTGGAGAAGGAGGAGAAGATGATGCTGGGGGGCGGTGTCAAAGCCGAGTTTGGCGGCGTGGAGATCGGTGTTGAGGCCAAAAGGGGGAAAGACACACGTACGCCGGCATACACTGATGCAATGGACCCTTCAAGTTGGCAGGAAAACCCTTGTCGTCCTCCGACTGTCTTCAGGTGAAAAGACCGAGGAGAAGGCATTTGTTCGCATTCAGTACGGCAAGCTGAAGGAGTCACGCGACTGGTGAGGGGCGTGAGGAAGTACGTTGTCGTCAGCTATGTACGCTGGTGTCATCTTACCCCGCAGGACGACAATCGATCCCGGCAGAGAGGCTTTTTTGTCGAGTTTCGAGTCGCCATACTTCTCTGTTTTCATTGAGGACTCGCCATACCAGATGCTCAACCAGCTCATACACCCAGAAGACCACCCTAATGGCATCGTGATTACAAGGGTGAGGTGAAACCAATGGACTTCCAAGACACTTGATTCAGGTGTAATGCTAACTGTCCCTGTTCCAGGCCAACCCTCCATATGTGTCTTTCCTGACCGATATTATCGAGGCGGCAAACATCGAAGCCAAAGAGGCTCCCTTTCGCTTGAACAACGTGGCCACAAAGCTTGTCCTGACATCGGCAAAGAGCATGGCCCTCGGCGCATCAGTCGGAGTCGAAAAGAAGAGAAGCCGCGAGACACATGAAGAGGCCGACCCCTCGCAACTGTGGATTCGGAAAATTGATCCGCTCTGCCGTGCGGGTACATTCCGTTTGGTGCCGGTGGCGTTTGACACAAAGACGCTGGCCGTGAGCCCGCTGATGGATAACAAGCTGGTCGTTGCTCCCCTAACGGTCGAGACAGACCCTCAAGACAATCAGAAAGAAGCAAAGTTTCAGCAGTGGATCATGGTGCCGGCCGAGACGCAAGACATCGTCCAGCCGACGATGGGCCTATGTGGCGTGCTGTGCTGTCAGCCCTCCAAGGGACAGCTGCTCGTGTCGCCCGACATGCAATTCGAGCAGGGGCCGGAGCAGAGGAGGGGGAGCAGTCAGTTCGACGAGCACACGGTGACCATCAAGTGTGTCGGGCTGCCGGACTATGTGATGAGTGTCAAGACATTGGGCAGGAGCAACAGTCTGGCGCTGACCAAAAAGGACGACAAAGGGATCCCAATGGAGGCCTTGTGGCGCTGCAGCCAGCCGAATAAAGCCAAGAAGGGTAACAAGAAACGATACAGACTACATGGACCTCATGTACGCCGTCTATAACTCCCATGTCCAGATGTGCTGAAGGTGGCTGCCGTGGCTGCCGCGACGGAAGCCGAGGAGGTCGGCGATATGCACTGACTGAATGGCGGCATAAATGATAGTATCATACTGCTTGCCGTCTGTGTCTCGCAGGTGAATCTGTTTGAGGCTTGTGCGGAGGGTAATAAAGATGCCGTCCTGCGAGTCATCAAAGCCAAAGGCGTCAAGTGCCTGCAGGAATCCGACAAGGCAAGACACCGCTGTGCTGTGTCCTCGATGGTGCGAACATTTGTCTTTGGTGGATTTCAGGAAGGCTTCACGCCGCTGCACTACGCCGCACAGAACGGCCACGCAGACATCTGCAGAGTCATTGTACTTGAAGGCGGCAAAGACCTCATCAAAAAGCAAACAAAAGTCATGGTGCGCTCTCACATACCGCCACTAGCAGTGTCAATGGCGTCTGATGCATCATCATGATTGCTGTCAGAACGAGCCTATTGTGTTGCATTTGGCAGTCGCAAAGGGTCACGTGGGGGTAGTGACGGCGCTGCTCCAGCTGGGAGGGCATGGTGTGTTGACGCTCAGAAACAAGGTGAACGAGTGAGAACCAGTGCTCATCAATGTGATCAGTGTCAGCGTCCCTTCCTTTCCGCTGCCTATGTCCGAGTATGTCGGTAATGTTTGGCTGCAGTACAACAGTACACCCTTCCACACTGCTGCGCTGACTGGTCAAGTTGCTGTGTTGAAGGCGATGCACGCCAAAGGGGGCAATCTGGACCAGCAGGGCAATGTAGGCGAGGTGGGGGAGGCACACAAGGCTGCAACGAGATGTCGACCTCTCTGTATATGGGTGCAGGGTGGCTTCTTTGCCATCCACATGGCAGCTATGAAGGGTCATGTTGATGCGGTCAACCTGTTGGTGGAGCTGGGCGGGACAAAGGAGCTCCAACGCCGGGGCCTGGTCTTTCCATCACATACAACACATCGCCAGGGTCTTGCACTGTGTGCTGTGATGGTTGTGTAGAACAACAGCACGCCCTTCATCATCGCTGCGCTTTGTGGTCACGTCGGTGTCCTGAGGGCCATGCACGCCAAAGGGGGCAATGGGCTGCTGGACTAAAAGGGAGGCGAGGTGGGGGAAGAAAAGATTGGCAGACGATTGACGGCTTTGATATGGTTTCTTTATTTTTGTGCAGTACGGCCGCTATGCCATCCACATGGCAGCTGACAAGGGTCATGTTGATGCGGTCAATCTGTTGGTGGAGCTGGGAGGGACAAACGAGCTCGATCGGCGGACCCAGGTCTTTCCATCACATACAACACATCGCCAGGGTCTTGCACTGTGTGCTGTGATGGTTGTGTAGAACAACAGCACGCCCTTTATCATCGCTGCCATGTTTGGTCAAGTTGCTGTCCTGAGGGCCATGCACGCCAAAGGGGGCAATGGGCTGCTGGACCAAAAGGGAGGCGAGGTGGGGGAAGATTGCTGCAACAGACAGATCTGTACTCCGGGTGTAGTTGTGTGCAGATTGGCTACTATGCCATCCACATGGCAGCTGACAAGGGTCATGTTGATGCGGTCAATCTGTTGATGGAGCTGGGCGGGACAAAGGAGCTCGATCGGCGGACCCAGGTCTTTCCATCACATACAACACATCGCCAGGGTCTTGCACTGTGTGCTGTGATGGTTGTGTAGAACAACAGCACGCCCTTCATCATCGCTGCCATGTTTGGTCAAGTTGCTGTCCTGAGGGCCATGCACGCCAAAGGGGGCAATGGGCTGCTGGACCAAAAGGGAGGCGAGGTGGGGGAAGATTGCTGCAACAGACAGATCTGTACTCCGGGTGTATGTTGTGTGCAGGCTGGTTACTATGCCATCCACTGGGCAGCTTGCCAAGGTCATGTTGATGCTGTCAACTTGTTGATGGAACTGGGCGGCCATAAAGAACTCCACAAGCGCAATGAAGTCACCGAAAACACACACAATGCATCAAGCTGTCTCACTGTTGTAATAATACCGCTCGTTGATGGCCAATGTTGATGGCTGCTGTAGAAAAATAGCACACCCTTCCACATCGCTGCGCTGACTGGTCAAGTTGCTGTGCTGAAGGCCATGCACGCCAAAGGGGGCAATCTGGACCAGCAGAATGAGGTGAGACAGGGCGATATCAACAGACAGAGCACAATAGCGTCTTCATCGTCTGTGTGCAGGACGGCAATTTCCCCATCCACTTGGCAGCTTGGAAGGGCCACGTTGAAACCGTCAAAGTGTTGGTGTCCTTCGATGGCGTTCAGATGCTCAGCAACAAAAACAATGCGGTATGAATATCGTGCCAAACTTATCGCTTGCGTCTCATCACATGTGTTGCGTATTATGCAGGGCAAGACTCCACTGGACATGGCGCAGAGTGACGAGATGCGCAAACTGCTCAAACAGCTAAACTGGCAAAGAGTGACGACATGAGCTACACATAGCCAATGTCTTGTTGGGTTTAGGCTGTTGTTCGTCGGTGTGTCGGTGTGTGTGTCGTTTCGGTGATCTGCCTAGTATGCCATGTGTCTTGAAATGACAAAAGATGGTATAGGGAGACTGAGCAATCCTTGGCCGAGAGAGACACGCTGTGTCAGCTTGCACCGGTCTATGCGAACCGGCACAACTAAGCAATAGACACTCACTCGGTCACATCATCCAGCAGCGGCGCTTTGCAAATGAGTGCAAAGAATTTCTCAGGACGCTCGCCACATCTGTGCTTGCCGCATGGCTGTGTGGACTGATGACTGCACGTCTTGCAATAGAGGCTTGCCTTTTCTTGCATTGCTGTCGATCGTTTGTCTGTTTCGCGCATATAAACAAACCACTCAGTCGTGACACTAGCTCCGACAAATTGGCAGTGTCTTGCTGGCTTGATGTGTGGGCTGATCTATAGGACTGCTGTGGGCTGCCGCACATGTCACCAAGACACACAGAGACATCATTTAACACAGAGACATGATTGAAAGAGCCATTGCGAAGAGTGAGCTTCACATTTCCAAATTAACGAGAAAGGTTACAAATCTTATCTTTACCAAGGTATAGACAATCATTTTAAAAATGATGAAAGTGAATGGAGTGGAATAGATTTGGCTCTAAGATATAAATTGTATTCTTTAAAATCATCGATAGTTATTTCATTCTTTAAGTATTTATATCTTTCCTCTTTCATTAATTTGTTAGAGTACTGCCGCCCGTTCTGTGGGGCGTGCAAGGTTCGGTCGTGTTCGTATCGTCTGCGAATGACCGACAGGTATGTCTCCACGATTGAGGATACCGAGACCTACACTACACTAGTCCCGCCAACAGCAAACCAACGTTGTGTCTGCCTGCAATAGCCGCATCTTTCACAGGGCTCATGGCTGTGTACCAACCTTCATTTCATAGCCAAAGGTGGAACAGCAGATGAGGGCTGTGTGAAGGAGAGAGAGACTTTGTCAGGTCGTTCGCTTCTAACTACCATGGCTGTACACACAAACCCTTGAAATGATAAGTCACAGACAAATACTGGAAGTCTCATCGATCGATATCATGCACACAGGAGGGCACATGCCCTGCACACACTCATCGTCTCCTCGCCGCCCCAGCACTCTTCGCCAGCGCCAGCAGCCTGGCCTTAGCGTCCTTCACAGATGGGCTGGCTGTGTCGGGCGACAGGTCAGGGTCAAGATAGTCCAGATCCATCGCAGAGAAGCCATTCATCCGACCCTTCTTCTTGCCCTTGCCGCCCCGTGTCTTCTGCAGCACTGACGATGCGGCAGCACTCGCCTGTTCTCGCCTGACGCGAGCGGCGCCCAGGTGCGACTGCTCTATCTCGCCATTCATCTCATCTTCTGCACTGCCGTCTTGGGCGGGCGCTGGCGCCTCCTCTGCTCCTCCCTCTCCGTCTTGCATCTCGTCATCCTGCTCACCATCCTCGCCGTTGTTGTCGTGCTCTTCGTCACTCAGCCAGTGCGACGGCCACTCCTCTTCCTCGCCCTCACCTCGCTGCCCCTCGTCCATCCCTTCGTCTTCATCTTGATCGTCAGCAGCGTCGAAGTAGCGGCCGCCAGCCTTCCTGCTTTTGACTCGGCGCCGGACACCGGTGCCTTCCGTCGGTGCCGGGGCGGGGGCAGGGGCAGCAGCTACTGACGGCTGTCTGGCGTCGTCTGAGATGTGTGGGTTGCGGACTCGCGGCATTTGTGTGAGGTATCTGAGTGTGTGGATGTTGGACGCGTAGACGCGGCTCAGAAAGGAGTGGTGCTGCTGAAGCTGACAGACGCAACACACACAAGGAAAGGCAAAACATAGGCATCAATTGGCGGATCGACTGACCGTGCTTGTGCCAGCCCTTTCACCTGTCTGAGGAGCATCAGCAACAGTGCTCGAACGTCAGAGAAGGGACCTGACGACAGAAACGACACACCACATCACACATCAACAACTCCCAGATATTCGACTCTTCCCTTGGCCGGCCCTTCCCTCATCCAACTACCGGTCATGACTCTCTCCATCCCTGACGCCTTCCTGTCCCTTTCCGCACTCCCCAGTGGCAGGCCGCCCAGCTGCGGTCCAATCAGATGGGCCTTGAGGGTCGTGTGCAACCACTGCAGGTGGTACTGCAGGTGGGGCGAGCTCAGCTGATGCACCTTGGCGCTGGATGACGCCTGTGTGGGTGGGGTGTAGGGCTGCAGGAGGGTGCGGATGAGGTTGAGGAGGTTGGGCAGCAGGGGGGAGGGGATGGATGGCACCAGCAGGGGGATGGACGAGTAGGGGATCGACTCGTAGACCATCTTGAGAGTGCTGAAGTGGTTAAGAGCCAATGCATAACTCAGCGCCTGACACACACCAATCGAGCATGCATCCGCCATGTTGAAGCTGGTGGCGCGGTTGTCTGTGCGGGTCGCTTGCCTTTGCGTAGTCCTTTTTCCTGAGTGCTTTGTGTATGTTGGGGATCGTCACGTCACGCGTCAGCATTGTGGGCCCCGCTCCCTCGCTGCCACTGCCGCTCACACCCACACCCCCTGACCCGCCACCCTGACACACACACGCACATTCACACACAATACAATACACAAAGCGGATGCTGCTTCTCGATGCCCACTTGCAGGTCGATGGAGTAGAGGAACAGCCCATGTGACGTGGCGGCAGCCCACTGTCGGCCGTCGAGGGATGCCTGCACCTGCCAGACGGTGAGCTCCTGGCGCCTCTTGTCGGTGCTCAGCTCCCCTCCCCTAGTGCCGGGCAAAGCGAGAGCCTGAACGAAGACGAAGAGAAAGTACGGAGATGCGAAAGTCCGTGTGTGTGCAAGTGTACTTGGTTGATTCGTTTCCGCCTCTGTGCTCCCGGAATGGCGTCATCCAGATCAGAGTCCGACAGATCAAACTCCTGCACCCACCAACCAACACACACACCCGGTCACCCGACGTGACCCTGTCCCCTCCCCTCTCTGTCTGTAGCATGCCTGTATGGCTATGCCGGCTTCAGTCATGAATCGTGAGTTGAGTTCCATCAGGATGCCGTCGATCGACCGGTTGTGCGTCAGCTGGTAGTACTGCAGCAGCACCGTCGCGTCGGCGTCATACACACACACACGGGCGGATGTCTTGGCGGCGGCGAAGATCTGGTGGCCGCTGGCAGAGTAGCAGAGGGACGAGAAGTGCTGATTGGGGTTGACCTTCGACACCTGGTCGATACACAGACAAACACACATACAAACACACATACATCGGCCTCTGTCTACGTGTGGGTATAAGGGAGGTCATGTGTGACAGATACCTTGTTTTTGTTGCCCTTGCCGCCCCAGTTGTTGGCAGCCGTCTTGTCGGTGACCCTCCTGCCGCTGTGGATGTCGCGCAGACCCTCAATGGAACCCACCACCTGCCCGTCGTCGCACTGCCATATCTGAATCAGGCCCCCGAGGTACGACGCAGCGAGCCGCCCGGTGCCCCTTGGGTCGAATGCGACGGCCAGGACCTCAGTGGTGTGCATGAGAGGCTCGCCGGCCCCTCCCTTGGTGGCGCGGCCGTATATGTCCCACAGGCGGATGGAGCCGTCCCATGAGCCGGTGCAGAGGACGCCTGGCTTGGAGGGATGGGGGTGGAAGGCGATGCTGATGATGGGACCCTCATGGCCGCTCAACACTTCCAACACCTTGCCCGTCTGCAGACACACAGACAGACGCACACGACACACATCAGTCTTCCCCTTCTGTATGTGTGTTGGTTGAATGTTGGCTCTATCACCTGTATAGCCCAGACGAGGACCGAGTATTCGCTGCCCTGAGTGCCAGCGACCACCACCTCGCCCCCGTTGTCCACGGCCAGGCAGGTGAACTGCACCCCCTCGTTGGGCGACGCCAACGTGCGGAAGTTGCGGTATCGCAGCAGATCGTACGCACGGACCGACCCGTCCAGCGATGATGACAGCACCGCATTGCCCTGACACAGACACACAGAGACAGACGGCCAGAGACCATTTGTTCTTCTTTTCTCTCTGTGTGGTGTCTGTGTATACCTGTGGGGTGAATGCCAGGCCGGTGACTGTAGCGGTGTGTTCGGTGAAGGTGATGAAACAGAAGCCGCTGAGCGAGTGCCACAGCTTGACCTTGCCGTCCTGCCCACCAGTGGCCACGATGGCCCCGCTGCTGCTGGCCGACGTCTCCAGCGACCGACCCTCTTGCTCAAGCGCAGAACCCATACGCAGCGATGTCCCTGCACAATGAGAGAGGGAGGGAGGCCAGGCACTGGCGGTGGGCAAACACATTGGGGATGTCAGACGGCGTACCTGCAGGTGAGAATGCGACGGCTTGCACGCCGTAGTGGTGTCCCTGCTGCTTGAGGATGTAGGTCTCCGACTGCCACTCCCACACCACCACCTGAACACATACACACACACATACAGAGTGTGTAAATGATACATGCAGGCAGGCGTCGTGAATGCAGCCGACCTGTCCCATTTCCGATGCCGCGACGGCGAGCCAGTCGCCGGTGGCGTTGACGGCCAGCCCGTCCACGGGACACTGCCCGATGCTCAGCGTGTGGAGGGCATCGAACGACGGCACCTCATACAGGGAAAACACACCGTGGGTGAAACCCACGAGGAGGAACTCGGAACCACCACCTCCAGCAGTGCCGTGGTGGACACACTGGGTGACTTTGGCACTGCCGGGCTGGTTGCAGAAGGCCCTCCTCTCCAGCAGCCATGTGCCGTCGATGTAGACCATATCACTGGTCGGCGGTGGCTGCTGCTGCTGCTGTTGCTGGCCCTCATCCGTGTCTGCCATGTGCTCATCAGTGTCACCATGAGTGTCTTCTCTCGCCCTTTTCCTCTCGTGAGGCCCATCCGCCATGTGAGCGTCCTCTGCCTCTCCCATTCCCTCTAGGTGATCTTCCTCCTTGACGCTTCTGCCGGTGACGCGGAACTTCTCTCTCCTCTGCGCTTGCTTGGGGAGGTTGCGGCTTGCAGGGAGGTCTGCGTCGTCCGATGCTGATGAAGGCTGCCACTTCCAGGCGATGAGGACGCCCTCTGTGCTGATTGAGTAGATGCGCTGCATGTCATGCGAGAAGAACGATCCACGAACGGGATTCCTGCGCACACACACACATGTTGGAAGGAGAGAGAGAGAGAAGGCACAGTACAGATGGTGGACCGATACATCCATCGCCCCCATCCCCCCCCCAGTGTAGTGTCACCTGTGGTCGACAAATGTCGATGGCACGAAGTGTGTCATCTTGCCCTTGCTGCCGGCCTTCTCCCTCTGAATGGGGTCCCTGCTCCACAGCCGCACCGTCGTGTCTTTGGACGATGTCACCAAAAACAGCGAGTTGGCACTCCAGTCCACACTCAGCACCTTGTCCAGGTGACCCCCCAGCCTCCGGTGCAGCGAGAAGTGCCACCCCGTCGCCACAGTGGGCGTCTCCCAGATCTCTATCCGCTTGGCGCTCGTCAAGGCCACATACCGGCCATCAGGGCTGAACTGGCAGCACAGCACGCGGCACCGGAAGTTGATGCGCGCCAGTATGACGTTGGTGCCGCCGCCTTGGAAGGCAATCAGGAGGGCGTGTCCGGTCTCGTCAATCACCAGCAGCAGGTGGCCGTCGGGCGAGAGGGCCATGGTGTAGATGTCCATGCGGGACTCACACGGGAGAGTGCGTGTGCGGTTGCGGACGAGGTCCAGGGCGTTGACGCGGTTGCCGGTGGGGCAGAGGAGGCTGTCTGCGTCGGGGACAGTGAAGCAGAGAGGGCCGCCCTGATAGGGAGCGCCGCACACCGAGGCGAACCGATAAGATAACATCACGACAATGGCTGAAAGCGATGGATGAACCCACAGATCTGAAGGCTGGCGCTGTCCATATGAGAGGGATTTCTCCAGAAGCGATGGTTTCGCCAGGCGATCGGCATTCAAGCTCGCAGTTGGCTCGCGTGAGAGGGAAAAAAGGCAGCCTAACAGTACCCCAGAGGTTTTGTGTATCACTTCCGGGGGTGAGAGGTGAAAAAAGCACAAAAAGAATCATCAAGAAGCGCTACATGTGCTGCCGGGTTGTTGCGCTGCTCGTTGTAGGTGCTGGTCTGTTCATCCTCTCGTCCATTTGACGTCGGGCTCCCATGTGGCAGCGCGTGTTGTCGGCCAGCCTCCTTAGCGGCATGAATGAGGGCTGATCTACGCCAAGGGGTCTGAGTCATGACCAGCTTGGGTCCTTCCCCGCCCTCCGTCATCGACGCGGCCATCTTTCTGCTCTCGTCGCCAGAGGAGCTGCCAGAGGGTGCCCTCGAGAGCGGCCTTGAGGCGCTGGGCGATGCCAAGAGGCTGGGCCAGGGTGGATACGAGGCCCTGAGGAAGAATCTCCGCAACGGGCGACTCCTGGAGCGTGTGTTCGATGCCTTCACCGATAGCGGCAACACGGCCCGCCAGGACGCCGCGGCAAACATGTGCGGCGTGCTGATCCATAGGGCAGAGGAGCCCCTCGGCCACCACATCATCCACGTGTGTGGGTCGCCTCAGCGGTTCATCAGCAGGCTGGCCACACTGCTGACAGAGACCGGCAATTCCACCGTTGCAGACGTCGCCTTCGCGCTGCTGATGGGCGCCATGGTCAAGGGCCGGGTTGAGGGCAATGCGGCCGACTATCGAGACCATTGTATGCAGCACCACCCCGCCGTCTTCGACAAGGCAGTGGCGGTTGTCAGTGCAGCAAGTCTGGCCTTCCTGCTGTCGGCCTTTTCGACGGATAATGAATTCGGCCCGGCCTTCCCCGGCCCTTCTGCCGTGCCTCCCCTGGTGTGGGTGGGGGTGTTCCGGGCAGTCGTGCGCATCCTGACGTGTGAGGACCAGGCAACTCGGGACAAGTTGTAAGCGACGATATAGATGACACACAGCCAGACAGACAGACAGACAGACAGACAGCTGCACTTCCTTCCCTTTTTTCATGTGTGGCTGCTTCAGTGCTGACTGTATCGAGCACGCCACGGCATTCGTCTGCCGCCACATCTGCTGCGTGACCGGCACAGGTAGTAAATAAAGTCAGACACACAGACAGACAGACAGACAGACAGACATACAGACAGACAGACAAACTCACAGCACTCTTCCGCCACCTGACTCATTGTCGTCCCTCGGTTGGCGCAGGGTCGGATGGTGACCGTGCTGCGTACCTGGCTGCCACCCGTGAGGTCATCTACCCCCTCGTCGACACATTGGCAGCCACCCTGACATCCTCCAACACAGACAAGGCGGTGCGCCACGGGGCCGCCGTCTGCCTCGAGTGCATCTTCACCTTCTGCTGCGCTTTTTTCAAGAGTGCCACGGCGATTGGTGGGCGGAAGGACAGACAGGCCCGCTCCGTGTGGGAGTGTGGCCTCAGTTGCTGAATGCGTGTGTCCGTCCTTGTGTGCGCCTGTGCAGATGCTCAGTACTTCAGTGATGCCGACGGGCCCGCCCAGCGGTTGCTGAGAGTGCCCAATGCGCTGCAGGCCTACGTGACGGCCGTCAAGATCCCCACCACTACCCTTGCCTCTAGGATTAGGGTTCCCACGCAGCCCCTGGCTGTCCCGCAGATGCTGGCCGGTGAGCGAATGACACGAGGGGTCCGTGGGAGGGAAGTGAGCGAACGAATGCCTTCTTGTGGCTGTGCTGCGTGAATGTCTGCAGTGTGTGGCCATCGTGATGCCGTGTATTCATCCGGATGCATATCGATGGCGTCGGATATCGCCAAGCGCCTCGACAAGAAGTCAGTGGCCGAGGTGGGCTCCTGTGCGGCGGCTCTTCAGAACATCGTCGGACGCGACACAGACCTCACCGACGTGCGCGCCAAGGTCAGCACGGACGGATGGATGGATGCGGCCATGGCCATTGTGTGTTGCTCATTTGCAGATCGCTGTGAGTGATGGCCTTCCCGGAGCCCTGTGTGAAATGGCTCTGGCCTGCATCAAGAACGGTCAGCTCGACCAAAAGGAGGCGGATTACTTCATAGACTTCGCCGTCAGAACCCTGCGCGCACTTGTCAGGTACACACGCACACAGATGCCTGTGGTGGGGGATAATGTGTGTGGATGTCTTGTCGGTGCAGCTATGGTGATCGCGTGAGCAGCCGAGGGGGCAAGGTCCGCCCCAACAGCGTCACCCAGGCCGTCCTGCAGCACGACTCAGTCAAGACGGTGCGCGCAGCCGGCCAGCAGCCGAAAGGACGACGAAAGGCAAACCGTCAGCATCAGGAGCATCTAACAGTGCCCAAGGAGGTGGGAAATGATGCACACGTGACGGCTCACACAGGCAGCGTCCAGTGTACGTGTTGTGCGTCAGTTGTTGGAGTTCTTCGACGAGATCGAGAGTGCGGCCAGCAAGCGGGCTGAGAAGCTCATCGCAGAGCTGGACGTTGAGGGCACACCAAGTAGCAGTAGCACCACCGAGGGCGTCAAGAAGAAGTCCAAGGGCAAGAGGGGCGGCAAGGGAGCCTGCACCAAGGAGTCGGCATCACCATCCAGGTCACCGCAGATAGGGAAAGAGCGCATCCACAAAAATGAAGGGAATGTGTGTGTGTGTGTGTGTGCCGATCGACAGCTGTGGTGCCATTGGCACATCCGAAGACCACACCGACCACCAGGAGGAGGACACCGAAGATCATCATGCCCCCCTTCCAGGTCCCCCCAGCCCGTCGCCCTCCTCCCCTCCCCGACCCTCATCCTCATACTCATCGTCCTCCGCATCGGCTGCTGGCGGAACCTCTTTGTCCGTGGGCGGCGGCTGGGGGCAGCAGCAAGGGGCGGGTGGCGGTGGCGATGATGGCGGCGGCTTCATCACCGTCGGCCGCAAAAAGCGGGGCGGCAAAGGCACTGGCGGCCACACACAGCAGCAGCATACCAACACGGCTGACAAACGAGATGACAAGTGAGACCCACCAAAGCACTCCACCACACTGAGCAGAGGATCTCGGTGTGTCTGTGTGTTCAGCTCGAGAGTCTTCCCGTCATCGTCTTCGTCCGAGTCGACGCGGCCCTCATCATCGCAGTCGTCAGTGTCTGGTGGCCCCCACAACGCGCCAGCCGTGCCCTTCCCTCTGCCGCCCCGCCCCGGCCGGCCGCCCCGCCTCCACAGCCTCCCAACCGACACACACCTACACCAGCACCATCCAGTAGCCGTCTTGGCTCTGACGAGCAGGGCCTCGCCCCATTGGCAGCCGGGGGCAGTAGCAGTAGCACTTTGGAGAGGGCGGTGGAGGTGGAGGGCCGCAGTGGTCACGACAGGTACGCACGTGTCGATGGGCAGAGCAGCCGAGGAAGCAGACAACAGCCCCTGTGCCTGTGTGTGTGGTTGGCTGCAGGTGTGGTGGTGACGTGAGTGAGTTGGATGCGCTGCGGAAGCAGCTCGAGGCCATGCGGCTGGAGAAGGAGGCCATAGAAAGGGAGAACAAGAGGTACGTGAGGCGACCCCACACACCTGCAGTGCAGTGGTTGCATGCGCCTCTTTCGTGAGTGTCTGATGGGTGGTTTGCTGCACACAGGCTGGAGGAGGAGCGCGAGAGCACCGAGTGTGACATCTGCATGGCCTCAAAGAAGTCCATCGTACTCATCCCCTGTGTAAGCCGACTCACAGGCACAACGACTCACCTGTCCCTCTCGGCCATGCGCTGCCCACGTTTGCGTGTGTGTGTGTGTGTGTGCAGCGTCACTTTTGTCTGTGCAGTGGTTGTGCTGCGGCTTTGATGTCTAAGCCAGTGGCCCAGCGGCTGTGCCCTCGGTGCCGACAGGCCATCACGGCCACTCGACACGTCTATCTGTGAGTGCGGGGCCATGTTGTCAGCGACCCACTCGTCCGGTGCTACGACGCACGAGAGGAGGTGATGGTGGCTGTTGGATGAGTGACATGCCGACAGACGAGCCGTTCATGTTGGGGGGCGGGTGTGGTGGGGGGGTGAAGAGCAGCTGTGTGTGCATAGCATAGATGTGACTGACTGACTGGCTGACTGACTGACAGAGTGAGAGAGAGGCGTGGGTGGATATGGTCGGTCGGCCGGTCGCTGTGTACAGACTTACTTAGGTTCCCTGCCTGCCTGGCTGGCTGCTTCGTCCATCGCTCTGGTCACACCAATGACGCGACCTACACGTTTGACTGAAGCATCCACACACGCTGACAGATACGGTCTCTCTCACACGCATACATATGAAATCTCTGTGCACTGTACACGGCAAAAAGACCCAATCCATCACTCACTGACTGACATAAATACACGCACTACCACGACGAGAGAGATGCCCGTCTGCCTCTCCCTACCGACAGCCACCACACAGCCCCTCTCTGTCCCCCTTGCCTTCCACCGACCCATCGCCCTCCACCCACCGACCTGGCTGCGCCCTCAGGTGGTTGTCATCCTCTGCGGTTCTTTTTCTTCTCTTTCTCCACCTGTGCGGCCCTCTCGGCCTCCTCCCGTGCTGCCCGTGCCGACCGCCACTCCGGGGTGTCCTCCCACTCTTCTGGGCACTCGGCCGCCCGCTCCCTCAGCTTGCCCAGAATCCAGTCGACGATATCCTGAGCCTGGGCATATTGTTGTGAATGACATCAAGGCAACACATGGATGCGTTAAAGCAGCTGCCGACACACAGATGTGTGTGTGTGTGTGCGTGTGTGTGTGTGCGGCTGACCTGGTCATAGGTGTCGAATGTGGTGCATGACTTCATATGGAACAAGCCCAGCCTTTCATCCGGTCCGGGGCTGTCCTTCTCATCAGGCAGCTCCACCATGTGCCACCGAAGCCCGTCCGTCACCGCGCCATGCTGCAACAAGACCACACACACACGGGGGCGTGTGTGTGAGTGGGTGTGGGTGTGCCTGTGTGTTGGGTTACGCTGCCGAGTTTTTTCTTGCGGATGTGTACGGCCGTCTTGGCCATGCCGATTTGGCGACCGGTGCCGTCGAAGGCGATCCAGAAAAACGGCCGAGGATGGTCGTCACCCCATGTCAGGACGAAGGCGGGCCGCTGATATTCACAATAATAGAGGCAGTCCAGGGAGTGAGTGCTGGCGTGAAATTCGTTTGTGTGGCTGACAGTCTCTCAGTGTCTGTACGTCCGTACCTCTCCCATGAATTTGCCCGTCCGGCGGTTGAACCGCGTCCACAGGTAGTACGAGAGCATGCTCAGGTGGGGGTAGCCGGCCATGACCACTTCCTGCACAGTGGGCCACACCAGCGTCCCAAACAAGACGGCGGGGTGGTCGGACTCCATGCCAATCGCGAAGGATGTGTTAATTCGAGTCCCAAAGTCGTATTCAGAGACGTTGCGGCGGATCTCCAGCGGGTTGAGCTGCCACTCCTCCTCCATTATGGGGCGGAAGCCGTGTTTGTGCCTGACGTTGCGGAACGTCACCTGACAGGAAACAGACAGACAGGCAGCACACACAGTGTGAGCGTCTTGGCTGCGTGAGTGCATACCATGTGCATGAGTCCCCTGTGGCGTCGATATGCCTCTCTACGAGAGCGGGCAGCAGCGATGGCAGACCGGCGGGAATGAGGAGGCAGCTTGAAGCCAAGCACGGCTGCCGCAAGAACGAACAGGCAAGTTGCGAACAGGATCAGGCGGAAAAGGCGCACCATCGTATCTGCATTGCGACACTGCTGGTAGATCCAGAGCTTCCAAACAGTCGGAAGGCCGCTTGGGTCGTTCGTTTGACAGAAGCTCGCAAGTGGATCGAAGTCATTGCACTGCAGTGGTGTGCCGATCAGCCCAGACAGTCGGTTCAATTGGTTCGCCAGCCACACACAGAGACGCTGACTGACCAGGTCAAAACCCACCCACCTAGGGGCAAAACCACTCCCTCCTTGCCGCCCTCCCCACTGCATAAATCAATCAATCAGTCAATTAATTGATTTCTGCTGGCCTGTCTTCTGCTATGCTGCTGCTGTGGCCGACAGACTGACTGACTGCCGATGTGCGAGTGAGTCACAGCCTCTGTCTGCGGGCGGGCCTCGCTCACTCATCCACACCACCAGCGCTGCTGCTCCGGACACCCACACCAGCGGACGACGTCTGCATAATGGAACCACAGAAGGAGCAAACACTCATCCAGGGCCGGTCACACCTTCTTGCAATGTAAGTGTTTGTATGCCTTACGGGCTCCGAGGCTGCGGCGGCTGCCGTCGCCGCGTTGTTGTTGCTCTGCTGAGGTGGTCCGGCGTTGAGGGATGATGCGGCCTCTCCCCCGCCGCCGCCCCCATTGGCCGCCCCGTCGACAGCAGCCTGCTCTTTGGCCTGGCGTAGGGCCGTCATGATGGCCTCCACACTTGCCTCGAGTGTCGACAGCGCTGCGTTGGCATCGCTGAGGGCCGTGGATGCATCACTCTGGAGAGGAGCACCGCCGCTCGACGATGATGATGATGATGATGGCTGTGACTGCTGCTGCTGTGGGTCTGGTGTGGCCGGGGGAATCATCTCGTAGATGCCAACCTGAGCTCAGACAGCCAGACAGACAGAGGAGTTCCATGGGGCCACTCTGGCACCGTACCCTACCCTGAGGCCCTCCTTGAGTATTTCAGGCTCGAGGAAGATGACACAGGCCATGATGAGCAGCTCTGCACACACAGACACACACACACAGACACACACAGACAAAGTCCATCCACTCCGCACAGATGGCGCATCGCATACGTAATGCATTCATTGATCTCACCGATTCCTGGTGTGCCGAGGCCGCCGGGTCCCTTGGCGCACGCAGCGGCCATGGTGTGCATGTGCGACGACAGGATGCCCCGACACGCATTGTGGAAGGGCGTGTCGCCGGGGAACAGATGGGAGGGCAGCGCTGCAAACGTCGGCGGCAGCATATACGAATAAAACTGAACCAACACGGCGCACCACACCCAGCCAGACAAACAGACAGACAGACAGACAGACAGACGTGCAGCTGCTGTTGGTACATGTAGTAGTCAGTATGTGTGTCTGTCTTGTCTTGTCTTGTCTTGTCATGTCAGCTGTCGCTGTGTACTTACTTGTGCCATGAGGCTCTCGGGTAGCCTCTCGGTGAGGAAGTGGCCTAGTGGCGAGTCGCGCGGGACGTCCTTGGTGAGTTCGGACATGGCGGCCGTCCACCCCTTCCAGCGCATAACGGACTCGCTTCTTGCTCCCCTGCAGATACCAGTGGTACGCTGCACACACACACACACACAGACGCCACCCACAAGCAAAGGCGACCACAATTGTTCACACGATTGGTTATGTGCGGGTGCGTACTTCGGATGACGGTCGCGGTAGCTGGTCTGGATCGAAGGTCGGGCGGGATGGGGTCGATGAGGGCCCCCATGTGCATGTAACTCATCAGACGGCCGGGGGAAGCAGAACCAAACAACGCGTCACGCCACAAGGGGGTCTGACGCATCACACACACACACACACACACACGTTCATGGTCGTGTGTATTGGGGTGCGTGCGCATCTGCCTCCCTCCCCCCGCCCCACCAACTTAGCTTACCCGTGGAATGTGCGAGTTGACGGGCCAGAAGGTCTTCATCAAACACATGTTGACCAGCACGCCCAGCAACCTGACATACATCCAAACAAACAAACAAACCAACAAACAAACAAATGCGACACCACCACATTCCAGTCAATCAAGACATGCTATACCTTCTGGTGCACCCACCGATTTCGATCCCCAGACGCCACCGCATCGCTCACAGCCCTACACTGCTCGGCTGACACGCTGATGGTCGGTGGGGGTGTGCTGCCGGGCCCACCACGGCGCACCCCACCGGTCGGGATGCCCGGCGGCCTGTAGAGGCCCAAGAGGCTCTGCGGGCGGCCATCGTGGCGGCGGATGTCGTGTATGTCGGCCCCGTGGGACACGAGCACACTCAGCAGGTGCGCCGGCTCGAATGCAAGTGGGCGAGTGGCGATGAGATTGTAGAGCATGACGAGGGTGGTCTCGCCGGCGTGGTTGCGGGCGGAGGGGTCGACGCCCTGCGAGAGAAGGAAGCCCACGACGTCCTCACGACTCGCTGCACACAAGCCAAGACAAGACAAATGAACGGGGGCAATGCGTCGTCATGGCATCTCTGCACGTGTTTGACGGCTGACCTACCTGATCCCTGGCGGATGCTACACACACACACACACACACCCGGGGACACACATACAGAGTGGGCACGGGTGCAGCTTCTCTCGTGAGTGCACGTGTTGCTCTCCTCCCCCACCCCCCCTCGCCCCGCCCCGCCCCGCCCCGCCCCACCTTCGATGCAGCAGCGTGTTGCCCTTGGTGTCCCGGATGTTGGCGTCCATCCCGTTGGCGAAGAGCTTGCGCAGGAGCGGCTTGTCGTGGAGCCACCGGTGCATCCAGTCGCTGCCCACGATCTCGTTCCAGCCGAGGAAGACGGGCGGGTCCACGAAATGAACATTGGCGGGGTCAGCGCGGTTGCGGGTGAAGCCCTGCACAGCACACAGACACAGATGCACATAGACACACATGGGTGTGTTTGTGTGTGCGAGTTGGTGTTTCGATGTCGTCAATATTTACCTACCTGTGGGGCGCCTCCTCGTTTGAAGAGCGCCTCGAGGACCAGGTCGAAGGCCGCACTGCACGTGGCCGACCCGCACCCGCCACACTCCTAACACACACATGCAAACATACAGACATAGCCTGACGTGCCGCACAGAGAGAGGCAGTGAGAGACAGACACTGACCGACCCTGGCTTTCTTGATGAATCGATGCAGCGGCAGATGGCCCTCGAGGTTGGCCATGCTCGCCACTTTCTCCGGCACCCTCGGCGCGTCGGGGTAGTGTCTGCCCTCCTTGAGCAGCAGCAGTGAGCCGTCGGGCTGGCGGTGGATACGGAGGATGGTCAGGATGGCGTCCACGGCGGGGTTGTAGGACCCATCGGGCTTGACGATGGGCCGCGTGAAGTCCTGGAGTGACATTTTGTTGATGACCGTGTGGAGGATGGTGTCGCCGTTGGGGCGGATGTCTGAACACATGCACACACACGAATCAGACCACACGCATAGGTGGATGTGCTGGTCTGCCTGTGGACCTGATCAATCTACCTGTGAGGTCAGCATCGGGGACCTTGATGAGCTGTCGCACCAGCGGCATCGGCAACTCCTGGCGAAGCGAGAACCGCCCCACAAGCGCACCACCGTCGAGCAGCTTCTCGACGCACTCGTCAATCAGGGCCCTCTCAGCCTTTGCGTTGCAGAGAATGGAGAGCGGCGAGCTGTCGTCATCGGTGAGGTTGATGTTCGCCAGAGGGATGAGCGTGTCGACGAGCGCCAGGTACTCGGGGCGACCGACCATCGTGACCTTGAAAATGTGCTGGCATGCGTCTCTGAGGATGGTGATGAGCTCAGGCTGAGGAATGAGGCCGTGCAGCACCAGCTGGTTGACCCGGGACCAATCGCCTGACAGCGGGGGGTGGCGGGGGGGAAGGGGTCAGGTACAAATTGGCGATGGGGGTCCTGGTCTGTCGGGTGCTTCTGGTTGTGTTGGTACCTTTGTAGAGGAGGAAGCGAATGGCAGACGCCATCCGGTCGGCGAAGAACTGCACACATTAGATAAAGAGAGAGAGAGAGCGAACACACACACAGACACACAGACAGACACACACACACATGCATCCAGCCAGTCATCCATTTTCACGACCGTCGATGCACCCTCCCTCCCTCTCACCCATGCCCGACGTGCTTACTTGTCTAATATCTTTTTCCTTGACGGTGCTCCTGGACATGATCATCTTGGCCACGGCAGGGCTGGGGTTGATCATGCTCCTGATCTGCCTCCGCACCTCCTCGTCGTTGAGGTCGCCTCCGGTCAGCAGGGCCTCGAGGCCCATCCTCAATGAGTCGCCCATGGCCTCTCGCTGCGTGAGGACGTCCTCGAGGCTCTTTCCCACGGCTTTCCACCCGTCCACCGGCCTGCTGCCGTCCGCTTCCGTGATACGGTTCACCGACCTAAAGAGAGAAGAAAGGTGCGCAAGTGGATGGATGGATGGATGGAGTGTGTGGGTGGTGGGTGAGGTTGGGCGAGAGCTAGGTGTATCCACCAGCCGCGGGGGATGACATGATGCCTGCCTGTTTGTGCGCCGCACCCACCTGGTGGTCTAGATCAGCACTCTTGCTGACGACGCAACAGCAACGTCTCGAACGAACGGGTGCTGAGATGACGCACCGGAGAGCACACGATGAGCAGTTTCGCGATGAGGTTGTCTTGTCTGCCCTGTGGTGTGTTTGTACCTCTTGTCAACTCAATGAGATCGGAGAGCGTCGCAGCGCTGTGGCTGCCAATCTACGTCAACGACAGGTCTGAAACACGTTGACGCGGTTGCCGGGGGGGCAGAGGATGCTGTCTGCGTCGGGCACAGTGAAGCAGAGAGGCAATAGCAGAGAGGCGAACCGATGAGATAACTGACGACGATGGCCGAAGGCGATGGATGAACTCACAGATCTGACGGCTGGCGCTAGAGAAGGAGATCTCCAGAAGGGTGGCCAAGAAGCAACTGAAGCGATGGTTGGAGATGGCGATCGGCATTCAAGCTCGCAGTTCTAGCAAGGGAAGGGTCGGATCAAGGGTGAGAGATGAAAAAAAGCAAAGAACGATCCATCAAGAACCGCCATCTGTGCCCGCTGGTTGGTTGTGCTGTTCATTGTAGGTGCTGGTCTATTGATCCTCTCGAGGCTCTCGTCCATTTGGCGTCGGCCGCCCATGTGGCACTGGGTGTTGTCGAGCCAGCCTCCTGAAGGCATAGATCAGGGCTGATCTAACGCCCAGCCTCTGCATGGGCTCCTCTCGTCCCTCCGACCTCGATGCAGCCATCGCAACGCTCTCGTCGCCAGAGGAGCTGCAAGAGGATGCCCTCGACAGCAGCCTCAAGGTGGTGGCCAACCATGCCGAGGACACTGTGGCGAGCGGCCTAGGAGGGTGTGAGGCCCTGGGGAAGAAGCTGCGCAACCAGCATTTGCTGAGGCGGGTCTATCACACATTCCTCGATGGCGGCAACACGGCCCGCCAGCTGCTGGCGGCATACGCCCTGTGGTTCCTGTTTCTACCCCAGTGGAAGGCTGGTCGGCCTTGGGACATTGCCGGCTATCTCATCCCCATCTCTGGATCGCCGCGGACGTTCATCAGCATGCTGGCTCCCGTGCTGACTCAGACCTCCGCTGTCCTGGTGGAAATGATCGCATTCACCCTGCTGGCGGGCGCCATGGACCTGGGCCGACGAGAGGGCAACGCGGTCGACACACGGGACTATCTGGTGGAGCACCATCCAGACATCCTTGACAAGGCCCAATCGAGTGTGACCAAGATAGCAGAGTCACACTGCCCAAGCGATCGTCCTTGTGGCAGGGCGGCGCTGGCCTTCATCAGGACGGCATTCGATACGGCGCCCGCAGACGGTCCGCCCTTCCCACCCACAGTCATGCCCATCGCGTGTTGGGTGGGGGTGTTTCGCGTGTTTGTGGAGTGCCTCACAAGTCGGGAGGCGGAAACGCGAGACAAGATGTGAGTGGCTTGCAGTAGACGGAGGGAAGCAGGCTTGCCGTGTCACTCATTCATTCATTCATTGACTGCATTGCTGTCGTTGTTTCTGCACTTGGTCATCTGTCTGTCTGTCTGTCTTCAGGCGCGATGTGCAGGGTGTCATCACGTTGCTCTGCTCCAACATGCAATACGTGACCACAAACGGTACGCAGCCGATCTACACGAAGGAGTGAAACTGATCCGCCACTGGCTGGCCGTCGTGTGCCTTCCTTCAGGGTCGGATGATGAGCGTGCTGCGTATCTGGCTGCAATGCGACAAGACATATTCCCGTTCGTCGACACGTGTTGCGGCCTGCTGGCCTCCCCTGACGCAGAGCGGGCCGTGCGCGACGGCGCCGCCCGTTGTGTGGGGGACATCTTCTTCTTCTGCGACGCGTTTGCACAGCGCATAGGTCGGCACATATAGGACATGCAATGGCTGGTGGGCTCTTCGCCCGTGGCCTCTTCGCCCCCCGCCACACGACCACACACACACCTATATGTGACTGTGCCAACTTGTCTGTGGGTGGAGGTTCAGGTTTTGACTGGCTGGCATCTGGTGATCAGTCGCCTGTGCAGCGACTCATGAGAGCGCCAGGGGCTTTGAAAGCCTTCGTGACGATCATGAAGGACTCCGTCATTGACCCCACGTGGTGTGACCTAACCGTCCTGCACACACTGGCCGGTAGGTGGTGGTGGGCGGGTCAATGAATGCATGGCGGGCCACACCGAATCTATCTGCCGCATGACTGCCTGCAGGGTGTGGCTACCGTGACGAGCTGTACGGTAGCGGGTGCATCTCGCTGGTGTCCGAGCTCGCCAGGGCCTCTCTTGCAGGAAACAAGGCGGCCATCCTCCTCTACATCAAGCAACTCCCAGTGGTCGTCGGGGGCCCCGCAGAGCTCGTCGACGCTCGCGCAAAGGTCAGGCAAGGAGGGATGGAGGGAGGGAGCCGTGAAAGAGGGAGACGTGTCAAATACCATGTGGGTGTGGTGTGGGCTGTGTCGTGTTTGTGCTGTGGTGTGCAGATAGCTGTGCGTGAGGGTCTCCCCGTAGCCCTGTGTCAGTTGTGCCAGCATGTCTTGGTCCTCTCGTCCAAGGACACAAACAAACAGGCAGGACAGCGGGGGCTGGGGTGGGTGGATGCCTGTACGTATGTTCATGACGACGAACGACCCCTGTGTGCTGTGCTGTGTGTGCGTTGTATTCCATTAGGAGACTGACTCGGAGTCGGAGAGGGCACTGCGCCACTTCCTTCCAGTAGACATCAAGCTCCAGTTCGACCTGGCATGCATCAACCAGCCCCAGGTGGATAGCTTCATAGACTTCGTCGTCGAGACCCTCCGCGCACTCGTCAGGTACGCATACGCGTACCTGCCTATCACACCACACCAGTGTCTCCATCTGACCCTCTGTCCATCCACGCAGCTATGACGACCGAGTGAGCAGCAAGAGGGGCGGCGTCTTCCGTCCCAATGTCGTCACCCGGGCCGTCCTGCAGCACGACTCAGTCAAGACGATGCGCGCAGCCGACCAGCAGCCGAAAGGACGACGAAAGGCAAACCGTCAGCAGCAGCAGCAGCAGCAACCGACAGTGCCACAGAAGGTGATGCGACACACGGAGGCGGCCATACGGGGCATCATCGTGTGTTGGAATGTGTTGTGTGTCAGTTGTTGGACTTATTTGACGACATAGAGGAGGCGGCCAACGAGCGGGCCGATGCACTGGCTGAGCAGGTGACAGCCGAGCTGGCCGAAGACGACACGCAGGATGGCGGCAAGCACGCCAAGACCTCCAAGGGCGCCAAGAAGTCTAAGGGCAAGAGGGGCGGCAAGGGGGACAACAGCACCAAGACGACCGGCACCAAAACAGGGGCGGCACCATCATCCAGGTGACTGAGAATAAATCAATTGGGTCCTCACTTCACTCAGCTGATGAGTGGTGCGTCTGTTTCTTGACAGTGCTGCCGCCATTGGCACATCCGACGAACACAGCGAGCAGCAGCAGCAGCAGCAGCAGGACACAGAAGACCATCATTTGCACCTTCCAGGTCCCCCCAGCCCGTCGCCCTCCTCCCCTCCCCGACCCTCATGCTCATACTCATCATCGTCCGCATCGGCTGCTGGCGGAACCTCTGTGTCGGTGGGTGGCGGCAGGGGGCAGCAGCAAGGGGCGGGTGGTGGTTGCGATGATGGCGGCGGCTTCATCACCGTCGGCCGCAAGAAGAGGGGCGGCAAAAGCGGCCACACACAGCAGCAGCAGACCAACAAGGCTGACAAACGAGATGACAAGTGAGACCCACTGCAGCAAAGCACTCCACCACACTGAGCACTGACATCTCCGGTGTGTCTGTGTGTCATCAGCTCGAGAGTCTTCCCGTCTTCGTCTTCGTCCGAGTCGACGCGGCCCTCCTCATCGCACCCGTCTGTGTATGGCGGACCCCACAACGCGCCGCCCCTGCCCGTCCCTCTGCCGCCCCGCCCGGCCGTCCCGCCCCCACAGCCTCCCAACCGACACACACCTACACCAGCACCATCCAGTAGCCGTGGTGGCTCTGACGAGCAGGGCCTTGCCCCATTGGCAGCTGGGGGCAGTAGCAGTAGCACTTTGGAGAGGGCGGGGGAGTTGGAGGGCCGCAGTGGTCAGGACAGGTACGTTTTGACGGACAGAGCAGCCGAGGAAGGGGGACGGGCAGACAGACACCAGCCACTGTGCCTGCGTGTGTGGTTGGCTGCAGGTGTGGTGGTGAGGTAAGTGAGTTGGATGTTCTGCGGAAGCAGCTCGAGGCCATGCGGCTGGAGAGGGAGGCCATGCGGCTGGAGAAGGAGGCCATAGAAAGGGAGAACAAGAGGTACGTGAGGCGACCCCACACACCTGCAGTGCAGTGGTTGCATGCCCCTCTTTCGTGAGTGTCTGATGGGTGGTTTGCTGCACACAGGCTGGAGGAGGAGCGCGAGAGCACCGAGTGTGACATCTGCATGGCCTCAAAGAAGTCCATCGTACTCATCCCCTGTGTAAGCCGACTCACAGGCACAACGACTCACCTGTCCCTCTCAGCTATGTGCTGCCCACGTGTGTGTGTGTGTGTGTGTGTGTGCAGCGTCACTTTTGTCTGTGCGGTGGTTGTGCTGCGGCCTTGATGTCTAAGCCAGTGGCCCAGCGGCTGTGCCCCCGGTGCCGACAGGCCATCACGGCCACAAGACATGTCTACCTGTGAGTATACGAGTAGCGAGTGTTGGTGCCCGGCGCTTAGCTCTGCCATGTGAGACTGCGTGTGCGTGGCCTGTGTTGTGATAGCATTCATGTCGATAACGGACGATATATTAGATATCAACGCTGGCCGGATCTTAGCCAAAGGCTGCCTGTCCAAAGGTCTCTCCCTTCTCTCCCCAACCCTTTTGACGAGACGATGAGCCCAACGAGCTTTTGGCCCCTTTGGATGTTCATTCCTCTGCTCCTCTGGCAGCAAGGAGGCGAGCCCCCTGTCGTCGTTGCCATCATGAACGCCCCCGAGAAGACAGAAAGGCAAGGCAGTGCACTCTCGCCCCCCTTACCGTCCCCTGCCACGAGAGGCTCAGCCCCGCGACAAGGCGTGATGACACAAATACTCGAGAACACCACTGTGTCGTCAACAGCCGCCGCCAACGTCAGTATGGTTGCCCATGAGGCCAAGGGCATGACGTCGGCCAACGCCAGCGACGACAGCAGGCCCGAAGTCACAGTGTGGATGCAGTGGAAAACACCCAAGAGTGAGACAGACAGTGGATGAAGCATGGCAATTGATTGCACTCATTGCATGTGTGTGTGTTCCCGTGTGTGCAGGCCATCGGGTGTCTTCTGCTCATGGCGAAGGGCACAGGGCTCCTTACCACTGCAACACGACGGTGCAGGAGTGTTCGGTGGACAAAGACTGCTGTTCTCGTGTGTGTGTTGACAGCGGTGGCCCAGACATGAGGGGCTTCTGCAACTAACTGACCAATGCCGAGCTATGTACAAGAGTATCAGATCCCTTTGCTTTGGTAGAGTCTATCCACACTCTCTAACACGCAGCATGCACGCGAAGCCCCCTCCCTCGGTCAGCAAGCCGTCAGCTACTGTCCGTGTCTCTCTGGTTGCCTGGCTGTGTCTCCTCTGGCCCTTCTCGCCCGTCACGCTGCTTTCTGGCGAATTGCGATGAGAGGAAACGCTCCATCCAGAAGGGGGACAGGATTGGCGACGCCCTATCCCCCTCCTGCTGGCACGCCCAGCAGGTGACGCTGAGTATTTCGACTACATTGTGGTACGATGCGAAGCCGCTCACGCACAGCAGTTGGTTTGATGTAATGACAAGGACCATGGTGTTGTTGTGTCCCAACAGGTGGTCATCGTGTGTGGATGGATTCATCGTCACTATCATATATCTTGGTCTCATGGACATATGATGGTAGAATCGGCTGCATGTCATATATTCTGAAGTCGTATATCGCGAAGCTGCCGGAATGTCTCTCACAGAACATCCTCCTTGCCTTTCTCGAATAGCATCTGAGGACACGCACACAAATCACCCATTGCGCGACCGAACACCCTTTGCATGCACTTACATTCAACTTCATTTGTGTCCGGTTCGCCATGATGGTCTCCAGCTGATCCTGGACGAACCCCCATAACTGCGACAAGGGAGTCATTCCCACATTGTTGCAATGACCGCGTTGGCGTACCTTTGTCTTCCACTTCTCTGCTTTTGACCGACTAACACGGCCACTAGCGGGCACCTCCAAAAGTCCCCGGGCTTTCTTCTCTTCTCTAACGCTAAGCGCGATCATGCCCATCCTCCACTGACAAGACAAGCACATAGATTGTCCTCCCACATAGCACCTTCCTGCCCGTAGTACCTCTTCCTTCCACAATTCCGCCTGCAGACACATCACCGCATGCCAGAACACAGCGATACCGTGTGGCTCGAGGTCGACAGCCAAGGTGAGCGCGATTTCGAGCCCATGGATGTCGCAGTCACCGAAGTGGAAGACCTGTACACGAAGCAGGACACACACACCGAATGGGTCTCGTTTGCGTGTGTGTCCCGTTATGTGTGTCACTGTGTATCGTGTTAGGTGTATCTCGCTCACCGCTACTCGTACTTCTTTGGATATGGCTGTGAGTAACAAGCGAACAGCGTCGCCCGGCATGCCCTTGGCTGAGTAAAGACGCCCATGGCGCAGGCAATCGCTCACTCCTTTTCTTCATCTATACTTGCGATGACTATGTCGAAGAGGCCCATCTGGTACACCTGGCCCCCCGCTGCCTCGGTCTCAGTAGTGGCGACCGTCACGCGCCGACCGTCCAGCCAGTTGCGCAGCCCCTCAGAAAAATGGCCCACCAGACCTATGTCACCTGGACATGCAAAAGATACGAGCGACACCTGGTTGGCCTCTCCGGTCGGTTACTGGCTCGTACCTGTGGACATCGCGTCGGTGAGCGGTGTGCCCTTGGGTTTGTCCGGCGTGACGAATCCCTCGGAGTCTTCTGCTTTGATATTGATGGCAGTGGACCAGATGAGGGCCCTGCTGGCTGAAGAGAGGCCTAACTGATGCGCCATGGCCCCGGTGAAGCGCCCGACACCTGGCACAGATACACATCGCCACCACATGACCAGCATATGGATACTGACACGTCGGACACTTACCGTTCTTGAATGACTTCAGATCGCTCTCGAAGTTCCGGGAAGGGAATAGCCCCTTCATACGATACCCTAGCTGCCGACGATGTGCCGTCTCTTGAGACAACAACGCATCCACGATCGTCAGTTCTGCAGACAATACCCACAACGAAGTGGCGCTGCCCCGTCTATCATTTCGGTTTCTCACTCACGCGAAAAAGAGGATGTTTGTGTCCTTGTCAGTTGGTTCTCGACATTTCCAAAGGCTGAAGCCGCAGCTGCCGCAGCAGAAGGCGCGGCCTCGGCCTTGCCCGCCTGCACTCATTCAACGCGGATGGAGAGGGGGATGTGCCGGGTGTTCTGTTTGTGTGTGCACAGTGGATGCCTGACCTGCTGCGTGGGTTTGTGTGCTTTCTTGCGCTCCCCGTCTTCGTCGCCCTCATCACTATCCTGCATCCATCGCATGGCGGCCCATTCACACACACATCGAGTCGTGCCGTCCCATCTCTCTCAACTCCTCTCTATATATCACTGTGTCTGACCTCCTCACTCTCATCATCGTCGTCATCGTAGTCTGAGTCGCCCTCGTCGTCATCGTCGTCGACCTCCTCGTCACCCAAGGCGGCCGCCTTGGCGAGATAGTTGTCAATGCCCCGCTGTCTCTGATCGCGTCCGTGAGCGGATGTGTCGAGATCCGCTGGCTCCTCCTTGACCGCACAAACCAGACGGACAATAATGGGCGACGTCAGTCCCATTCACGTCTGTGTACTTGTCTTCCCACTGACCTCGGTCTTCGTCTTCTTGCGGGGTCGCTGCTGCGGCCCCTCCGCACTGCTCCCCGTCCGACGGGACACAAAGCCATCCAGACACCGGCGCACCCACGGCGACAGAGTAGAGGGATCCAGACCCACAGGATAGTCACCGATCGCCAAGAACGCGACGGCGACGGCGGGGATGAGGGCAAGACGCACACGCGCTTGATCACGCTCTGCAGATAAGCAAATGGATGCTCAATGTGGATGGATGCTCAGTGTGAGCAGACCCACAGACCTTCCGGCGTTCGCTTGCGCAGAAGACCCTTGCCGTCGGGCAGGGCGTCCTTCAATCGGTCTCCCAGGTTAGACAGACCCTCGATCGTGTACACGGCCACCATCTCGTGCCACTCCCTCAGGAGGTCCTCACCCTCCTTATGGCTGAGCTCACTCGCCGCCGCCTCCACCTTGGGGGTCAACTCAGGCTGCAGGCACGACAGCGGACCTCGCGAATCTCTGTACATGAGAGCTTGAGGTGACCGCAGCGCGTACCAGTGCGTGTAGCGGGTATGTGTCGGCTGCGCGTGTCCCCCGGGGCATCGTGTAGACGAGCCGCACGACCCTCTTGACGAATAGGCCGCTCTCCTTATCCCACTTGTATGGGGCGGTCGCGGGTACTTCGGGATCTGCACCGTCACTGCGCGCACAGAGGAAGAGCATCTTTGCTCGTACGTCAGCATGATGTGTGTGCCTCACTTGAGATTGAGGATGCACCTCTTGAGATACGCTGGCACGTCCGGATACCCTTCAGCGAGGAGGCTGAGATGTGCGGAGATCGGCGCGCACCTCCTCGGCAGCCAAAGCCAAGAGTCTCGAGAGCAAGTCAGGCAGGTAGCCAGATGCATCCGGCAACGACAGACACGTAGCAAAAGCGGAATTGTGGTCATGTGGCTCGTTCCCCGGCACCTCATCTGGTCGATTGGTTCGAGCTTGCTGAAGAGCGCCTACGAAGATCGCTCTGTGGTCCTTCTCAACCTCCAGCGTCTGCCACGACTCTTCGCTAGTCATTCTTGCTCTTCACGGCGAGCTTAGCGAGCTAGCCTCTGGATTTACGATTTGGCGCGATTCATCTTTGCATTTCGCCAGCATGCAGGCCGCCGGCGGACAGCCAGCTAGGCGTCTACACCGCAAGCTCAGGCTTGGCGATAGTCCATCTGCCCGCAGGCCTGACAACGCAAACAATCGCATGGGTGTGGAGGGCGGGGAGGCCGCTGCTGCGCCGAAACGTAAGGCTGAGGCAGAGGTTGTGAGGATGGAGGTGGCCGTTGACAAAATTCACATGCATCACACCGACGGTGAGGGCGAATCGGTGGAAAAATCCATCTGTGGGGCATGGGCGACGATGGATGTGTGTGTGCAGCCGACGGCGGTGGCGAGGTTGGAGGCGACAACTTCGACACATCCATCGCCGCGCGTCTCAAGAGGCGCAGAGCCATCTCCGACCACGTCGCCAAGAGTGCCGCCAAGGAGAAGGCCAAGCAGGAGCCCACGCCAGGTGACCACACAGAATGGTGCAGTGACATCTTCGGGATACATGTTTGCTCTCTTTGGTTTGATTGATGTGTTAGAGTTGCCGCAGCGGACTGAGGCGGACCGTCGACCCGCCGGCAATCCACAGTACGCCAGTAATCCCACGTGGGATGCCGCTGCGGGCCCCAGCGAGGGTAAGACGACGATCAAAGTGGCCCACTACCAGTCCGAGGTCCCAAACTGCACGTACCACGTGGGCCGGCACTCCTGGGTGGCGCGGCCGCCCGTAATCAACGGCAAACGACCAGCGGGGAGCAAGGCGTTCAGCATCGACAAACTCGGGGAGCAGGCGGCCAGGGTTCGCGTGAGGGAGGGGAGAGAAAGGAGGGTGCGCAGATGTGTGCATCTGGTTCAGGATGGGGCGGAGGACTACACACGGCAGCTCGAGCTCAAGCACCGCCAGACAGCACCACAGAATGGCGGCAGGCCTGGCATGCGGCGGGCAACACAGGATGGTGGCCCCGTGTGTCACACGCCTGGGGTGACGTGGGAGCGCAACAAGAAGATTTGGCGCGTCACATGGCAACAGAACGGCTCTCAACGGGAGGTGACCGTCAACCCCCGCCACCACGGCAACAGCGTCGAGCAGGCGATGAACCACGCGATCTCAACACGGGCGGAGAAGGTGAGCTGACGCAGGGAGATTTGTGGTGTGAGGGCGATGGACATGTGTGTGTGCATATCAGGAGAGGACGTATGAATTCCACGAGTAACCGGTACATAACCGGTCCAAGTGATCCCACAACCCAACAACGGAGACACACTCGGTCGACCACCAAACACACACAGACCAGACCCCAGTCCGTCCCGCACAGAGACAGACCAGTGCTATCGAAGGCCGTGTTGTATGTCCGCCTGCCTGCATCCATGGACTTTCGTCTTGCTTGTGTGAATGGACGGTTCAATCAACTGGTATATCGAATGGGCTGGGTCTGTATCGGTCAACGAATGCATCAATCAAGGGCAGACAGACATGTATGTGTCTTGTGTTGCATTGCTTTGCTGCACACATTCAAACCAACGCAACAAAGCGCGACAAGTCGATTTCTGCGGCACATGTTCAGCTCCAGTATATGGGTTCCCTCACCTTGGCGACGAAATCGGTCGACAGCGCAGCGGTGAAGATGGGGCCTGTTGCGAAGATCACTGTCCAGTAGACCCATGGCGATGACTGCACCCTCCCATCAACGCTGCACAAAGACGAATCGACAAAGACAAACAGAAAGTGAGCCACAGGGATGACAACACCAAGAGGCTCACGCACTCGGCAGCGTCCATGCTTCTCCGAACACCTTTCAGGACGACATCGTGAAGCGTATATGCCACGAGCGAATGCGTCCCCCATCTCGTCATGCGGGAAGGCCAACGGGGCACGAACACACAGATCGACACAGCCAGCACACTCGCCAGCTGACGAATGACAGACAGAGATACGAACCGTCCATCATGCTTTCACGCGCGGGCTTACAATAAACTGCGCGACGGCTTTTCTGCCCCAGACGAGGTAGTATTCCAGTTTTGCTCCAGAGGAGAAGTGTTCGCGCAGTGGGTCATCGAGCGGCGGGCTGCAGCACTGCTGGTAGGAGGCTGATTGCATATACGGGTGGAGCTCCTGCTTAAAGAAATGCCGAAATGCGGGCGATAGCAGCGTTAGGCAAATGTAGACCTTCAGAAACACCACCCCGCCTAGCTGCAGCCATCCCTGCACACGGAATTCACCGGGAAGGATGCACACGAGCACATTCCCATCCACCGGTTAGAATACGTACCATTCGGGTGTGTTGCTCGACGGCCCTGTGCAGTGTCCGTGGGGGCGTGATGAGGCCCATGGCGAAGTAGGGGAGGAAGTGCAGCCCCATGCTCAACCACCATATCACCGGCGAGGGTTTGACATTCCAGGCATAGGGGAAGAACAAAGAGATGCTCAGACACGTCGATATCACATACCTGCAAAAAAGAGGAGAGAGGAAACACAACAGCTTGCTTACCTTCCCGACACCAATGGCTCATTCAGGCATGCGGACGTACGTACGTTCGTTTGAAGAGCAGCAGTGCTGGTGCGAGCAGCCTCCACATGACGAGAGAGCCGAGGTACCACAGGTGATGTGATGGACGCTCAGCACCCGCATAGCTGACATACACCATGTAAAGGATGAGAGGGAGAGGAGGCATCAGATGCGTGTTTTGTGTGTGTCTCACCATTGTGCAAACGTGACAAGGTCCTTGGCTCTCACAGAAAAGGGAAGACAATGCGCCAACACCTACAGCACATGAAGTTCATTCCACGTCAGCGGTCACAACAAACCATTTCACCTACTGTGAGCTCGGTGACGAGCCAGAAGGGGACGATAAGAGAGCTGACCACACGAAACAGCCGCTGGGGGGCGAGGGCGCCCTTTGAGCAATAGCCGCTGGTAAAAGCATACATAGCGATGCACGGGGGGTTCAGCACCATCTCACGGAAGCCTGGCACCCAACTGACACGTACAGGCAGAAATGGGCGTGGGTACGGTGTGCCGGGTGCGGAGATGAATGAATGTCCATTCACCTCCATTCGTTCTCAAACGGGAAAGCGTAGAATGGCGACACGTAGTGAGAGGAAACCACCAGACACTGCAAGAGGACACCATCGCCTAGATGAATGCGCTTGCATCTCTCTACTGACCTGTGCGATGTATTTGAGGTTGTCGAGGTACGGCAGCCGCTTCCTCTCTGCCCCGTCATCACCTGATAGGGTCTCTGTGTCACTGGCTCCAAGCAGCGACCTGAATGGTTTCTCGTCTCCACCTCCTTCTGTGGCCGGCCTCTCCTCCTCTGCACGACACGCACACAGAGACTAGAGGGCACATCAGACAAGATCTTTCGCGCTGGTCTGGTGTGGTGTCCTACCCAGGAGCTTCCCGGCAATGAATGGGACGGCGAGGACAACGCAGCCCAGAACGGCGCACACAACGGATGCTGGTGTGACTTGGCCAAGTGCTGCCATGGGGCGGCAGGGAAGGTCAAAAAGCGGCGGGTGTAAACTTCTGAGCGCGTAAACTTCTGGGGAGGGGAGTAACAACGAAGGGCCGGGAATTGAGCCGATTGAATGGAGGAGACGATGCTACTCATCAATTCACACTTTCTGGCCGAAGGCACTCTCATATCCACTGACTCATATCAACAACAAGCACCACCATCCTCTTAACCACGGATATTTCGTCAGCGCTGAACTCGTGCGGAGAGGTGCGTGCGTCAAGCAAGACGCACGCACCTCTCCGCACGAGTTCACGGATGATGAGATATCCGTGGTCGAGAGGATGGGATTCAATCGACCTTCCAAACACACACCAAGGAACAAACCATCGCTCCATCTTCCCTTGGGTCTTGGTCAGAAGATGCTCAGCAGCCCTTTGCCCACACCCTCTCTCTCGGCGATCGCCTCGGCCTCCCTCCGGCTCAGCTCACTGGCCGACCGATGCACCACTTTGGCGGGCCCAATGGGTCGGTATTTGGCCACCTGCCAGTCGTCCGGGTAGGTGCGGAAGAGCACACAGTCGTTGAATTTGCTGTCCTTGCCCTTGCCCTCGAACAAAAACTTGAGGTTGAAGATGGGCGTGAAGGTCGACCGAAAGTACTCGAGCTCGTCGGCAGTGAGCTGTCCTTCAGACACCTTGTCCTGCACACACCGAACCGCACGCATCCACACACAACAGAAGCAGCCACAGACAGAGAGAGAGGTGCGTGTGGTGGGTGTGGTGGGTGTAGCTGTCAGGAATGGCTCACATCTAGCCGTGCGTTGAGGAGGATGATCATGGTCTCGAGGCCCCTGCTGCGCGAGATCTTCTCCACCTGCCGCAGCTCGGCCGCACCAGGGGATACCACAAGCAACACCTGATTGAATGTGACCATCCACACTCACACCAACATCCCTCTCCGTCCCTCCTTCTCGCTCTCTCACCTCAGTGTCCTCAGGGATCTCTCCCGGCGGCACCACCATCGATGTCCCGCCCCTCTCCTTCTTGCCCTTGGCCTGCTTCCGCCGGTCAGCGCGCCTTGGGCGAGTCATGCCATAGACGGCATTCACACGGAAGTCCTCATCTTTCCACACCTCGATGGCCTCCTGGGCCTCCTCATCGGTCGGGAAGGCCACCGAGATGGCGTCCTCTATCTGACCCCATAGCTCGATGAAGACCCTCGCCAACTCACGGCTGGACCGCCGCATGTTGGCATCGGATCGCTTGCTGCCGGCCGGCGACTCATCGTCTATCTTGGAACCTGCACACACACGGAACACATGCACACGGCATGTCAGCTGCAGTGACCCATCCACCCGCGTGTGTGCACCCACCTTGCTTCTCAATTCCGAAGATGGCATATTTTGGCAGTTCGACGTCCATTCGCGAGATCTGTGCTTGGCACCCGGCCTGCACTGCCTTGCCGAGCTGGGACACCGTGTCCTTAATGTCCCGCGGGACGGACATAGATAGCCTGTGTGCTCGACGCCTCCTGATGGGACCATGAGACCGTTGACAGAGCGCATCGGAGGGGACGAGGAAGGAGGGCTGGGGATGCGCCTCTGTGCTGCATTGGCCGACCGCAGCGATGAGTTGCAGCATCACCAGAGGGACGAATACAAGATCACGCGGCAGGTGAATCATTGTGGCCACAGATCCACGTCAGACATCCGTCTGACTCACTTTAACGCATAGATCTTGCCCTTTGTTACCCACATAGATTGGCAGAAAGTCCGAACTTCCCAAAGGGTTTCTGGGGTTGCAGGGTATCAAACCCAGAAAGCGATGGGTGCAGACCACACACCTCGGTCTCTATTGTCTGTCCTCTCGTCCGATCATCATGAGACACACAAACAAAAACAGAAACACAAACACACGCACAACACGCAGAGAGAGAGAGGCATCGACTGTATCAACTCCCCCAGAAGAAGCAAAAACCCAATTAATCCTCGATGTATTGCCGATCCAGCCATTCATTGCCTGGAGAGAGAGGGGGGCCATGGCCATGGGTGCATGGCATAGACGTGCGTATGTACACTGTAGAAGTGTGTGTGTACAGACATACAAATAAGTATAGAAGACATTCAGAGCTATAGAGACAGGGCAGCGGAGATGGACCACAGGCGTATGTGAATCTCACCCCACCCACCTCATGCGGCAGCCATCACATGTATCTGCACAGCATCAGCAAGGACAAACACCGACTGTCTGAGTGCACACATTCAGAGAGAGAGAGACAGATATCAGCCGCCAGCCACCACGTGCAACAAACACCAACAAAACCACCGACCGCTCAGCCGATCGATGCAGTCAATCATTCAGGCATTCAGTCAGTCAGGCAGACGGCGAGAGAGAGGCAAAACATACAGACTGACATGACAATCAGCCACTGATAAATGTATGCATGTGTCCATCAGGCAGATCGACAGAGAGTAACCAGTCGGAGAACCCAACACGCACCATTGAAGCCATCTATGTGACCGCCAGTGCCCCTCCCACTGTCACCACCACCGCCCAACCTGAGACACACATGGAAAGACAGACACCATTGTGGTCGTCGTGTGTGTGTGAGCATCTTCTGCTCGTGTCGTGTCAGTCGTGTTTTATGCGAACATACCTCACCTGTCTATTGGTCCCCAGCACCACACGCGCCAGCCGAGTGGTCTCCGGGAAGCGGTCCTTAAAGGCGCCACCAACATCATACACAGCCGACTCGGTGGTGTGGACCTGGACACGCACTGCGAACAGTGACAGGAGAAGACAGCGCATGAGAGTGAGTGCAGGGTGTTCCTGTTTGCTTTGTACCCTCCCTCCTCTTTTGTTGTACCGCGCTGGGCTGACCGGTGTTTATGTATTCGCTCCCGATGATGTAGATCGATGCCACGAATGAGTGGCTGGCGCCGGTCAGGACGAGTTGACGATGAGTGTGGCCGCCAGGGTTGCGGCGTGATGCAGTTGTGGTACATCCCTCCACTGATGTGTGGGGGGACTGTGTCATGATGGTATCCAGCTGGTTGTTGTCGACATGCCTGACACACACACATAACACACACTCGTCTGTCGTGACAATGCCCATACAGAGTGATGCCCTGCATCACCTGTCGATCATATGGTTAGTGCTGTTGATTTGGTGAGTCCTCCTAAAGTGGCGGAGGACGACGGGCCTTGACAAATGACGATACTGACGAGGAGATTCAAGGCAACGCCAGCTGCGCCCATCCCGCGGACGGCCGATATTCGATGTTGCTGCGGACGGGCGGGTCGTGCGGCTGTCGGTGCTGTTGGTAGAGGTGGTTGGGAGGGAGGGTCTGGTCGGTGTCGATCTCGGGGATGGTCATCTCGAAGCCGTCCTCGTCCTTGACGGCCCGCAGTGTGTCGCCGTGCTGGAACAGCTGGAAGGCCACGCCGTCGCCGAAGTGGATGTGGGGGCCGACCATCTTGAGCTGAGCCAACACGCAGGGATCGGCCAAATACGCCTGCACACACAACATATCAACACACCACACACCGATTGAGAGCCATCCTTTCTCCCTCCCTCCCTCCCTCGGTTGGCTTACCGTCGTGTTTGGGTATTGGTGCAGATCGTCACTAGTGAGCCTCACAGGCAGCTGGCAGCTGCCGCACTGCCCCGCCAGCTCGATCGCCCCGCCCATCTCATCCCAGCCGCCCGCCTCAAATCACACACAGCGCCGCCGGCAGGTCACCCACACCCAGCTGCTGCTGGTCGAAGGTCAGCAGCTGCTGTCCGTTGGCCGTCCGTCGCAGCCCCGCCTCTGCGCTGAGCGAATGGGTGAGCCGCTGCTGCAGCTGAGGCGCTCCGAAGAGGCCTCTGGCCCAGCTGCAGGACTTCCTCAGACGCAGCACATCCTGCAGCGGAAAATCGCTGCCGCGCTGGGCGAGGACGTACCATACGGGGTGCTGCTGCTGCTGCTGCTGGGGGTGCTGGATGCCCGTGGAGGCGGCAGCTGCACAACCCGGACCAACCGACCCACCTGAAGGCACCACACAGCACAGCACAGGACAGTAATTACGATATGCAGTCCACCAACAGCAGCTGATGCTTTGCGTACCTCCGCTATGCCCACCACTATCAGCAGCATGGCTGATGTCTACGCGTCTACGCTTCTTGGCGCCGCCGTCATCAGCAGGCACCTGACCAGCAAATGATCCACATACATGAGCTCCTGTGGGTGTGGGTGTGAACTTGTGCATACCGCTCTGCCCTGCTGTGCATTGTTGTCGGTCTCGTTCGGTCCCACAGCACCGCCAGCAGCCATGCGCTAAGACGGACACACACAAGAAAGGGATTGACCGGCCTGTGTGTGCCATTCAGTCATTGATCATTCCATCCATTCTCACATGTGTGTTGCAGTCAGTGGCGATCTGCGCCAGCTGCTTGCCGAGGGCCGAGTGGGTATCGCTGAGAGTCTCCAGAACGGTCGACAGGCTGCCGTCCACCATCTCACCTTCCTGCAACAAAGGCAGAAAGACGGGCTGGCCAGTGAGTGCAGCAGCTCGGCCGTGCGGTCTCTGTGACGACCTGTTTGTTGTCGGTATGTGTGGCTATCATCTGTTCGGCCAGATCAACACCAGACAGAAAACTAGAGGCATCCTGAAAGCCAGGAGCGGCGCAGCAATGTCAGTGTGGATCCCTCCCCTTCTCCCTCCCCATCTCACCGAGCGCATCGCGCGGATCTTCTGCAGAAGGTCACCACCGCTACCACCGCCACTCCCACCTGTGTGTCACATTCCCGTCAGGCAATGAATGACACACAAACGGGTCGCGCCACGTCCATCAGTCAATTGTGTGGTTACACTGCATGTGCTCTCCATCCATTCACCGCTCACCTCTGGTGGACGGCGCCGGGCCGTCACCGTCATTGTTTGTGTCCATCGGGAGAACACGCTCACCTACCTGCACCCACCGAAGAGCCAACAACACACAGAAAGGAAATGCGATGAGCGCACCAACAAACCCTCTGTGATTGTCTGTGTGTATTTTGTGCTCTGAGTTCGTAGGGCGGCGGCTTACTGCTTGGATTCCGGCGGCAGCCTCCCAGCTGGCACCGACGAGTCATCAATGGGCTGGCAGGCCCGCCACAACTACAAAACCTCTCACTCACGCCGTCATCAAATCTGACACGGAGGCCACACACACGGGTAGTGGTGAAGGGACGGGAGGGCATGTGTGTGTTTTCGTTTTGTTGTTTCCTCGCCTGATCTACCTGCCTGCCCTTCTGACTGCATCCAGTGCTTTGTCACTGAGTGTTCTATTGCTGGTCGCTGATGGACTTAAGTGCATATGCCTACCGATGATAATAACTTGAGGCATCACTCCCCCAGCCTGGTGCTTTTGGGGGGTCGTGAACTCACTATTGGCAGACCGAACTTCCCAAAGGGTTTCTGGGGTTGCAGGGTATGAAACCCAGAAAGGCAAGCTCTCAATCGGAAGGGATGAGGGGTTGGAGATCGTCGCCAGATGCTGAGGCTCTTTGCCACGGCACTTAAAATCTCTGAAAACTGCTGAAATGATTCATGATCTCTCAACGGCAAGACTCGGTTGATGAAGGAGCGCTGCGGCCACAGATTCCTTTGCCGCCCACTCACATGGCCGCTGCAGCGGCAGATGGCCACACCGCATCGCCCTGTCCACACCTCCACTGGCCCTCCATCTGCCACATCAACGGCCGACCAAGACGTGCCGCCCGCAATGAAGCGCCGCAAGCCCCTCACTGTGAGCCAGCTGCGCCGACGGCTCTACCCCTACGGACTCTTCCGGCTCCGCTCCACCAGCGAGATTCCTTCCCTGACCTGCAGGCAGCTCACTGAAGTGGTGCAACAGGCCATGGAGAACAGCGTCCCCGACGGACCATTCTGGCGGCTGCTGTGCCTGCGGGCTCGGTTCCTGGTCGGGCTGCTGTCGCCCAAGGAGATGACCGCATTCCTCAGTGCGCTGGTGGCCATCGACAGGGCGGAGAGTGAGTTCCTGCGGTCGGCTGTGCCGCACTTGTGCGAGCAGCTGCCGAGCTACTCGCTGGGGCAGATGGCCGATGTGCTGTATGCCTATGGGAAGCTGGGCGGGCCGTCCAACGAGCTGGTGGAGGCCACTGGCCGCATTTTGCCGTCCAAGATCAAATTCATGAGAGAGAAGACGCTCGTCAAGCTGCTCGATGCCTACAAGTGGGCATGACAACGATGCCTCCCTCCTCTCGTATTGTCGGCATGTGTTGTGTTTGTGTGGCTGGCTGGCTGGTTTGTTGGTGCATTAGGTTGCTGGGTGTGGTTGACGACAATGTGTTTCCCCTGCTGTATGACTTCATGTGCGTCAAGCGGCGGCACTTCACGCCTCAGCAGCTGGTGTGTGTGGTGGAGAGCATGGCGGCCCTCAATGCCAGACACAGACCCACCCTGGCGGCACTCACTGAAGGTACCAGAGGGCACAGACAGCTTGATGCATCAAGCCGCATGACACGAGAGGCCGCCTGTTGTTTCAGTGCTAGCGGCGTATGAGAACCTCGAGCGTCTGACGCTTGACGAACTATCTGTGAGGACAGGACAGCCCAAATGCAGTGAGTGCTGCACCAATCACCATGACGTGGATTCATTTGTGTCAGGTTCTGCTGCACTCCTACGCCTCGCTGCAGATCTACAGCAACAGCCTCTTCCGCGGCGCAATGAAGGCGCTATGTGTGGCGTCGACCTTCCCCCCCACTCTCCCCCAGCCACCCACGCCCGCCCCCTCTCTCCCATCGCCATCCATATTCGCATTGCCCTCCCCATCTGCGCCAGCAGCCGATGACAGCACCCTGACCGTTGTCGACATGACTGCTGATGAGCGGGCCAGGGAGAGGCGTGTTGGTGTTGGGCTGGAGGTCATCGAGGATGTGGCCGATGCGCTGCCGAAGGGCAACAAGAAGCCTGAGGTGGGGACAGATGTGGGCGGGAGCGTGGGCATGTCGACGACCGTTGGGAGGGAGGCCGCGGTGATGGCGTACGTGGGCGACGGCAAGACGGATGCACTGCTCGGGGTCAGTCCGAGCACTGCAGTGCCTGTACAGAGGTGGGTAACGACTTCACTTAGATGTATGTCACGGGCATGATATTGGTTTGTGCTCTGTGCTCTGCTGGGTGACTGACAGTGTGACGCGTTTTCTGGAGACGTGGGCCAAGGTCAACTACTGGCGGGCCCCTCTCCTGCGACCTCTCCTCCCACTGTGCATGGTATCTCCGCACACAAGAACAAATGAAGAAACTACTCGCCCCACAGCTGCGCTCCTTCTTTTCTCTGTGTCGTGTCAGTCTCGCCTTGCCCAGCTGCCCCCAGCCACTTTGGCCCTGCTGATCGGCGGTGCAGTACGGTGCGGCATCCACAGCCACGCACTCTGGCGGCGGCTGCTGGACGCCCTCCCCACACACATGCAGCACATGCGGCCGCAATCGCTGCTGCTCATCCTGTCGTCTATCCGGCGCCACGCACAAGTGGCGGCAGTCTACACACAGGCGATTGACCGGGCCCCCAGCAGCGGCAGCAAGGCGATGGTCACAAGGCAGCAGAGGGGAGGTGAAGGCAGCAATGCTCTGGTGGGTGTGGGTGTTGATGGTGGTGCGTCGATCGGTGTGGCTGCCGCCCGTGACGTTGGCTTGATGGTGGAGTATTTAGTGGAGGGTGTCAATATCGTGCTCGAGTGGGTGCACAAGCGGATCGACGCCATGACCGAGCAGGAGCTCATCAAGACAGCCACAGAGATGCACGGTCAGTGACGGCAGCACAAACTCAATGCTGCATCCTCAGCCTGTGTCTTGTTTCGCTTGCAGCTTTGCTGTCTGCGATGCGTGACGTCGGTCGTCATGTGGGGGGTGATGGTGCTGGAAATGACAGCGAGGAGCGGTGGGCGCGTGAGCGCAACCGCTCTGTCGTCAGCCACCTGGCATTCAGGATGGCACTCAAACGAGCTGACAACACGGCACTGCGGTCAGCCAATAAACACTGAACGGGGCTGGGCAAGGCCGTCGTCATAAAAATACTCTTTTTTCTCTGTGTGCGTTGTATGCAGCGACCGATTGCCGCGTGAGTCGTTGGATCGTGGTGTCCTCCGCGACGACCACGCCAAGGCTCTGCTATCCGGCCGCTTCGACCCCTCTCGGCCCTTCCCCTCTCTCACAGCATTCGCCATGCTCATTCAGCTTCCCCAAAGACAGAAGCCACACCGCAGCAAGAGCCGCAGCAGCTCGGCTGACGGCAGTACGGGCGATGTGTGTTCGTATGTGGAGGTTGTGGGTTTGCCTGAGGACTATGCGGCTGGTCCTCTGGTGCGCATGTGTCGTGAGCATGAGGTGGATGTGTTCAAGACGTACGTGCGGTGGCTGGAGGCACTGCTACAGAGGGATGTCAGCAAGACCAAGAGGGGCGACTCCCCAGATAATGGACTTGTTGGACGAGAGCAGTCTCGTGCAGCATCTGATGCGAGAGAGGCGGGGGGTGCAGATCGGCTGAGAGGGAGGACGCATGACAGTGAGAGTGGGACTGGCGGTGGGGTTGATGGTGGGGTGGGCAAGAGGGAGAGGAGGCGGCGAAGGGAGCGGCACAAGTGGGATGCCGATGACAGGACGCTGGGCAACATGAAGGTAGCGAGGAAGGTCTTCTAGACAGGTCTGTTGCTTGAAAGACGCTGTCTGCGTATTCTATCCTTTTCACAAATTGAGCCGCGTTAACGCGTTCATTCAGTCGGACTGAATGGACGCCTTAGCGCTGCTCAGTTCGTGAAGAGAGTAGATCTACGTTCCTGGCACACCGTGACGATCTGTGAGTCAGTCAGTGGCTTCACACAGCCATTTGGAATGCGTTCAGTCGCCCCTTCCTGTCCATACCCTTTTTGCGATCGCGAGCTGGGGAATGCGATGGCTTCTGTGGCATTTTGTCACTTGTGTGTTGGGTGCATGTGCTCACAAGCAGCCTGCGCGTCTTGCCTTTCATCCTCCCGTCAAGCTTGACACAGCCGGCAGATCTGCGGCGCTCCAGGGGCATCGCGCATCCGTGACACACCGCACCGCCAGACGGCGCAGATCCACCGCCAACATGGACGATCAAATGGAGGAGGTAAGCGCCACGGGGCGAATCCACTGAGTGCTCATCGGTGTTCTGTGTTCTGTGTTCTGTGTGGTGTTTCAGTACCGCAAGCGGCAGCGTGAGCAGTACCAAAAGCGGCAGCAGGACGGCACCGAACAGACGGAGGCTCCTGCTGGTGAGGCCGCCAAGGCACCCAAAGCGCCGCGCAAAGATGCGGACGAGACGGCCGGTGCTGCAGATGAGAAGGGCAACAGCGGCCAGGTGTCTGCGGCTGCTGCAGCGGATTTGGTGGAGGCAAGTGTGCAGGATGCTGGTGCTGCATCGTCGTCGGCTGGCGCATCTGCGGGGACAGGGGCGAGCCCGCCCTCCGGGTCGCTGAAACTGGTCACCTGGTATGTGCGACAGAGGGGAGGGAGGGGAAGGAGGGAGCAGTGTGCTTTGCGTATCCTTTATGGTGTTGGTCTGTACGTGTGTGTGTGGTTTGTTTGCAGGAATGTGGATGGTTTGGATGAGGGTCAGATCCAGCTGCGGCACACGGCACTGGCCGACTGGATCAAGACTCACAAACCCGACATCGTCTACCTACAGGAAGTCGTCTACCCGACGCTGGTGCGATACACAAACACACACACGAGAGGCACGCACACTCATCATGTGTTGACGCATCCGTGTGTTGGTGGCCATGTGTGTGAGCATCCCTCTCCCTCTCTGCTTTGTGGCTGCAGAGGATTTTGCGCAAGCACCTGACATCGACGTACGACATCATCATACCCACAAACCCACGGTGAGCGACCACCGACTCATCCTTCCAGGCTGAGCGAGCAAGCTGTGTGTTTTGCTCCCTCTCTGTGTCGGTCAGGCCCGACCCGTCCGATATGGAGAGCCTCACGCGCGGCATTCCGTGTGCCTACTTCTGCGCCGTACTGCTCAACAAACAGTCCATCCAAGCATGCGGTGAGCCTGCACGCCCACATACATGCAATGGACTGACACTGTGGTGACCCCTCCCCTCCCTCTCCTTGCTTTAGGTGCCCCTGACAGCAAATGGTACCCCCAGAGCTGCATGATGCGGTCGGTACAGCACACGACACATCACACCACACATCACACACAACACAGCACAAGACGACGTGGTCTAGTGCCGATGCACCACACGCACGGTTCGTTCATGTGTGTCATGGTCACATCGATCAGCCATTTGTTGAGTATTCGGGCTCGGCCGACAGCCGCTAGTGCGAAAGATGCAGAGGTACGGAGACGGAAGCAGCGAGGAGCCGACCAACAGACGTATACCGATCACCTCACTGCGTGTATCGTCCGTGTGTGCAGTTGTTGTTGGGCACGAGCCACCTGGAGAGCACGGCGGAATAGTAAGGCGAGATGGGCGCTGACGGCCTCATGTATGGGTCTGCATGCTTGGGTCTCTTTCATGTCAAACGATGCAGCAAGAACGAGCGTGTGAACCAGCTGTCGATCGTCGCCACCAACATGGAGGGGTGGGTGCGGGGCGGGGCGGGGCGACGAAACATCAAACAGCAAACACACATTTGTGTCTGTAAGTGCGTTCATTCAGTTGGCTGAGCGATCCCGACACGCCAAGTGTGTGTACCGTCATTGTGGGTGGCGACCTCAACCTACGAGACCCCGAAGTCAAAGCCGCAGGTAACACACCACACCCAGTCACATGTCCAGTGGCATCCCCGAGTCCTCGTGTGTGTCTATGTGGTGTGTGTAGGTGTGCCGTCGCACATCCGTGACGTGTGGGAGTTGCTGGGCAAGCCCGACAGCTGCCGATACACGTGGGACATGGCGGCCAACGACAACCTCGTCATGCAGGGCGGCGGCAAACCTCGGTCAGGAGCTTGACGCACTCGTGACCACTAAATGAGAACGCACCACAGCATCTCTCTCTGCCTGTCTTCAGTTGTCGCTTCGACCGTCTGTTCATCGGCCAGCGGCCGCAGGGCAGCGCATCGCCGCCGTCAGGCCGTTATCGGTGGGTGCCGCAGTCGATAGAGATGGTGGGCACCGACCGCCTGTCGAGCTGCGGGCGGTTCATCTCTGACCACTTCGGGCTGCTGGTGAAGCTGGAGTTGGCTGTGCCCACTGAGGGGGGTGAGGGAGGCGGCAGCAAGGGGCAGAAGGCGAAAGCCAAGGCCAAGAAGGGCAAATAGACTAGCCAGCCATGATAGCGTAGGACCAGCAGGCAGCAGTAGGTGGGAGTGACGGACGAGCGGACCGCGCTGCATAGCAATGGCTTCTTCCACGTGTAGAATGAAACACTGAAACAGCGCCATGCTCCGCCGCTACTGAGAAAAATGAGACGGCGAGACGGCGAGAAAAATAGAGACGGAACCCCGCAAACCCAAAAGAGATTTTTTTCCAGTCCGGTTTTCACGCCTTCCTTCTGTTTTCAGGAGGAAAGGCCTCTACCAGGCATCCGTGGTACGCCAGAATGGATCCCAATGTGAGACCCCTGCCCTTCTGCACCGACGGCAGCGCGGCTGACGGACATCAACAAGAGCCAACAATCCCCCTGCCGCCGCGCCGCCAGCTGTGGCCTGCATTGGTTCACTTCTCCTGAAGTGCCAGGTACTGTTCAACTGCCACGCCGAAACGGGAGCCGGTCAGGCAGTGGTTCACGAGAGGGTCTGGAGCAGGTCTGGAGGGCCAAGAGAGCAGCTGTCGGGACCTTCGCAGTCGCCTCCTCAAAACCTCAAGGTGCACGAGGCGCAGGTCCACCCCACCCAATTGAAGCGCAAGGCCGACAACCACAACGGGGCGGGCGAGGCCAAGAAGCCCAGGGCGGCCGGCGCGTGAGGTGGAAGGACGGACTTCAGAGGGGACGAGAGGGGGAGGTGGCGGGAACAAAGAGGAATCTTCAGCACTGCGCAGTCCGGAGGGCATCTGCAATGTGGAAAGCGTCCACCAAGGAAGGGGCCCGTTCGAGATGAGCGATTGCGAGCTGTACCGTCAAACCTCAGGTGGCCGCTGGAGAAAGAAAAACCAAGAGGAGAGGGAGATGGCAGCGGCTGATGCGACGGCGGTGGCCTACAAGGCCGAGTACGAGGGCAAGAAGGCCTTCAAGGCGGCGATGCACCGTCGCGCCGCCCTCAAGAGCGGCCTGCTCATCATCGAGGCCAACGAGGGCGACGCCACGACGTTTTATTGGGTGCGGCTGTGCGAGAGGGGGTCTGGTGGGTGCCGGGGCCGGCTGATAGAGGAGCGGCTGCTGCAGGTGGACCCCTGCCCTCCTGCGCCGACGGCAGCGCGGCTGGCGGACATCAACAAGAGCCTGAAGGTGCGCGAGGTGCAGTCGACCGTAGCCGCCCTCTGCCGCAAGTCCCCGGCCCCACCCAACTGAAGCGCAAGGCCGAGAACAACAACGGGGCGGGCGAGGCCAAGAAGCCCAGGGCGGCCGGCGCGTGAGGTGGCGGGATGGACTTCAGAGGGGACGAGAGGGGGAGGCGGCGGGAAGAGGAATCTTTAGCACTGTGCAGAACACGACGCCGCCTTCCCCAGGGACGGGACAAGTCGGAGGACACGACAGGCGGGCGGGGGATACATGTGTACAATAGCCAGCCGTGTGGCTGCCTGTGTTCCGTTGCGTGTGTGAGGACGGACGGCATAGACAAGCCGTGGGAGTGCGAGTGCGCTGGGCGCATTGCATTGCTGCCTACGTTTTATATCTGCAGGAGTGTTGTGTTGTTTCATCAAAGCGCATGAGACTCAGAAGGGCAGCGAGACACCATCGAGTGAGCCAGTGCGTTGGACGCATACATACGTGACGCCATATATAATAAAAGGGGGTCTGGTCCACACGAGTGTCTACGCACAGTTGCGTAGGCGGCAGACAGACATAAACACACCCATGACAAACGCACGCAGCACAAACTGACTGACAGACAGGCACACAGACAGCTGCGCCGTCTATTCCTTGCCACCACACACACATGGTCTATCTATGTCTGTGCAGCTAGCTATACAGCAACCCTCAACCAGCAGCTACATACATGCCATACCATACATCGCCCACCACTGCACACAGCCCAGGCATAACCACACACGACAGTGGTCAACGCGTCCTCTCAGGTGTCCGTTCATCTCTCTCACTCACCCCCTCCCCCTCCCCAGCCCCCCCTCCCTCACCCTCTGCTACCCACTGCCCATCATCTCCCCCCTCGTCGAAAGGCCTGTCGTATCTACTGAGACGCATCTCGATGTCCGTCTCACCGGCAAGACCGCCCACCTCGCCAACGTCGGACTCGTCAAGCACCTTTGGGCGGCATGTGGGGCAGGTCTGCTCGTTGATGGACAGCTGGATGCCCAGATGAGCGCTCGGGTGCCGACGGTAACTCTCTTCAACCTGATATACCCATCCACACCACACACATGACATGGGGCAACCAACCATGCATCCTCATCCCCCCCTTGTGTGTATGGCGCAGGCATCGCATCACGCAGGCACCTGTGCGACGGTGTCGAATGGTTCCCTGTGCAGTGTGTCGGGTATGCCCAGCAGCAGCAGCACCGCCACACCACCGATAGACCCGAATATCACCAGCGGCAGGGAGGGAAACAGCCACTGACCCAACACAATGATGAAGGGCACCACACACCCCGCTGCATGGCCAGAGAGGCTGGCTGCCCCCACGGCAGCGTTGCGGACCGATGTGGGGAAGAGCTCAGCAGTGTAGAGGTACACTACCGCCAACGCTGCTGCGGCAAACGTCCTGCGACACACATCACATCCGATCAACACACACAAATGGATGCAATCAACGGACAGACGCATCGACCCTGTGTGTTTCTCTTTTTTGTCAGTCAGTTACCTGGCGGCGACGGCCGCTCCAGCGAGGAATGGTCCTCTGGGTATGAAGGGGGTGCAGAAGAAGATTAGAGATGCGATGGTGAGTGAGAAGGACACCACGCCCTTCCGCCCGATGCCGGGGATGTCACTCACACGACATGACGTGAAGTTGGCCACACTCTGAAAACCAACACCGACAGACAGGCGTATGTGCGGGTCCTTGTGCCCCTCGTCCTAGCTATCATATCATATCATATCATATTTGTGTGTGTGTGTACCTCGATGAGTCCAGCAATTGCGATGGCGGCATAGATGTTGCCCCCTAGCTGGCCGATAGCCAGCGTCGGCCCATAGTAGCCTATGCCACAGGCGAACCACACCCACAGCTTGACCCCCGCCCACTCTCTGAGCGGCGTCACGAGCACCAGGCTGCTCATCTCCGCCGGCAGGACGCCCTTGCCCGCCTCTCTCGCCTCCTCCGCACCCCCCAGCTGCTCCAACACTTCTGCCGTCACCTCGGGCGGGAATATCCGCCTGTTCTGCGCCGCCATGTGCTTGAGAGCCAGGAGGGCGTTGTCATAGTCCCTCTGCGACATGAGCCATCGGGGTCCCTCGTGCATGATGGGGGAGAGCCACGCCGCGTAGGTGATCCAGAATCCTGGGAGTGCGATAACGAGCGACAGAAGCCGCCAGGAGAAGATGGTGGATGCGATAAGGGCTAATGAGCAGATGCCCAAAGCAAAGGCCACCGATCCGACGGCAGCGGGCAGAAAGCGATGCCTCTCAGCAACGATCTCCTCACTGCAGTAGGGAAACAGACACACACAAAGGGGATATGATCCTGAATCTCGGTGTGCCTGTGATCCGTTCGGTTCGCTTACACGTGCACAAAGATGACGAGCATGGCGCCACACCCCCCAAAGGCAGTCAAGAATCTGGCGAAGGCGTACATGGCCGGCGAGGCGGCGAATGCACACGTGACAGCAAACAGCTGACACACGGTGCTCCCGAGGGCGAATGCCGTGTGCCTCCCGAATGTGTCGGAGAGGATGCCGAAGGTGAAGACGCCCAGGCAGAAACCCACAAAGTAAAAGGCGTTGATGGTCGACACGGAGAAGAACGTCTCCTTGCAGGCCAAGTCAAATGTGGACACGACGGAAAGCCACGAACTCGAATACCTGCACACAATACACAAGCAATCAGACAGACAGAGGTAGGTGCTGTGTTCCGGTGTGTCTGTCTGCTCCTGCATATTTTCAGATCGATGCATCCTCTGCTTACACGTAAGGCGTGCTGCAGTCCCATGGAGGCAGCCGCTTGCTCGCATCGCACTCAGGCACCACCGTGGCGTTCGTCGCGTTGCTGCTTGATGAGTCATTCCTCGAAACGTCGTCAATCAGCCCCCTTACTCGTAACCTCTCCACAGCCGTCCTCATCTCCCATTCGCCCGTCGTCTGATTACTCCCGCCGCCGCCTCCCTCTGCTGCCGTGACATTCGCAGGTCCCTCCGTCACGTTGGGCGGTGCTGGCGGCAACGTCGGGCTGACAGGCAGTGGCGCAACGGGGGCTGGCGACGGGGCGATGACTGAGCAGTCAGGATATCGCGGTACGTCTTGTGTGGTGAATGTGAGCAGGACGGTGAGAGCGCCGATATAGCTCCACATGATGCAGGAGAGGAAGTAGAGGACGTTCCGCTGGTACTTGCCCCATGAGCCAACCGCCTCCTCCAGCTCCTCAAATGATTGATATGGGGCGCCGGCTGTGTTAGGACGGGGGGAAGGCGCCGCACCAGGTACAGGAACGTGGTCCTCAGGTCTGTTGATGCGCATATCAGCAGCTCCGACAGACGCAAGGAGAGACTATGAACTCGGATGGAGCAGCTTCACCAATGTTTGCCCGGCATATGCGTCTGCCGACTCATTGGCAGCGATGGAAGGCCTCCGGCCTGAATCCCCTTCCAAGCCTCCTCGGCGCTCTCTGCGAGCTTCCTTAAAACGAGGGATGAAACTTGGACTTCGACCAGCCAGGCACCGTAGAGATTGACAACCGACAAGACAACACCTCGGCCCTGAGCCCTCAACTATTCGTCAGCACAAAGCCCACGGCCTTCGCTGAAGCATGGAGCCACTCTTCCCCGACGCCGCTGACCGCGAGAGGCTGCTCAGCCCGCCATCATCCTTCCCTCGACGGAACACGCGACGGCCGACATTTGATGAAATGATGGAGAGAATGGACGGATCCAGTGGAGATGAAGTCAAATGGGGGAGCCCACCCGTGGGGCATGCAGCTGATCAACCGTCCTCAGTCCGACACGTTCGCCGCTACCCTGATGCAGCCGACGGCCACGATGACGATCACGTGGATTTCAACACCCTTATGTCAGCTGTTGGGACGTCTGCGTCGGTCAAGTTTCATGATTCGATGCGGAGTGACGACGGTGAGGGGAGGATCTTCGATAGGGGCAGGTGGGTGTTCCCTGAGAGAAGAAGGAAGACGGCCGTGAGGCGGGATGAGCGGGACGGTGGGAGGGTGCGGCCACCATCGGGCCTTTTGGATAACCAGTCGCCGCTTGTGGGGGTAAGTGAACAGACCCACGGACGAACAGGGCTGGCTCCCCACGAGGTTGATGTGGATATCTGTGTGGTTGTGGTGGCTCCAGAGGCTCGAGGAGGTGGTACAGCTGCTTGCTGTTCTAGCCAACGCCCAGAATCTGCTCAACAACATTCAGCTGAGACACAGACTCCAAGGATCATCGCCTTCTCCAGCAAGGGAGCCAGCACCACCATCCCCCTTGCCGTCGCCCCCACGGCACGCGCAGGCCGTCCAGGCGGACATGAAGGGAGACACGTTACGGAAAGGGACCAGGAAGGGCGGCGCGGCGCTGTCTCCCATACCGTCGTTCGGCACCCTGCCGAGCATGCAGCAGGGCCCACCTGCTGGTCCAAGTGTCAGCCCCGTCTTTGAGGCGTCTCAGGCGTCGCCTTCCCGGCCGCCGTCGCCCCTCACCCACTCGCCGCCTTCTCCCCACATTAACGAAGAGGAGCTGGCTGTGCGTGTAGCCAGCGTGATGCACAAGTTTTGTGAGCAGTTCAACACGTATGCCAAGGAGATAGAGGAGAGGATACGGCTGCTGGACGCTGCTTCCAGGGAGAGGGAGACCAGAGCACGGCATAGGAGACGCAACAGAGGCGATGAGGGCCGCCAGCCGTCATCCAGCGAGGCGTCGACACCGAGACGGCCGCAGCCTCCCCAACCGCAGGCACAGGCACAGCAGCTGCCGTCCGCCCCGCCCCCTCTGTTGGAAGCACCGCCCGAGGGCCCACCTGAGCTGAAAAAGAAGCCACCAGAAGACAAGAAAGAGAAGAAGGAGAAGGGCAAAGAGGGAGAGAGTAGAGAGAGCATCCCCCAGCTGTCTGCCGACGCCAAGGCGATCATCCAAGCCATATTGTCGCGGAACGGGAGGGAGCCTGACGAGGTCGACAAGGCACTGCAGAGGGTGATGGCTTCCATGGCCACGGGGGTACACAGCGCCCCGGACATGCACACGAGGTGAGATGATGGATGGGCCACGCTGCGAGAACAGACTCGCTTATGCGATCTTGGTTTGTCATCAGCATGTCTCGCCCATGCTCGCCTGCCTCGGCTGCTGGGAACACTCAGGCCAGCTGGTCGCAAATCGCACAGGTAAGGCTTGTCCGCATACACGACCACGAAATGCAATATCTATGTATCTGTTCGCTTGGTCGGCTGGCTGGCTGGCTGGCTGGCTGCAGCAACGCCCCGTGAGTCCCTTCAGCGTGCCTGTGGCCCCCTCCACCCCTCCGCACGCAAATGGCGTCATGCCCGTCGAAACATTCAAGGTAAACGGCACCTTGTCTCATCGATCCCTCACCTCAGACCATTCATGTCGCCCTCCCTCTCTGTTTGTCATCTGTTCAGCGTCAAGTGTCGAGTGTGTGGACTGATTCGTCCGCCTCTCCCTCACCCCATCCCCCCCGCCCTCCAAGTGCAGCCATGGCCGTGCCACCAATCCACCCTGCTTACCACTCACACACGCGCCACGGACATGAGGATGTGAGGATGAGACAGCCACCGCCGATGGCCCACAGCCAATATCCTTACCCACGGCCTGAGCCTGTGGACACCAACCGTGTGCTGGAGGACGGACATATGAGGAGAAGCCATGAGAGGGAACCCAGGGAGCCGCCTCTCCCCCCACGGCAGTCCGCCATGTCTTCTCGGCGATCCTTTGTGCCGCAGGACGGCGCTCTGTGGGCGGCATATAACCCCAATCAGGCGAGACGGCAGTCGCCACACAGCTATCAAGAGGGGGAGAGGCTCCAGTCGCCCTCTCCACCCACATCACGAGCTCGTCCATCGGTGGCGTACTCGACAATCCCCACCCCTGCTTCTGCTCCGTCCCCCCCTGTCCGCATGGGTCACGCTATTCCGCCTGCAGTGCTCCCCCAAGACGAGTACTATTCACGGTTCCCCTCTGCTTTGCTCGAGAGTGGCCTGCCCAGCTCCTCAGTGCCGCAGCTTGGGGGAGGGGGGCCGTCCAGCCCGCAGCCTCCCCGCTTTTCTATCGACTCTTCGTTCAGCCCAAGACACTCCCTCGCTCAGCAAGAGACATCCGGCAGCAGGTACTTCTCCGCCATGCCGCGCTATTCCGTGTCGCCCGACAGCAGCGTCAACAGGATGTCGATGGCGAGCAGCAACGTGGTGATGATACCCAGCCGTGGGCCACCCCTTCCTGCCGTCCACCAGCAGAGGCCCAGTCTGGAGCCACACAGGGCGGGTCGGAGCAGCTTACGAGGGTCTGTGGCGTCGCTCATGGCCCCCATATCCCCCCCTGTCCACCGTCCGTCGATCGCTGTGGCCACGCAGGTGTCGGACTTCACCGACACTGAAGAGGAGGCGCCTCTCACAGCCAAGGCCAAGATGCCCCCTGTGTCCAAGGGCGGTGGGGCGCCGCCCCCCTCACCCACAACGCCCTCACCCTCAGTGTCTCCTCCACCATCACCATCCCCCCCACCAGCAAAGAAGGAGGCAGAGGTTAAGAAGCAGCCAGCCCCTCCCAAGAGACCTCCCCCACCAAAGGGCAAACAGGTGGTAGCCAAGAAGAAGGAGGGACAGCCACAGGAAAAGACCGTGAAGGTCACTTAGCGCATGTGCAGTAAGTAGGTCAGTGTGTGGCGTGTCTCGCTAGGTCGAATGTCTGGTGAATGCTGTCATGACTTGAGGCGGTGTTGAGAAGAAAGACTTTTGTATGTGCAGTAAGTCGACTGCGATGACTTTGGTGTGAATGGAATGTTCACTGGCAGCACGTCGGGCATTAATTGTCCCAGGTAGCTGCCCTGCCTCATGGCGTCCGCACCTGGGTCGCGCATTCATCCATAGATAGCTCACATGGTCACTCACAAGATCCACACCGTCACATCACGGCATATTGCTACTATACAAGACGACATGATACCACATGGAACACACACAGAGAGAAAACACACAAGAAGCGCCTCGTTCGTCACACAAGCGTCCTGATGTGCACATCAGCCATGTTCGTCACGAGAGCAGCGGGCGGGAACATCGGGGCGTCAGGGACACGGTGGTGTCCCCAATAGGGCTGGCGAGGGGCTTCTTGGGGAGGCTCAGCCTGCTGGGGGGGTGGCCGGCCATACTGTGAGTAGGGGTGGGGATGGGGGTGTGGGGCAGGTCTGAGCCCAGGTGGCGGCCGCTGGCTGCTCAGCGTCTCCTCAAGCTCTTCCAATGTGACGCCTTGGCGCAGTAAGGCCTCGCGGAGCGCCCTGACAGACACGATGGATGACGGACACAGACAGACAAGGGTGGTCGGCTAATTAATGCAAGTGGTTGTGTTGTGTGCGGCTGGTCTCTCTCGCCTTTGCTGCTTGAAGTTGTTGGCCCAGTACTCGATGGGATCACGGGTGCGGGTGAACACCTACACACAGCAAACACAGCACGGTCGATTCATTCGTGCCTTCGTGAGTGACGTGACGGCATCCATCGTGCTCACCGATGCGGGGAAGAATGTCCGGGCTGATCGGCCGAAGAACATGGCCTCGCCGAGACTGTCCACCATCTATAGACACATCAAGGAAAGGCACGCCGAGTGGTCTGCTCACTTCACCACTTGTCTTTTCTGGTGCCTCCCTCACTGACCTTCCTGTGGCTCTGCAGCTGTGCCCTCTCCGCATAGATGGGCCACACCTCGTTGATGCGCCCCGTCAAGTTCTGCCATGCCATGCAGCAAAGCGGATGACATGAGGGCAACAGACACACCATGCCGCACTTGAACCGTGTGTTGGTTTACCGCGATCCTCTGCTGGTGGGTGGGGTGCGTGTTCATCCACGCAGGGATCACTGACGTCGGGTCTGCATGCCACGCACACACAGACATGCGGACGGCAGGCAGGAAATCGGTAAGAGCATCCACACACACGGCAAATGAATGAGTACAGTGAGGGCATCCATCGTCACTTACCGACTTCGAACTCAGTGTCACCCAGGTCCTGTGGAACGACACGGCGCGACAAAGGACATGTCAGTCACACATACACACACGTGCACCCATCATGTTGTTTCGTTACTTACCATCATGGTCGTCCACAACTTGACGGCTGATAGGGGATTGTACCTGATTGCAATGACACCACACACACACACAGATGTCTGTCGGCAGCCACATCCCTTTTCCCTTGGCCAGCCCACCCTGCCCTGGCCATGAGTTCGACCCCCATGTCATCCGCCTCCTTCTCAAGCCAACGCGAATACGGCAAATCTACACACACACACACACGCACGCACACACACACACGCACGCACGCACACACACAGAGAGAGAGAGAGAGGAATGTACTGCCTCTTTCTTTCTGAGGTTGTGATGTGGCTGACCGGTGAAGAATGTCTGTGCGACCGTAACCATCATGGACGCCACGAATGCCTTGAAGGTGGTCACGAGGCTCAGCGGCCACGTCAGCTTGGCGATGGGGATCGACGCCACCAGACCGGTGATGACGGCCAGCGCTGAAGCCCTGGAGAGGTTCTCCATGCCGTGACGCGCCAGCACGTGTGACATCTCGTGGGCCAGCACCGACGCCAGACCCTCCTCGTTGCCCGCAACCTCGATCATCCCCGCGTATAAGAAGATGGTTCCTGCATCAGATCAAATGTCACACAACAGACAGAACAGGACAGAAGGGGCGTGTCCCATAATGGGCAAAATGCTGTCCATCCATTTGTTTGATGCTGAGAGCTCAACTGACCCAGCGGCGTCGCGAATGCGTTTCTTTCCTTTGAGGGCACGATGACGATCCGCCACACGCGGGTCATCAGATCCTCGCGACTGCACAGCTCTGGCGGCACCGCAGCAAGGATTTTCTGATCACCATACACACACGCGCACACACGTACTTGCATGCTGTGTGTGTGGTGTGTGTGGATCATTGATCATTCCCACCCGTTTGACGCGGTCGATGGCTAGGTGCAGCTCGTGGTGTTCGGGCACGACGGGGATCTGCTTGCTCTGGAGGTTCTCTATCAGGCCCTTCACCACCTCTTTGCCGATGTCAGTCTCCTACACCATCACCCACACACAGCACACAAAGAGGTGCCGCTTTCCTTCCATCCGTCCATCCATGGGAGCTGTGCTCACGTACATTCTCCCTCGTGAACAGAATGACCCGCCACCGCTTTGTCATCGGCTGAAGGAGAGAAACGACACACAGATGAATGAAAGGAGGAATGAATAAGAAAGGACACAAACAGGATGTGTGGGCAGTCATGGAGCACCCCGACGCACATTCTGGTCGAAGGAGGTGGCCACGACCGACCCAGACAGTATGAACGGCAGCAGCGACACAGCTATCACCACCGGCCTGTACTTGGGCTTCTTGCCCGTCACGCGCCACACAAAGGGCAGGAACCGGCTGGCCATCGAGCTGATGTTGATGATCAGCGGCTTCAACTTGGCGAACAGCGGGAGCTTGGCGCCCAGCGCCTTGAGAGAGGTAGCCAGAACCGCGAACAGCTTGCCAAGACCCAACTTGGACAGCAACGCCTTCGCACCGATAACGGCTCCATAGATGACAGGTACGAGAGGGGGGGCGGGGCGGACGGGACTCACATGGACGAATCGACGAGAGGCCTTGACGACCAGCTGGTGGGTCGGGGCACCCTCCGCTGGTCTCGACAAGATGTTGGCCGTCCGCCTGATGCATCCATTGTCTGACGGGGCGGCCGTGTGGAACGCTATCGCCCGCTGCCTCAGCACCGCCCTGTGCAGTGCAGATGGGCCATACGCCGCTCGTGACAATGCCGCATACGGCAAGAAGTGCCGCGAATGAGTCGATGCTGATGAGGCCGACGTCCTCGAGCAGATAGAGAGGGCATCACTGTGGTCCCGCCTCGGCTGCAGACAGGTGTGCTGCCTGCCTGCCGCTCGCAGAGCAATGCTGAATCGGTTCCTGAACATCAGAGATCTTCAGAGATGGATCCTCAGAGATAAAGCGCCGTGGGATTCAGTCTGCAAGGCCGTGTTATCGTGACGTTTTCATCATCCTTTCAAGTTTGTTGAGCTCGCACAGTTTGCTGAGCTCGCAGTTGCTCCCCCTGAGATCTGCAGCATTCGTCATCAATGGGCAACTTCGTGTCCAAGATCAACTCAAACCCAAAGCTGCAAAAGGCAAAAGTCAGCACAAACAGCAGCGAATGCACAGACACATGTTTGACGCATCGTGTGCGTGTGTGTGTGTTGGTTGCAGACGAAGCTGACGAAGTTGGCCAAGGATGTGTATTGGTTGGGCAGCAACACGGTGTGGGTGGCCATCACGGCCTTCATCGTGCTGGGCGTGCCGGTGTTTCTGCAGTACGAGAAGGAGTGCCAGATGTTCGACATGCAGGCCAACATGATGCAGCAGCAGGCACAGGCAGTAGAGGCAGCCGTGTCGGCCGTCAAACAGGGCCAGCCTGTGTGATTGAGGTGGCAAGTGGTTGGATTGGTGTAAGTGGTTGTATAGATGGTGGGTGGGTGAGGTGCCTAACTGTCCGTTTTGTGGCAGACGCGCCGTACACGAGCACACTGCTGGGGTGTAGAGAATATCATTGACTGCGTGATATTCATGCTGCTGCAGTGGAAGGATGATACGTGTCAACGAGTGCTGCCGGTGTGTACACCACATCCATCTGCCTTTCTTCTTCCTTGTGTGCACATGGTGACTTGACTTGCAGTCGACGTGAATGCTCCTACTTTCTGTGTACAGCAGCACTGGCAAACCATCCATTCTGAATCGTCTGATTCCACGTCAGCTTCTTCCTTGATCTGACGATCGTGATCACATGTCTGTCTGCATGCATCGGATGGAAGGCATTCACAGTCGACAACAGACACCGACAGGTATAAAATGCAGGCAGCGATTAAGCAGATTATCCGATTACAATCGGCCCCACACCCCCTCAGTGCCACCAATTACAATCGGCCCCACACCCCCTCAGTGGCACCACCCAGGCAGTCGATCCGCACACAGTCACACTGACCTCTGTCTGCACCACATCCATCCATCCATCCATCCATCAGGGCCATCAGGGTGTGATCGATTTGATTGATGGGTGGATGTGAGTGAAAGTGAGTGAGCCACACACAGAGCGGGGCGGGACATCAAAAGCAAGGTTCGTTCGAGGGAGGAGGGAGGGAGGAAGCAAACAAACAAACCGGTGCACGGATGGATGGATGCATCATCTGACTCACTCACTCAAGAAGGTCTGAAATCACAACCCACCCACCCACCCACCCAGCCGGACAGGCACCACAGCAGCCATACCCGCACATCCATCCATCCATATCTACACACAGCTGACATGATCAACCCAAATGTGTAGGTAACACACACTACCCATGAATGAGTGCGGGACGGGACCTGAGTCTCCCTCCGTCAGTGAGTGACCACCACACCACAGCACAGCACCGACGACCGACGACCGACACCACCACAGATGCAGACAGACAGATGCAATGCAGCACACCACACCACCATGGACTGACTTGCTGCACTTCCCTGTCTTCATCTGTCTGGGGGGCCTGGCTATATATATCCCTCCCTCCCTGCTCTCACACCCTGCAACAAACACTACAGCGGGTGAGTAGGGCCGGCAAAGTTTGCATCAATCACGGCATAGATGTGAAAGTGAGTGGAAAACATATTCCATCCGATGTAGACACCGATGTAAAATCCATCTGCGTCCCCTCCCCTTCCCTTCCCTTCCTCCCTCTTTCTCCCTGTCCCTCCATTGCATATCCATTGGCGATATAACACCCACTCGCACACTCATAATCGATTCATCATGGTCGCGTTGGTGGCGCCTCAAAAATACCCAAAGACCACGCAGGACCGTGGAGAAAACCGCCTTCTCCCTCCCCGCATCCCACACAGTCAGCTGACCTCACTCATGTCTCCATCCAATGACCTTGAGGGAATCGCTTCTTTTAGCTTCTTTCCGCAGCGAATACTGCTCTTTCTGGCGTGTCTTCGTCTCCTGCGCCACCTGACACCATGAGCATCTCCTGGCGGTGATCTGGTGATGGGTCATTACTCCAGCCGCGTCACCCGTGAATGGGAGTCCAGCTGCACATACATTCACGCGACACACTGCCACTGCTTTTCTTTTGGTAGCCCAACATATACCCATCACGTGGATGTCTATGTTCGTATTGGGGCAGCAAAAGTGCATAAACCTCGTCCAGAGCTGGTGCACAAGTCGCGAGGATCACTATCCTCCAATGCCGGCAACGGGACATCAGCGGGGAGGTGAAGGTCGCTCACTGTTACTTCAACGCGCTCAGGGCAGGCTGTCTTCTGCACTCCTCGCTTTCAGGGCTCCACTGGCTCATTTTCTGGGTAAGTAGATAATGCAGCAATTGGCCGGGAGGGGAAGCCTGCAGATGCAATGCAACCAGAGAGAGAGAGAGAGAGAACAGAAGACACAGGTATGTATGTATGTATGCATTTGTGTAGACACGTGTCCTCACTGACTCACATATTTGGCAACTGTGTTTGGGGCTGTGCGCTGGCCGCCTATGCCCTCCACTCCGCGACCCGGGCATCAGCGTCCCCATCTGCACATGCTGCAAAGCCTCACTACACACACACACACACACACACAAGAGAGAGAGAGAGAGAGAGACATTCGAATGTGACAAAATGACTTACTTGCACTCATACAATAAAATGACGCTACATGCAGTGTGGATTGGCTGCCTACGTCCATTCACTATCTACCTACGTCTTTCTTTCTCCCCGGAGGGCCTGGAGGAAGCTGCAAAACCGCTCGGACGAGACCTCTCAAACACTTTCTGCATGATGCACATACCGGAGAAACGCGCTTGTCAATTCAGCAGTGAGGAATGCATCGCGCCCGCCCACGCAAGGCTCCGTTCTCTTGCTATTCTGCCCATCGCTCCATTCTCTCATGTGCGGTGCTCACCTTCGTCGGGACATTGTGACGGCCAAGCGGCTGCCGTATTGCACTCGAAATCGGACAGACGTCTTGTCTGTTGCTTACCTGCCGAGAAAGGAAAGACACGATGTCTCAGTGTGTCGCCTACCGCCAGGAATTCAGCAAACGGCAAAATTGCCGTCCTTGGCGATTTGGGTGGCCTCGGCAACTCGGAAATCACTCCATAAAATGTGAGACACACACCCCACATGTGAGCTGTGGCTGACCGGCGGATGAGTGCATTTGTCCATCTGACCTTGTCAAGTGGTTAGAGGTGGTTGTCGGGTGGCTGACGAGGTGTGGGATAATGCCGGCTGCTGGCGGCTTTGTCTGATGAGAGTCGACACACCAAATCGTTTGCAACTCACACACTCACCTGCCAAGCAGTATGTATTCTTGAGAGACACGCAGCGAGCTCTGAGACAAGATCAGCCGCACAGGGGACACACGTGTTTGTGGTCCATTCGGTGTGCCAGTGTCATGTTGTGATTGTTGTTGTACCATTGGCATACAGTCCATAGGCATAGCTCTTGGCAGGAGGTGTGGGAGTGGGGAACGTGCTCTCCTCCATCAGTACGCTGGGCGGCGGCAGAGATGGTCAAATCCTTGATCTGCCTGAATGGCGCACAATCACAGTGGGCTGCAGCTCTCCTTTTGTGCGGGGACTCACTCACAGCGAGGCCGTGGAATGGATGGTGGGGAGTACGCGAGAACCCAGGCAGGGCTTCAGTGCTGAACACGACCAAACTTGGACACTTCAATTCTCACGTCAGATGTTTGGTGTGACGCCCTCGTTCACCTCATCACGTAAGCACGTCGACGAGAGAGCGTCAGAAGCGGTCGACACAGACTGCTGGATATAAAATGTAGGCGGCGATTGATTGACTTGCAGCACTGAGGAACATAAAGACATGAATGTGACACACCGAGGAGACCGAACCAGACACTCCATCTTTTTATGGACGCTGTGGAATCAATCGGTCAAGGCATGTGGCCCCCATGTGAGCTTACGGGTTCTGTGTGGTAGCGTATGATGCGGTGTGCTGCGGCGACATCGACACTCGGGCGGCTCGCGTCATCGGGTTCCACCACGACATCCGGCTCCTGACACGAAAACGAAGGGAGTATGTGTGTGTGTGTGCGTGTATCTGTGTGTGTACCCACTCCCTCCCTTCCCACTGACCCCAAAGATTCGCCTCTTGGTCTCCTCATAGTGCAGCTCTCGCTTCTCGAATGGCACTGGCTGACCTTGGGGCTCATCGCGGCGGCCTCGCCCGTCTGTCGGTGGGCTCGTCATGGTCTCGAACCTGGAGCCGCACTTGCAGCAACCCCTTCTCGGCGTCATCCACCCACTCTGGCATCGCCGGCTTGTCGAACGTCAGCGCCTCCTCTTCGGGGGGCTTCCAGGTCCCAACCACAGCCAGCCGTCCACTGATCCTCCTCTCGATGAGCTCCTGAGCGTCCTTGACGGCGGCAAGAGGGCCCTTGATCGTCACCTGAGTGCACAAGCACACACACGCACACACGCGCGCCCGCAGAGAGAGAGAGAGGTGTCTGTCTGTCTCGTCTGTGTGTCCTTCCTTGACTCTCGGTGTGGTGTGTTTGGAGCCTACGGTGCGATATGGTGCGGTGGACAGCGGCCCCTCACTGATGATGTGGACGCTGGTGGCCGACCTGCGCTCGATATCCCTGACCGTCCTGCCCTGCCTGCCGATGATCCGTCCCACCAAGCCAGCCGGCACCACACACTCCCGAACCACAGTCTCGTTGTCAGTCACCTCCGCCGGCGACCTGAGTGCGGGTGGTGGGCTGTGCTGCTGCTGCTGCTGCTGCTGGTGGGGGTGGGGGTAGGGGTGGGGGTGTCTGGGGACTGCGGGGGTCTTGTGTGGGTGTGTGCCAGCGGGGGTGTGGGGGTCTCGTCGAGCAGTTCGTTGAGGCGGATCACGGTGCGGGTGGATGAATTGCTCCTCTCACGATACATGGCCTGATGGACACACACACGCAAAGACGCACACCAATGGCCTGGCCCCTGTTTGGTTGTGATGTCTCTGTGTGCACCGTTTGGACACTGTTTGCATCGGTATGTGATGGCGAATGGAGCGCTCGGCGGCCTCGACATCGACGCTTAGGCATCTCTGCAAGCAACACATACAAACAGAGAAAACAGACAGAGGCAGTGCATGTGTGTGTGTCCACTCCCTCACTCCCTGCCCACTGACCCCGAAGATCTTCCGCCTGGTTTCGTCGTAGTGCTCCAACCGTTCCTCGATAGGCTTGTCGGTACGGACGGGCTCCTCTCCATCCCTCCGCCGGCCGGCCTGGGCGGCGTCCGGGGGCCGCTTCATGATGGCCACATCGCCCGCCGTCGCATTGCGCCGTCGCGCGGTGGATCCATTCAGGTTGCGGCGGGCGGGCGAACTCTACCGGCTCGTCTTCAAGAAAGGCTGCTGGGCGGTAGGTGGCGACCTCCAGGATGGGCGACTTGATCTTGGCCTCGATCAGCTGCCTGGCAACCGTCATCTGAGTGGCGCACACCCACACACAGCGCAGACAGAGAGACAGACAGAGAGACAGCGGTTTGTCTGTCTGTCAGTCATGTGTGTAGAGCGTATGTACCATGCGGTGTGGTGCGTTGGGCGGCACGTTATTGAGCACCTGGATCTTGGTGCCCGAAATCTGCTGCGTCTCCCTCACCGCTTGGCCCCCGCAGCCGATTATCCGCCCCACCACTGCAGCCGGCACCACAAAGTCGGTAACCACGACACAGTCGACCTCCTCATTGAACTCCTCGTGCCGCGGCTGCTGGTGGAAGTGGTGCTGGTGGTCAAGCGGAATGGGCGCCCGGCCCTGCCCTGGTGTGGGAGCTGGAGTGGTGGGGGCGGCTGCACGTTGTGAGGGAGGTGTGCTGGGCTGCGGTCTTGATTGAGTCCTGCACACTCAGGGCGTGAACGAGACACGAAACAAAGCACTGAGGCGCCCATATGTGCGCCACTCTATTACCTCCTCTCAACAAGTCTACACGTGGGAGAGCGTCAAGGTGTCGAGCAAATACGTCCACGGATATAAAATGTAGGCACCGATTGCAACCTACGGACACGATAGGATGCCCAGAAGACACAAACATTGGATACACACGACAGTGTTGTGCAGGAGTGTCGACTTACTGCAGCCCAAGTTTGGTCGATGAATCTAGTCACCCACCGATTCTGGTGTACATGGAGCCTACCGTGCGGCGGTTGCATGTGGTGGTGGATCATCGAATCGTCAGCTGAGTGCACAAGCACACACACACACGCGCGCGCGCAGAGAGAGAGAGAGAGAGAGGTGTCCGTCTCCTCTGTGTGTCAGTGTGTCCTTCACTCCTGGGGTGGTGTTTGGAGCCTACGGTGCGATATGGTGCGGTGGAGAGCGGCCCCTCATTGATGATGTGC